TTGGATGATACTTTGGAGTTAAATAGAACTCTCATGAATTCGCTCAGCGAAAGATATTNGTGTGTACCCTTTTTTCAAAATTAATACATGATAAATTATCTTTCAACCATGTATTACATGAACTATAGTTTCAATATTGTAATATTTATTATTTTTTAATTTAATAAAATATTTAATGGTTTCACAATTTTGTAAACTCTCTTCCATTTTCTAAAACAGTTCGAACTGTTATGGAACAGTTTACAATGTGCTTCAAATGAAATGAAATCAGACAGAGAAATTGGCAGCTGTAAGAAAGGATGGTGAATGATCCATTAATTTTATTAAATAGTTCATATCCAACTTTCATTAAGAGAATATCTTCCAAGAGTTGAATAATTATCAGATATTGAATCAGTAATAGTTGATGATGTGAATTTAGATGTATCAAAAGGTCCAAGCGTATCACTGTAGCTTGATGTAGAGCTGTTCAAATAGTCATCACTATCCTCATATCTCTTCTGAACATACGAGAATCCATTACTTGAATCTGATGTGTAAAAAGTGGACATGCTTTGTTCAGATGATAGAAAGCTATCTTCGCTATCTGTTCCATCTGAAGACATGGACATTTTAAATGAAACCACTTTGCCAGTTATTGACCTTTTTAGCATTTCAAGTTTCAACATTTTTTCAATGTCGTTTTCATTAAGTGTTGCAAACACTTTATCTCTCTTCAATTCAACATAATCATACTTTTGTTCAGGTTGAACTGGTTCGTAAATAATCTCTTCCTCTTCATAGAAGGATGATTGAGAATCTGAATATGTAACAGCTTCTGATGAAGAATAGTTAGAATTGGTCAAAGTAGATTTCTTAGGATTGGTAGTAGAAGTAGTGGTTGTAAAACTAGTTTGAATATTCTGTGATTGGGTTTGCTTTGGTAATTGTGGAGCAATATGAAAGAAACTGGAAGGATTATACTGTACAAATAAATTCTTTGAATTTGTTTCGGTTGTTGTTGAAATGGTTATTGGTGGTGGTTCAGTTTGTACACCAGAAATGGATTTAGTAAATTCATTTGTTTGAACTGAGCTAGATTCTACTTTTGGAATTTCATTGAAAGTTTGTGTTGTAATGTTATATTGTTGAGCTTTTGTCTCTGTTGTTATTGAAATTGGAGTTATAGCCTCTGACATATTATCAGAGAGAATAAAGAACGTGGAATGGGGTAATCCCAGTTTTGGTTGAAAATCTTCAATGATAGGAGTTGTGGGTATTTTATCCAAATGCTCCTCCTCTGTTTGTGTTTCAGTGGTTCCAAGTGAAGTAATTTTAGCAGTTTCCACAATTTTCAATTCCTTTTCCTTTGGTAAAATAATTTCCTTGTCTTTGGAAATATTGGCTTTGTGAGGAATAAACTCAATTTCTTTACATCCGTCATCAATAATTCTGTTTTTCACTAATGATCGATCATTCAATAAGAGTCTAAACACAAGTTCATAAATTTTCTCCAAATCAAATTCATCATAATCAATCTCAGTAAGTTCACGCACTGAATTGTGTAAGTCAAATATTGGTTGCTTTGATTTGATATATTCAATTAAAAGGTCCTCTGTTATATTGTATATAATTTCATCATCACAGGATAAATCATTATTATAGCAAAATGAAAATAGTTCTGCACACAATGCCCCTCCTTTAATGGACATAAACCTTTCATCATTTGTTACATGTAAATCTTCTCCTGAATCTTGTTGGCCTAATGAACTGTTCAAATAATCTCCAATAATGTTCATGGAAATATGCTTAATTACTCTTTCTATCAAACAATTAGCATATTCTTCAAAGATTAAATCCATATTCTTTTGCTTTTTAACATAATTTGACAAATAATGTTGACTTTTTTCATCTGTTTTGATTAATCTGTTAGAATAATGAGATGTAAAACAAATACCATCAAAATCTTCGCACTCATTAAGTTTTGGAATTTGATGAGAAGATTTCTTTGGAAGCATTTCTCTAATTAATCTTTCCTTTTCAAACCTAGATAGTTCTTTTTCAACTTTCACATCAATACCATTTTGAAAGGACATTGCTGAACTGTCCTTTGTTGTCCAGCTCGCATTGTAACTTTCAATCTTTTCCTCCAATGAAATTTGAGCGTTGGAAGGTGGTACACTTATTGTGGAATTATCAGTAGAAGGTAATTCCGTTTGTATTTCAACCTCGTGAAGAGAAACATCTTTAGGAACTTCCGTTTGAACAGATTGGGCCTCCATTTTTGGCGTAGGTGCTGTAGGCTCAGCGGTTTGCTCATGAATTCTTGTTTCTGGTGTCATCTCCTTTAAGTTTTGGGGTTTTACAGTCTTTTTGTTCATTACTGAGAATTTTAGTAAACTCTCAGAAAATCCTGGATACAACTTTAAAATTTCTTTGCTTGATAGATCAGTTTTTGATAGCACAATTGGTTTTGGTGGAAGGTTTTCAATTTTAACCTTTTCATCTATTGAAATTGAAAATTTTGGTTGCTCAATTAAAACAGTGTCGAGATTCAAGTTCTTCGAGAAATCTATAGATTTTCCAACTAGTTCATCAATTAAATATTTTTGCTCGTTTTGGTAAAAGTCTAAATTATCCATTGGCGAGCTATCATCCCACTTTTTAAAAATCATATATCAAAATTCAAATAAATACTTACAGATGGATATTTGAAAATGGATGGATGTTTTTTTGACACTTCATTATGGATATCATCTATTGTTAGCTCAGCTGTTTTGGAATCTAAATCAAACAAGGGTCTTCTTGTTTGTCTGTGGGTTCTCGAAGTACCTGTAAAAACCTTAAAATCCCTTTTAGAGTCATTTTTAAGTTGTGAAGTCTTCTTTTCAATCATTTCAAGCTTTTTACCTAGATCTTCAATTTGTTTCATTTGCTTGGACATGAGCGTTTGAGATTTCTTTTGATCTTCACTTAACTGTTTCCCAAATCTAGAAGTAATATCCGATGTGACCTTCTGCAATTTGTCAAATTGTTTGTAAAATGTTTTTAAATCTAATCCCATCCGTGTCATTGAATTGTTTACAGTGTTAGTGACTTGACTAGCAGTTTTTACAAGAATATTGTCATACTCCTTTTCTTTTTGTTGTAACAGTTTTTCCAACATTTTTTGGAATGAGGAGAGTTTCAACTCACTCTCCTTAACTGCATTTTCAATTTCATTTCTGAATGAAGAAATTCGTTCAATATTTTTTTCAGTAATTCTATTCTCTTTATCGAGTGGTCTATTCTCTTCAATCTTGACAGCGTATTCCCTTAGAGGCTCTTGAATTTCTTCTTGCTTTTTTAAATTTACATTATTATCCAATCTTCTTCCAACCACTTTTGATTTTTCGGGTAGATCTTCTCTTTTTCTTTGTTTGTTTTGATTGATTTCTTGTTTCGGAAATTTGATATTCCTTTGTGAGTCTTTTTTTGGAGGTTCTTGCTCAATATCCTTTTTTTGAGGAGAGGCTTTGGCCATATAAGTATAAAGGGCTTCTGGTATCTTTAAATCCTTTTTTTCCTCTTCAACTTTTTTTGATTTTGGTAAATCGCTTATCATTCCATAATCTCTTTTCCTATGAAATTTCATATATTCCGTAAAATCCATATGAGTGGTTACTTTTGGAGGTGCAATTTCATATCCTCTTAAATTTTGAGAAATTGCTAAATTTTGTACTCCAGATTTTGCTAATGAATATAGATCTGGTCCGATAACAGGAACAAGATCATCCGTAACCTTAGTTGTTTCATCCTCTTGCTCAAATTTGACTTTGGGATGTGATGGAAGAGGAATAATATTTTGTGGTGGTGTGTTTTTGATTATTTGTACATCAGAAACAGTTGGTTTCTCTGTATCATTAGGGACATTATTTTCTACATTTTGGATAGGGTTGGCTGCCGTATATCCTCCACTAGTTCTCTTTAGGAATGGTTTGATTGGTTTTTGAAATTCGTCATTATCCGACTGTGAATCTATTGAAGAAATTGGTGAATAAATAGGTTTTTGGATTTTTTGTCTCTTATCAATAACGTTGATAGAATTTCTTAAGGAACCTCCTCCATGGGATGATGAAAGATCCGATATGGTCCAAGTATCGGAATCATCAAGAGAAGCCATTTTTTTTTGATTCTAAAAAACTGTAATACAAAGTTATAAATAGTACTTCCTTAATAATTAGATTTTTTGACATGATAACAACTACTTTTGATCAGCTGTTAAAATTCAGCTGAATGGGATCTTTCATTGAGGAACGAACTCTAGAATGTATCCACTAAATAATTACAAAATGATGAGTCACTGCAGGTTCAAAAAGAAATATTTCATCAACTACTACTAATATATCAGTACTAATATAAAAACTAAATTCACCAACTAAACTGAAGTAACAGATGAATCAAATGATAAAAATTAACACAAATATGTCAATATATTTAATTCTGAAAAAGGAAAAGATTATAATGGTAATTTCAGGAAATACTGTAAGCTAATAGAGTGAGACATTATCAAAAATCTCTTTATTCTAGCATGCTAGAATGGAAAAATTACAAATTAATCTCGCAAATTTAATGTTACATCTCTTCCTTGAACGAAAACTTTAGAAATATTTCTGTCATCTCCATTGAAAATAAATCTGCTAAAGTTTTCTTTAAGTTTCTTCTCTTCCATTTCATGGGCAGGAACACTTGTAAAAACATCACTGTACAAATCATTGAATGAATCGATACTTCCTTCTTTAACATCGACATCAATGATTAAGGCATCAAAGCTTTTACCTTCTACAAAGTTACCGACCTTGCTTTCGATATTCAAAGCTTCAGCACCTCCAACTGTGGCAATGTAGAATGCTTCATCAATAGTAATTGGTACTGTATCTTCGGTTGCGTCTGTTTCATTTCTGATATGGTCAGTACTGGCAGAGGCAGTAGCAATAAGAGTATTTCTAATAGAATTGAACATGGATGAAGAATATCCTCCAGAAATATCAGTACCCATACTAACTTTAACACCTCTATTAATTAATTTTCTGACATTCAACACACCGCTGCACAATGAAAAGTTGCTGAGTGGACAGTGGGCAATAGTCGATCTTCTTTCTTTGATCAATTCGATTTCTGAATCAGTCAAATAAACACCATGAGCCAAAATTGTCTTTTCATTTAACAATCCAACCTTATCATAAACCTCTGCATAACTAGTATTGGAAGGGAAGAGTTCTGAAACCAATTTAACTTCTCCAGTATTTTCTGAAATGTGTGATTGAATTGGTACATCATTATATTCATTGTAAATTTCAGCCAAACCCTTCATCATTTCCTCAGAGCATGAAACTGCAAACTGTTCAATAACAATCAATAATTTTCAGCTTGAATTCAAAATAACAATAACTTACTCTTGGTGTAAGAATTGGTTTGACCATATTGAAGTGTTTCATTTGTTCCATGAATTTTCTCACATCATCAATACCTTGATGTGTTTCTTCACAATAATATTCAGGAGCAAATCTATCCATACTCACTTTTCCTACATCTATTAGTAGTAAATAATATGCACATAAAAATCAACATGTGTTGATACTCCTTTAAATAACTGCTACTGATTAGATACTTACAAGCTCTCTGACCAATTTCTTCAATGATTTTAGCTAACAAAATTGTTGCGTCATTGTGAATTGTGCCAAAATAAACACTTGTTGTTGTTCCGTTCATCAAGGAACGACGAACGCATGAAGTGTAAACACGAATAGCAATTTGCAAATCTTTAAATTTACTTTCAACAGGGAATGTGTATGTATTTAACCATTCAAGGAGTGGCATATCTAGTCCGAGACCACAATTGAAATATTGTGGAGCATGAGCGTGAGTATCAATCATACCTGGAATAACAATTTGAGAAGGTTTCAAGGTAATTCTGTCATATTCCTTCCATTGCGTTTCCAACAATGCGGAGTCATCATTTTGCTTCATATCCAACACTCTTTCAATTGTACCATCATTTCCAACAATAATTGCTCCTTTTGAACAATAACGCAAGCATTTTGCTGAAAGCTTGTCCAATGCATGAACAAATGGTCCAATCACAATCAATCCTTTTTTCATTTTTTTCTATTATTCTAAAACTTTGCCACTGCCATTCTGGGGTCGCGTATTTTCTTCAAGCAGGAGAGATCTGTAAATTTGCGCCACATCATTTGTGGAGTTGGGGAAAAGGTCCATGAGGTAAATTGTATTAGCTGTTTCTTCTTGTATGTGTGGTGTTGTTTTCTCTTAATGATTTAAAAATCATAATTGTGGTGGTCTTCGTTGTGGTTTTCCTTGGAGAGTTGAATATAGGTTCTCTCAGCAAGCTCAGTAGCATCAGTATAGTGTTTGTAAGGTTCCAAATCACTTACTACGGAAATTGAATCACCTGACCATTTGCCAACCTTGTCTTGAATGCAGGAAATCATGGCATTGAGGGCTCCTGGAAGTGGTGCACGGAATTTGGATCTAGAAATGTACTGCTTTTTGGTGTGATTGAGCAAGTACTTTCCTTCATCAAAGTAAATAGCAGGTGCGTGCACTTTAATGCCCTTCATTCTCTTCTTTAAAAACTCGAATGGAGAACCGTCTTCCTTCAACAAACTTTTCAACTCTTGTTCTACCTTGCCAGCTTCCTTCTCCAATTCTACAGGATCGAGAGGTGTTGTAGCTGCTCTCTTCTTTCCAGACTTGAAACTTTGAACAAGACCAGGAATAACTAACTTTCCAGCGATATCATCATCAGCATATTCTCCAACAATTGCCAAACGATCACCCTTCCAATCACCTCCATTTTCTAACAATTCCATAATATCACTCACGTGCATACCTTGATAAGAGATTGGATCCACAGATCTTCCTAAAGTTTTACAGCACAAGCCCTTTGAAAAGTTGACAAAAACAAAATGTTGAACCATCTTGGATAATTTCTAATTATTTGCTTCTTGAATAGTGTAATAACGTTATTAAATATTACTTGTATACAATGTGATCAATCGGAATGAATATTCTTCCTTCAATAAATTTCTTCTTCTTCGGTAATTAATAGTGATACAATTCAACAATTTTTCTACCGAATATTCTTCAGTACTGTTGTTTTGAAATAAAGTAGTTTAAATGGACTCTAGTACTCTATTGATGCTCTCGAATCACACAATAAGAAGGATAAATTTATACCAAATGTATTGTTGTTGTGTATTGGCTCAAGTTTTCAGTAAACTTTTTTTTAAATGGAAATTTCGCTGAGTTTTATTGAGGTTGGTACCAATACGCCAAATTGTTCACTCCTTCAAACAAAATAAGTCTTTTCGATTGTCTATCTCCCGCCCAACAACAGAATTGTTTACCTTCATTCAACATTGTGTTGGTTTTGCCTTGGTGCCACAATGCATAGTGAACCGAAAGTGTTTTGCCCAAAAACGCACCATATTTTGGATTTGGCTGTAATGAAACTTGTGGACTGTGAAGGTACGGGTTGAATACTTAATGTGCATAGGAGTTGGAGATTACAATGAAAAATACTACCTCGTGAAATTAGCGCAGTGAGTGGAAGTGCACGGACTTGAAAACACAGGATAATTAGAAGGATAATAAGTCAATCAAAACTTGCTTAAATGTCCACTGTAGAATGTAATAGAAAGATGCTAAGGAATTAAGATGGTCATTGTCTAAATTTATCAAAATTTAAGCAATTTTTTGATTCAATATTGAATATTTAGAGTAAATCAACACACTTCTTCGCGTTTTATTGGAAATGAAACATTTTTGAGCTAATTGCAACTTTACAGCTTTTAACCCAGTGTGAGATATAATATCTACCTTTGAGAGATATTAATCTCTACTACCTTCACGTCGCAAGAACTTCAAAGTATTTCTAATCAAAAAAAACAAATCACCTTATCAACACCAAGCAATGTACTCTGAAGAATCACTCGATAGGAATACACCTCTAGCAGCTTGTTCTCTTGCCTTTAAGGTACAATTTAATCTGCAGAAAGATAAAGGTGTGGAGAATATTATTCGTCTCTCCACAAGAGGTCCTTCCACCATTAAGGTTGTTAAAGATTTACAAATAGAAATTGTTTCGGAGGAAATTGAGAGAGCCCTGAGAAAGCTATGTTATGAAGCTACTATTAGTATTCATCATCGTGGTGTCATTGAAGAGTTGGAGAGAAATGAGAATGGAAAGGTGAAAAGATTTAAAGCTGTGATGAGCACATTCACTTTGGGAGGTGGTTTTGTTGAGGTTGATTTGGAGAAGGGAAGTGTTTTGGTGACTGTGAATGGATTATTGAGTGATAGATCTGTATTTGAAGTGATTGAAGGTGAAATTATTGAAACATTGTGTTGTTGAGAAATAATACCAACCCAAACTCAAACTCATTTAATAATATAAAACATTGATGATCCAAATTTAGTTCCTTAGAAATTGTAAACTTGACTTTAATAACTCCATTTGAAATATCCTCCAAAATATTTAGCAATAGATTTCATCAATTGGTGATACTTTTCATCAAATCTCTTCAAAAATAAAATTGTATTCACAACAGGAGATTCTTTTGGATTAAAAGCTGGTAAAATCTCAATAACATGTTCTCTATTTTCAACTCCATCAGTCATGAGATAGATGGCAGTTTCATTTCTTGGATTTGATTTAAATAGAGTCAATGCGCTTCTCAATCCAAATTTAATATCAGTATGTCCATCAATACTTTTCCAGCCAGTGTGTTGTTTCAACCAATTAATTGCTGAGAGAGCTCCTTTACTTTTTCCATCAGTTACAATTGGTCCAAATGTTGAAACGATTGGTCTGACTTTGTCACTAAACAATTGAATGTAAATCACTTGATTAGTTTTAAATTGATCCATTTCTAATAATGCATTTTCAATTGTACGAATCACCAAATCGATTCTTCTTGTTGGTGGACTAAAGAATACTAATTCATTCATGGATGCAGAAATATCAATGGAAAAGAGGACATTCTTAGCAGTGGGATGACAAAGTGATTTTTCGTATCTTTCTTCAAATAAACATCCTGGATTTGGAGAATCAGATAATTGTTCAAATGTTTCGATGGAAAGTTTATCTGCCAAATCGTCAAATAAATCGTATTTTTCAATACTTCTTGATGAGCAGGTGATGAAGGCGGTGAGGAGAAGCACCACGAGAATGGTGGTAAATTGACGCATTTTTTTTGTATTGGAAAGAACTTGAATAACAAGTTTAAACTAGAAGTATCATTACAACACATATTGCATCTCGATTGACTTGAAACTCTTATAAAAAGCTATTGAATAACATGTAAACTTTAAATGATTTGTTTTTTAAATATTAAAATGAAACAAATTGGTAGCCCGTCGGAAATTTGTGATCTTGAGCCTCAATTAAAAAAAAAGAAAATTGAAAGGCTTGATGATGAATGAGTTCGGTTGGTGTTTCTTGATGGCTTGGAAAAACATTACACTCATTCATTACTTCGGAATAAACTTTGTACTCCAACAGCACTTTGTTTAAAAGGAGCAAAGCTGCTCTGTCTGAGGGAGTATGAATTGGAGCATGGTATTGGTAGGAATGTCGAAATTTATCACAAAAAACGATGGATTATTTCATATTTTGATAGGGAATTCCGAGTTTTTGATCTTGATACTGGAAAATGTCTTTACAGGATTGCCTGTACTGGAGTTTGCACATGTATGTGTATTGTTGAGAGTGAGGATAATTCAAAGGATGTAATGTATTTGTTTCACTCTAACAATTGTCACTTACTGAAAGTTGAGCTCGATGCCGACAATAATTTTCCAATTTTACAGGAAACAGAAACGAAAATTATTTTTGGAATTACATTCAACAAATCTAAAAACGAGGTTATAGTTTTAGGACAAGATAGAGTTGTAGTGTATGATGGAGACAACTTGCTTTTCAAATATGAACAATTATACATGGAACCAACCTTGGCCATTCATTATGATCACAGTACTGACGAATTATGTACCTTTTCATTTGAAAGCAATAATTATTACTTGAGGAAGTATTATGGAAACTCACTTGGGTTTTCCAAATGTCATGAAATTGTTTCTTTTGAAATTGGTGATGTAGAACCAATATTTGGCTGGAAACCCCATAATTTCTTGGTTTTTTACAGTAATACCGACCATGAGTTACTATTGTGTGATAGCTCAAATTTCTCATTGGTAGCAAAAGTAGATGGATATAAATTGGATAGCTTAGCTTTTGACAGAGTAACAAATACTATATTTTCATTCAGTCATAACAAAGTTTCTCAATTAGAACTGCTACTAGAAACCTTCGTATATGATATGCCTTTGAGTAGAGAAATTTATGGAAATCTATTTTGTCTTCAATCAAAGTTCCCAAAAACATTCTTTATTTCAAATGATGTTCCCTTGGTAGTGAGTTATCTCAGGAATATCAGATTGCCAAGGTTACACAAATTTAAACATAAGGAATTTAGGGACGAGTCAGTAATTTCTGAGATTTATGATATGAACACTGAAGAGGTTATTAAAATAAGAGCGGATTCGAGTGTATATGACTTGGTTAAGTTTTCACCTTTCGAATTTAGAAGCAAAAATCTACATTACAAATACTTTAAAAGGTTTCCTAATGACAAGATGTTTGTGATAGGGACTAACTTTGATGATACCTTTTACATCGCTGTTTTACTTTCAGAATTGAAAGAGTATGGGCAGTGGCTTGACGATTTTCCGATCCATATTGTTTCACGTAAGGACGAATCAGTTGTAAAATGCAAGCTTTCTGATTTTATTAAAACTTTAAAAACAGAGATCTATGTCATGCTCCATTATCCAGACAGAGACGAAGGATCAACAGGGTACGAGTTCAAGATCAACACAGAAAAGCTTTATTTCAAACTGGGTAAAGAGGGTTGCATGGACCCAGAGACTGGAAAGCTTAATTCTAACATGTTATCAGAAAGCTATCGCAATATAGTTATTCATTCAGGCTTTGAAACCATACTGAGGATTGCTAAAATTCATTTAAAAGACCAATGATCCATATTCATGGTTACAATTATTTATTGGCTGATCTGGTGACGCTTGCCTTTGGCAGACAGTTGTTTAGTTTTACTGATGAAGATTTTGATTATGGAGATAGTATTTTTGAATGTTAATGCTTTGACTTATGAACAAAATGAGCTATGTGAAAACCTTACATCCTATTAATTCTTTCTTTGAATTTTTCATATTCAGACCCAATCTTTCTTTGGGTGTTTCAATGTTAATTGTTCTCTAAATTCAAACAATGGAAGATGATTCAATACATGATTGAAGACATTTAATAGTAAAAAGGTGTGACTGTGAACTCAATTTTTGACTCAACTTTGAGAAAACTATTTCAGTTGTGGAAAGAAGAGTAACATTCAATTGTTGTTGCGAGTTGCTCTCTGGCTTCGTAGAACCCATCTTCTTCAAAACCACCATCTCCCACAATCCAGTGAACGAAAGCTCTCTTACTATACATCAAATCAAATTGTTTCAGAAGGTTTTCAAGATAGCTTGTGATAGAGGTAGTATTGTTGGCAATGTGCATTACATTTGAAAAGTTGAAAGACTCTGGGTAGACATTCTCTGGCCCCTTGTTTGATATTTGATATTGGGCTTTTTCTGTCTCATTTGAAAATTTCCAATCAGTTTTGAGTTTTTCTGAAAGTAAGCTTGTGTGATTCTTTGAAAAATCGCCTCTCATTGCTATATTCATTGCTATGGTAACACCATTATTGGCCATATTCATTGAGGTATTTCTTGAAAAGATATCCTTTATGCTCAATTCAGTCATGGATGTATCTTGCAAGTTTACAAAACTATTGCATATTATGTTGGCATTATATGAAATAGGAAGAGTTTCACACACATCACGTAAACTTCCTTCATTTGAATCTAATCTGAGATGTTAATGTTGAAATGTTTTGTGAAATCAGATGGTTCATTTCCTTAAAGTTTGGATTCTTTATACCACTCTCCACGCACGCATTTGATAGAGCATAATTATCATACGAAAATATAGATTGTACATTATCATGAATATAATGCAAGGCAATAACTGCATTGTATGGCTCCAATATTGATGTAGAATAGGTTTCCGTTGGAAAAATTGAAAAGCATGACTTGATCATAGTGTCAACAATATCGTGCCCATATTTACTTACCATTGGAAGTTGAAATTCATGGGCCAAATCATAGATAAGAGAAGAGGTCGATCCAGATCCAGTTCCTCCACCAAGAGAATGAGTAACCAGTACAGTCCCCATCGAATCACAATTTTCCACCATTTTCCTCACTCTCTCCTTAACATAGTCCCACATTTCTCCACTCATGATGTGATATCCTTTTCCAAAATTTGATGAAGCATCATAATCTGCATAATCAATAGGGGAAACTATATTTTCTTCCTTAAATTGAGATTGAGATCTTGATGATGCCTTGGTCAGTCTCTGTATTTGTGAGTCTGTATCAAAGAATAAACATCGAGCATGATAAACATTCTCCATTCTGATAGACTCATCATATAAACATGATAGATTATTAATGCTATTGTTTTGTTGGCCAGGGTCAAGGGAACAAGAAGGTAATTTGTGTTCTTTGGCAAATAAATTCCAAAGATCAATTCCGATCTCACACCCACAATTGCCAAAATGAAGAAAGATCAATTCTTTCATTTTTTTTAATATAATTGATAATTCAATTTTAATACTACTATTATGTTAACATTTACAATTTTACTTTTTTTGTGTTCTAAACAACTCTCTGTACGATAAAATCTTTTTCTTTGAGAAATTTCTAATGCCAAAACTCTTCTTGATGAGTTGACGACAATCAAACATCTTTTGTGAACTATCTTTGAGAAGCATAAAAGCTGCTTGGAAGTCATTACACTTCATTAGTTCCTTTTCGAGCAGTGTAAGATAGGTCATACCAATACGATATAAAATCTTGTACTTTTCATGAATAAAGCAATCCCAAATTCTCAATGCCGTTTCTACTGGGAATGATGTCAAATAGAGGCAGAGGAACCAATTTGGAGAAACCATAATAAATAAATTAGACTCCAGTTTCACCAGATGGTTTGTTACCTTGGGTATTCTATCTAAACAAAGATGTTGCAAAACAAATGATTCAGAATAAACACCTTCCATACTTGAATCATACAAATCTGGTGGCATGTAACGATCTATAATTCTATCAAGTGTGAAAAATGCTTGTTGCACATTCATTCCTACCACTAACATTATACCAGCCAGGAAGTTCATTGATTGACAATATCCAACCTTTGGATTATGTAATGAGTACAAATAGAGAACATTTCTCAAAGCAATTTGATTGTGTGGATCTTTAAAGAATGGATGAGTTGGGAATGTTCTATCAACATCCTTACAAATGCAAACGAAATTCTTATCCTTTTCTCTTTCATCAATAGGAATAGCGAGTGCCTTTTCTTTCAAGTTATCAAAAATATCTTTGTGTGTTAAATATTGATAGTTTGCTCCACTAAATAATTAATATCCACTACTACTGATCATCAATAACACACTTACCTAATAATATACCACATTACTGCTCTGTATTCCATAGGAATTCCCTTTCTTACTAATTTTTTAAAATCATTGGATTCTTCAATAAAGTGGAAAATACGTTGTTGTTCATATTCCTCTAAGGTTGTAAATCCCTTAGCTCCGATATTGTGCTTTTGAATAAATTCTTGCCATCTCTTTCTTTGACTTTCAATTTTCTTTGCATTAAAATCCTTATGTTTTTCAAATAATTCCTTCATATCTCTGACATTTCCATCATCATCAGAGAGATCAAATCCATAATTTTCAAGATACTTTTTACTAACATCAACAGGTTTTGCTTCCATAATTTCCAAATCTAATGTTTTTGTAGCAATACCAATTGTTCCTGAAGAATCTTTACGAACAAAATCAACCTGTTCAACATCAACTTGTATCTGAGCAACAGCAACAGCAGAAGTAACACCTACATTACCAGCAGCAACACCATCACCTACAGAAGAAGAAGAAGTCGATGGTGCATTGTTTGTTGTTTCATCCATTTTTTCAAGGCTTTTTTCGTTCTTTCCGTTGCTACTGTTGATGTTATTAGCTGTTGATGAACTATGATTGTTATTGTCCTTGTTGGTATCATCCTCTTCATCATCATCAGAGGAGGAGGAGGACATGAGATGGAATGGATCATCGTCCTCTTCATCCAATTTAAAGGTTCCATCAATGATATTTTGTTTGTACTTTTCAAAATCCTTGTCGGTGATGAGATTTTGTTTGTGATAGTTGGAGAGGAGATCTAATTGTTCCTTTTGCTCTTTGGATAGTCCTATTGTTGTTATTGTTATTGTTGTTATTTGTTGATGTTATGATTGTTATTGTTGTTCATCAATGTTGAAATGAAAAAATTGGTTAATAATTGTTGTTGATTGGTGACTTACCAAAGTGCTCTACTGGGTTGGGCTAGGTAACAATGTTAGTTGTGATGATTTTTCTCATGTAATCACTTACCACGTCAGATGAAATCATTTTTTTCACAATAAATTTTCAATCACTTGACAGATAACGTTTGGTTGACAAATAATACCGCAGACAGAAGAATGAACAAAATAAAACCATGATTATTAAGAAGTACTCGACAAATAAGATATCAAACGGTTGCATCGCGATTTTTGGCTCTTGTTTAAGAAAGTCCTCGAAAAAAGTTGTCAATTACTACTAGAAACTTGTAAGTTGTAAACTCAATTATTGTTAAATTTTAATGGAGAATCAACATGCTGGCAACAAATACTGCCAAAGCAATTGCTGAAATGAAATTGAAGGAGCCAGAATTTACAGAGCTTGCTGGTTGAATTGGAGTCAATTGAACTTGTTCAACATATGGAACAATGTCAACATCCATATCTAAACCTTGGAAAGAAGAAGTGACAACATAGTTGGCATCTGCAAAGTTTTGGTTCATGCATTTGTAGTATTGAGCGAGTTGTCTTGCACATTTTCCTTTGAAAAGAGTTGATTCAGTATCAATGAAAGTTCTCTTATCATTGGTCAACTTGAATGGCCTTACAAGTCCATATTGATTCCACAAACAAGCATCAAAATTGATTCTGAAACCTTCACAAGTAGTCTTCATGCAGGATCCTGATGAAGTGGAGGTAATATTAGATCCTGGGCATAGGCAATAGTCAACTTCAAGTGACATTTCATTAACAGTGTTATATGAAGGAACACAATCTGTAGAAACTTTACAAGATTTTGAAATCGATGCACAAACGGTATTATTACAATAACCACTGAAGCATTCATCATTGGCAGAACATGTCTTTCCATTTAGGACGCTATTTCTTCTGACACATTGATTATTTCTGCACATCATGAGCTTAACTCCACTTGGTCCACATTCATTATCACTGACACAATACTCACCTGCAGCTGCAAGCTTGGATTGACAAGTGGATGCTACAGCAGAGGCTGAGGTTTTTCTACAGATGCCAACACATGTTTTGTCGCTAGTACATGTCTCACCAATATTCAATGTGGCCACACATTGGTTTGTACTACAAATCAATCCACTTCCACAGACAGATAATTTTCCATCCTCAATCATTGAACAATTTGCACCAACAGCAGTCTTGGTGTTTGTGGCCATACAAACAGAATTGTAACAGGTTGAATCAGCTACACAAGTTGAAATTGTGTAATTGTTAGTTTGCTTAAAGCATACTCCACCAACTGGGAGAGTTTGTTCAACAGTCATAACTCTACACTTTCCAGCATAACAAACTGAAGGCATGGATCCAGTTAAAACACACTCCGAGTCAGAAATACAATTATCGCCTGTATATCTAGCTTCGGATACACAAATTCCATTTCTACAAGCCATTACACTCAAGATGCAGTCAGAGCTCTTAGAACATTGTGTTCCTCTCTTTTGTGTAAAGATATCCGAAATTTTCTTACAAGAGTTGGAATTGAAAACACTTCCTATTAAACACTTATTACCAGTCTTTCCGTAGAGTGCAATATTATCATCAGAGGCAAAGAATGAGGTACAGCTTTGAGCATTAAGGAAACCCACAAGAGCCAATGAGCAAATCAACAATAATAAGGTGGCACCAGAAGAGATGTTTTGCATTTTTTATAAACAGAAAGCACATCCATGTTGAGTTTTGCTTGTCTATTAAGGATGAATCCTTTTAGCACACACTTTTGGATACACCTATATTAGTTGACCAAATGTAACTATTGAAGGGAGTGAAAGATAGTTTATCAAATCTCCAATAATAAACCTCGTATGTTTGGTTGATGAACTTTTATCAGCCATTTATTGGTTCATAGAACAGTAAACAATTTCTTTCAATTCAATCAAAACACTTTTTAAAAAAAACATACAAGATGCCAAGAGAAGTTTATGAAGGAGAAGGTGGTGCCTCATTCGGTGGAGATGAAGCTGATACAGGAGATTTTGATAAGGGAAGATGGCTGGATAGTGTATTATTTGATATGAACATTGATCCAATGATTGAATTGGGAGAGAGTGAACATCCGAATACAAGCTTATTTGATGATCATTCTGATATTTTGGAAAAGATCAAGGATCAAAACGCCTTTAGAGTTGCTCCATACTCTGGAACACCAATGCCAAAGGTTAATCCTGAGAGTGGTGTGTTACTCTCTGGAAAATATGCTGAAGAAGACTTGAAGGTTTCCTTCAATCCAAGTTTGTTTGATATTTGCAAATTTACATTCTTCCTTAGAGTATTTGTTGATGCTGAATCAGAAAACGTTGTAACCTTTGGAGAATCATACAGATGGTTGGGTTTATTCAAGAATAGACTTACTTTCAATAATCAAGATCAAGCTGTGCAAATCAATGCCATTATGGATAATGCATGGAATGAAGTCATGTTGAGCTTTTCTTATGATCAGGATTCAAACTCGGGAAATTGTTTATTGATTGTAAATGGAAAGGAATATGATGCTCCTTTGAAAGAACCTCTTAGTATTCTCAGTGCAGGAGAAAGAACAATTAGCTTTGATAGTGGATTCTCCTTTGTAAATTATTCAAATGCAAGATGTTTTAAGGGAATTGTTGGAAGTGCAATCATGCTCAACCAACCATGTACAAGCTTCTCAGAATTGAAGCAAGTTGGTGACTTCTTGCTCGCCAATCACAAGAAGCCAGTAGATTCTTATGCATCAGCAAAGGATGTCAAGATTGATGTTGCAGAACCTGTTCACATTGAATCTGAAGACGAGTATAATAAGATTGTGAAAAAGAATAGATTGCTTGTTCTTGACTTTTTTGCTACATGGTGTTGCCCTTGTACATCAATTGCTCCTAAATTTACTCAATTGGCAAACAAGTATAAGGATGCTGTTTTTGTAAAAGTTGATGTTGACCAACAACCTTCAATCATGTCAAGATATGAAGTGAACTGTATGCCAACATTCGTCTTTATTAAAGATGGAGCAGTAATAGATAGATTGGAAGGTGCTGACTCCAAGACTCTTGAATCCAAAGTTAAATCATTGGTAGAGCTTTTACAATAAATTAATAACTACTAAATAATTCAACTTCTTTTACTATTATGCTTTCTTTAAAAGAAAGTTTTCAAATCGTTTCGATCTTATCAGAAAGAATTTGTCTTTGTCATTTAATTACAAATTTAAGTGTTTATTCACTTAAGAATAAACATTAATTTAATTGGAAACTTCTGCTCAATATTTCTTCTTCTCGCAAGTGTTGTTTGAATTCCGCCAGCTTGTTTCTCAAACTTTTGATGGCTTGAATCTTTCTAACCAAAATACAATCTAAGCTTGTTACATATTTGTCTATTGTTGATTGAGGTTGATCAACATCGTTCAGTAATTCCATTTCTTGTTTCATTAATTCCATAATGTCATCAATATGTTCTCTGTGTTGGGCAATAACCTCTTCTTCCTCGTCTAAAATCTTACTGATTAGTTCTTCGTGAGCTCTCTCAAGTTCTGCCTCTCCTACATCTTGGAAGTGAGGAGGTAAAACAACTTCATTATTTTCTTGCATAATATCGGCATCATCAAAATCTTCATCATCTAAATCTTCGTCCACAATGTTATCAGAAGTCTCATAGTCTTGTTTATCATAATCCTTAATATCATATTCTTGCTTATCATAGTCATCCATTTGCATATCATCATCTTCAACTTGATAATTATCAACTTGATAGTTATTATTCACTCTCATTTGGTTATTGATATTTTGATTAATGTTCATATTTTCGAACACTGGTTGTTGGGGTTGAGGAGTAGGAGTGAGATCTTGCCTTGGTTTAGCGGCAGCTTTACCATTTCCACTTCTGAGTTCTTTAACTCTGTCAGCATATCTCAATGTATTCAAACTGTGTTCGCACGAATTAGAAGATGGTGAGGCATTAGCAATCATTACAGTCTTGGAGTTTCCTATAAAAGAATCTTTCAATACTTCTGTCAGTTTGCTTCCTCTGAATGGAACGTGACTCTTACCACGATCCAAAGATCTAATACATTCCTTAAGTGCCAACAAACTCTTATTGATATCAGCACCTTCCAACCTTGTTTGCTTGTCACTGTTCTTTGTATCAGCACCTCGTTCAGAACCAGCAAGATCTATGAATGAGAATTTACCATATGGCTTATCATTGTACTTTAAAACAATTTGTAATATAGCATGGGAACGTGAGGAGTCAGAGTTAGCACCAGTTGAACCAGTAGCTCTGATGGAAAGACCTGTATCTATCATACCCATCAAATCTTCTACACTATTTACACTATTTTCTGTCAATCCGCAAATACTGACCATATTCTTAGCATCTTCACGAGCAAATACCTTCTTTCTATTATTCAACAAATCAAATAATTTACCACCATAAATTTCATAAAAACTGATCCAAACACTCAATTCTGACGAGAGTCTTTGAAAAATGTCACTAGCAGCAAGTAAATATAAACCCTTTTGTCCATTTTTACCCATCATGGTAAATGTTTTACCACTTCCTGTTTGTCCATAAGCGAAACAAGTGGCTTTACCCTTATTGAAAATGTGATCAACAAGTGGTCTAGCAGTCTTATTATAAATTTCAACGTTATCACAATATTCATCAAATATTTCATCAAAACAGAATTGATGTTTTTCTACAAATTTTGTAAGATCGACTTTTTGTTTAGGTTCGTGTATAATTAACTCGTTATCATTTACAACTTCCAAAATATCAGTTTCACCTCTATTCTTTTCGTTATCATTAAGAGGTCTTTTACGAACAGCAACTACAATATTTGATCTTTGTCTTTTGCCAGCTGCTGGTGGTTGAGCTTGTTGCTTATTAATGATATTATTATTATTGATAATGTTATTGTTGTTGCTAACAACATTAACCATTGGTTTACGAGGTTGTTCTTGTACAACAGGAGTTGATTTCACTGGATTCCTTACTACTTTTGGTTGAGCATTATTTTGTTGCATAATTTGTTGGAGTGATTGTACTTTTGGAGCTTGGAATTGAGGTTGAGAAGATGCTGGTCTCTTATTGACCACATTATTATTGTTAACTTGATGGACTTCAAAGGCATCGAAATTGGTATCGTTATTGTTACCCATATTATTCACGGCAGCATCCCAATCATAGAGTGATTCTTCGGCATTGCCATAATTTTCTTTCTCATCATCAACAAATGCCTGTGCTTTAGGATTCAAATCTAAAGCAGGACATCTATTGAGTGCCATTTGTTCATTCTCAAAATTTCCACCTGATGATGAAGATGATATATTTTTCTTGGCCACTTGTATTAGTTCAAAGAATTTTCTTCTATCTCCTCCGTTGGATACACCAATTTTATTGGCGACATCTTGTACTGATAGCTGTGCAATAGCTTCAATACTGGTTACTCCGTTTAATTTTAATTGAGAGTAGTAATGATCGAGTGAAGCCTTCTCGAGATATTTAAACAATACAGAAGAGGCGCTCTCTGAAGGCATAATGATGTTACTTCAATTTTTTTTTAATATTTAGAATTTGGAGGTTTAAATTTTGGCGCCAACTTGTTTTGTAACGTTGTATTGAATTGCCCCGCCTAAAATAATTCATTGAGCATCGAAATAGATTCTTCATTATCTGTATTATCTCAGTAGGCCAATTCATGAAATTGGAAGAATTTTTCAATGTGGTTTTATTTACAGGTGTCCTAGAGGTGTGTTATTCGTTTGATTTACTTTTGCAATTTGCTCAATGCAACACCTACTGTGAAACCACTGGCAAGCATTGATGCTACACCAATCATTCCACCAAAACTCAAATTAGCCATTTGGGATAAACCTTGTCCAGAAGTGCAACCATGTCCAGCTCTTGCACCAAAGAGTAATAAGAAACCAGATGCTATAGCCCAGCACTTTTCCTTATTACTGAGCTTCTTTGGTTCAGCACGAGTACCAGCAAGATAGGAGGAAAAATAACTTCCTCCAACAATGCTCAAATCAGAAATCAATTGCCACAAATATTTAGCACTCTTTGAGATTGTGAATCTTTCAAAGTACTCTTGCTCAACTGGCAAGTATCTAGTAATAAATGTTACTGCAGTAACAAATGCGGACGAAGTTCCCAACGTAGTTTTACAAATTAGATTAACTGGTACTTGGAGAGCTCCCAAAGCAAGACCAGAATAAATTGGGTGCCATTGTCTTCTCTTGAGGAGACACTTTTCAGTACTGATGAGATCAGTCTCTGGAGTTGGAAAGAGCTTTTCCAAAGTACAAGCAATACCAACAAGCATTGTACCTACTGGCAATGCAATGCTCCACATTGGTTTACCAAGAAGTCCATGAAGAGTATTGAATGATCCTGGAACTTCTGTGGATTCCAATAAACTGTTAACAGTAGGATTATTGATCACAATTCCATAGACAGTAGCTCCAATAATACCACCCAACAAAGTATATAAAGAAGATGGTACACCTTCACCAGCTTGGGCCAAAACTATTAATTTCCAAATCAAAATCAGCATTCCAAAAAAAGAGAACTGTTAAATCACATACTCACAAAAAATAGTAATACTAACCTGTACCAGGACATGCACCTCCTAGAGCCATTCCAACACCCATAATAGCACCTCCAGAGATTGTACTTCTGAGATTAATATTAATTGGGGAGAGTGTTGCAACACCCATCAAATCCAACAAACCCAAAGAAATTGTACTTGCTCCCGAAGCAGACAAGAAGGTCTTCATCATGGACCAACTTTTTAGAGCCATTTGGTTCTTAATATTTTCAGGAGAGGACATTCTACTCTTTTGCAAAATTATACCAAAAGCAAGACCTTCTGGAATACCAACACTGATGGCAGCAGTACAACTTGGACTAGACATTTTTTATCTTTTTGCTTAAAATTGTTTTTGTGTGGTTGTTTGAGCATTTATCTGAAAAAGAGACTGTCAAGTTTTCTTTGGTCCGTTTTAAATGTTCGTCGCAAACATGATGTTGATAATGACCATGATTGGCCATGTCCATAGCGGCGAATTAAGGAACACTCGAGAGGACTAGGATTGAAAACACAGTGTAGTAGGTACAACATTAGAGGTGAAGTTTAGAGATGTATCTTTTGTTGTATCGATTAAGATTTAAGTTCATTCTCGTTATTAGTTACTAACATACAAGTTAATAAGAAAACAATGTGAATACACCTTCGGAAGTATCATCACTACAAAATATTTGATTGGATGACAAATGTTGTAGAGAAATGGATGATGCAATCCATACAAGTTGAAAAGAACAAGTAAATTCAACGGTTTCCTATTTTTTTATTATTTAAATATTTATTATTTAAAAAAAATGAATCAATCGCCTAATCATCTTCTTCAACACTTTAACGATTTGGATGCCGAATTTCATCAGGCGGATAAAGATAGGGACAATATTTTGATTCCACCTGAAGCTAAGGTTTATTTTGACCAATTTGCTCTTCCTCTTCCTGTGATGAAATTTATTTGGGGATCTTCAAAAACAACTCCAGCACCTGGCTTGACTCTTGATGAATTTAAACATGCCATGCAAATGATCCGTCAAGAACTTATGAATCCTGGAAGTCTTCCTATTAATCAAGGTGGACCAAATTTCCAACCACCACAACAACAAGGTTTTGATTACAGTATCAGATCAGAAGATCGCGATACTTATGAAACCAATTTTTCCAATTTGGCTAGAGGAAAATATACAATTTCTTATGATGAATGTATGAATTTCTTCTCCAAAGCAGGTCTTCCTAATGATATTGTAAATACAATTTTCCAATTGGCTGATTTTGAAAAGAACAGAGTTTTGGACAAGGAAGAATTTGTGATTGCTATGCACTTGTTGAGATTAAAGAGAAAGATGCCAAATATGCCAATTCCTAACCAATTACCACCTGTTTTAATTCCTCCATCTAAAGCTAATGTTACACCAACAAGTTTGTCTGCTAGTCCAAGTTTGAGACCAAGAAGTGAATCAACAACTAGCATGGATAGTATTAATGCCCCACCAACACTTGTTTCTTCATCAGGAACTCTTGGATTTAACAACATGTCTGGTGGTTTAACTCCTTTGAATAATTTTGGAAATAATATGATGATGGGAGGTCCACCACCTTTGAATAATTTTGGAGGTCCAAACATGATGGGAGGAGGTTCAAATCAAATCAATGTTGGTCCTGTTAGAGATATGGAAAATCAAATTAACAGAGTTCTCGATGAAACCAGAATGTTAAATCAACAATCCTTCCCACTCAGACAATCTGTTGAACAAAATGATCTCAGATTAAACGGTCTCCGAGAAAGAAAGGCTGATTTGGAAAATGATTTAAACCAAGTTCGTCAAGAATTTGAAAGTTTAAAGATGCAAAATCAAGCTAAGGTTGAAGAAATCAATTCTCTTGAAGCTCAATGCTATACTTTCGAACAAGAAAGAATGGAATTCCAAAACCAAATTCAAAGAGTTAGACAAGAATCCATGCGTCTCGAACAACTCTTTGAAAGAGCTCAACTCTCTTTCCAAAGTGCAAGTGGTGTTGTTGATGCATTGAAAAGTGAATTGGAACAAGGTGTTAACGAACTCATTCACCATAAAGATGAATTATTCAGGTTGAAGAACTCAACAGACCAAGGAGATGAACAAACACACATGATTGAACAAGAAATTAATAATGCCAAGAACGAATTAATGATGGTTAAACAACAATTGATGGAAGCTAGACAAGCCAACGAAGAATTACAATTGAAGATCCGTGGTTTGCAAGTTCAAAAGCAAGATGTTGAACAAACAACTTTCCAAACCAAAACCGAATTGAGCAATCTCGTTTCCCAAAATGATGATCTTAAGAATCAATTGATTAGAGTTCAAACCGAATTTGAAAGCCAAAAGCAAAAAGGTGTTCCAAGCGCTAAGCTTGTCAAGCTCGCATCTTTTGTTAAACAAATCCAAGAATATATTCAAAGCTTTGATTCTGCTCTCCAAGAAGAATTCCCAAATGATACACCTTTGCAACTCAAGCAAGTCTCACCTATCAGCACAACAGTACCTATTACAAAGGCCAGTTCTGGATTTGGAGGTTTTGATAACGACGACTTTGGTTTTGATAACAAAAATGGTAATAAGGGAGGCTTTGGCAATGACGATTTCGGTTTCAATGTTCCACCTCCAGTTGTCACTGCAAACACTACCAAGGTTCCAACACCATCTTCTAAACCAGTAACTCCAAGCACTGGATTTGTTAATACTGTTCCAACTGTCAAAGCCCAAAGTCCAAGCTTTGAGCAACCAAAGACCAATACTGGATTTGGAGGTTTTGATAACGACGATTTTGGATTTGACAACAAGTCAGGAAATACTGGGTTTGATGCTGATTTCAGTTTTGGTAACGACTTTGGCAAACCTGCTACTACTTCCCAACCACCAAAGGCAAGTTCAGGATTCGTTAATGACGATTTCGGATTTGATGCCAAGCCAGCCACATCTCAACCACCAAAAGCCAACCCTGGATTTGGAGGTTTTGAAAATGATGACTTTGGTTTCGATAGCAATAATGGTAATAAGGGTAGTTTTGATACAGATTTCGGATTTGAAGCTGATTTCAACAAGCCAGCCACAACTCAACCAGCCACCACTAAGCCAGCTGCTACTCAACCAGCTCAAGCAACTGGTTTTGATGATTTTGGTTTTGATAACAATACTAACACAACATCTGGTGGGTTTGATGATTTTGGATTTGACAACAATGCTACTAAATCCACTTCTGATCCTTGGTCTGATTTCTCAGCATCAAACTCTACAATCACAAAGGAAGCTGCTCAAGATGATTGGGCTTCTAGTGGTTGGTAATTTTCCTAATTTATTGTAATTAAAACATGTAATCTTAATCAAAAATTTTTGGGTTTTGCAATCTTTTTTTGAGTTGAGGATTTCTTTCAACTAGAGCGCCTAATTTGAAAACCTCTTTTTGAGCTAGGCTTTGTCCACTTTGATAGAATTCGTCTGGACTGACATGGTTGTGCACAAACCTTCTTTTCTTGTAGCAGTCAATGGATGCCACAGGTGTATTACACAATAAACATTTCAGTTCCTTGTCTTGATCGTAAGCCTGATGAGAATACCTCTCAAAACATTCGTGACACATTGCCAAATGCCTTCTCAATGGTGAATCATTTGAATTTTTTGAAAAACAACTTACCTGCAAGGATTGAAAATAATATCAGCATCGTCACTAAAGCAAATGCAACAACTTTTCCCATTAGTTATCACATCTGGTTGTTTGTCATTGGAATGATTCGATCCGATCACCATTGAAAGAGTGCTTAAGAACTCATTCACCTTTTTTCGAATAAAACTCAGTTGAGTTTTGTTATACCTATCCGATAATTGTTTCGGATTATAGTCCAACAATTGGAAATCATTTACATGAATCATATGGATTGATTCTCTCGCACCATTGATATATCCATCCTGATAAATTACTTTACTCTTTAAATAATCCTTGTAATAAAACAACAATCTCCGAATCAAAGCACAAACTAAGTATAATACAAAAAATCCCTGATCTCGCTTATAATAATTTACAATATAATAACAAATGAAAAATCCATCACTCTCGTATAATATTAATCCCCACCACAATAATCTACAAATTATAAAAGGAATACTCAGAATTTGAAAAAATTCAGGAGTTTTCCCAACAATAAACAATGGAATGAAAGGATGTATCAGTGCCAAATATCCATACGTTTCATAATCGTCTAAGTAATTCCCATCTCCAAGTGTAAACATTTTTTTGGCTTGCTATTTTGAAGAATTTGATAAAAATAGTTGTGATTTGTTTTACATCAAGACAATTAATGCAAAATTAATAAACAACCATCAATTCCTGGATTAATTGAACAAGTATTGCCGAGCCAAATAATCTAGTGATGGATGTGTTTATTCCATTGTCAAGATGTGTTTATGAGTACCAGTGGTTGCTTCGGAATCGACAACTACAACATTCAGGACTATACTTTCATTCTTCATGGAACACATTCCCTTATCACTACAAACATACAATCTACAATCAATAGTGACAGTAACAGGTGTGGATGATGTCTTGTGTCCATTCAATTGAATATCAATTTTAGTAGCAGCTCCGAGCTTTCCTGTGGCTGGTGATGAGATGGAAACAATGCTTTCATCACTGGATTTAATATTGAAACTGTTAGGAGCATCCTTATTCAAGTGGATTCCATTTTGTTCCTGGAATGAAATGGTATACTTTCCTCCTGCAGAGGCACTGATTTGAAATTCTGATGGGATTTGGATTGTCTTACTTCCGAACATTTTTTTTGATTGAGTTTTTCATATTTCTATTATAATTAATATGTCATTGTAAAGAATATATGAAGAGTTATAAAATTAGGCGAAATTAGTGACCTCTATTTTCTTTTTCTTTTGGTGCGAATATTGTAAATTAGTGCCATTTCAATTATCGTTTCAATAATTGAAATAACTTTCTCAAAATCCAAAAGATTCCTAATAAGCTAACATATGGAAATATGTATTGCATAAATTCCCTACTTATTGCAGTGGAAGAATCTTTTCTCTGTTTTGATTTAGCAAATTGTTTAGTTTTCTCAGATTTTGTTGATGAATTAGTGAAAAAGTAATCAAACATTTCAGAAAACCACTCATTCAATGAAAATTGCGAAACAAACTTCTTGTAATCAGTCATGAACTGTTTTTCCTTCTGATGAAAAGATTTGTACTCGCTCATTAATTTAAGGACTGATTCATGCTCATCCTTTGTCAAATTATTCATTATCCAATCATACAAATGTGGATATCGACTCCAAGAAAAATTAGGAAATGCTCTATAATATTCAATTAAATCACCCGATGTAAGAGTTTCATTATTTTCACTTTGTGATTTGATAATTATTAATTCATTTCCAGAAATTAAGAATTGCTTCTTGTTCGGAAATAAAACTAACTCTCCACTTTTAATGTACTCTATCGGATCGATGCTGTTCTCATAAAAAGGCTTTGTCATCCTCCCTCTCGATAAATCAATCCGAATTAAATCGTCATTTGAATAATTAAACGTTCCGAATGTTGTTGTTTGATTTTTCAACTTTTCATCCCTCTCCTCCGAGTTTATTGATTTTATCTTCTCTTCTTCCTGTGATAATTGATATTGCAACTTGCAGATATCAGCAAGGCTCAGTTGCGTCATTTTTTTTACTGTAAATTAATCCTAAAATCATTGATAATTGGCATGAAATTCAAAGTCTATTATCACTACTTGTTGGTAAAGCACACAGAAAATATTACTCATGTTCTCTTAATTCAAGATAATACCTCATGATCCTATTGGGATCAGCTACACTGAAATAAAATTTTTTACTGTAAATTGAAATATTTTACAAAATAATTGAAAAATCTACTTTACAATATCATTGATCAATCCAAACATCCAATCCAATGCCTCAGTCCACGTTTATTCAGGTAAGGAATTTGAGAAAACAATAATCTGTCACTTGTAATTTCCACATGATTATAATTAAAAAAAATGTCAACACCTCCACCTTCCTTCCATCACCATACAAGTCGATACGAAGTTGAAGATGGTTATGTAAATGATGGACTAAACTATTATCATAACGATGAGACATCACATAACCATGCGGAAAGTGAAGGTGAATTATCATCCAATTTTTCACATCAAAATTTCTTCCAAACTCCAAATCAACCACAATCACAACAACAATCACAACAACAAGAGGATTACTTTTATCCACAACAACAATATTATCCACCTTCTTCTCCTTATTCGTATCAGATTAGACATGCCACATCAACGAATTCTTCACAACAGTCAACCGAGTCTTTTTTTACATTCATTAATAGATATGAAAAAGATGAAGCAAGAGAGGCTGAAGAACAAGAATCGAAGGGAAAATCAGAAAATGTTTCGGATAAAAATCAATTAAATTCTGTTTCGGAAACAAAGGATGATATTTCAATATTGTTGAGAATTTATTCGAGGAGATTTACACCAGAATGTGTTGGGCGTATAGTTTCGTTTCTTCCAGTTTCTGTGTCATCATTAGTCAGTAAATCCTATCAATTGGGTAAGTTTTTAATTATTTCGAATATATTATTAACTGTTTGTTAGTTTTTGATGTCACCCATTATAAATCCCTCTATCAATTTGGGTACAATCACTATTATTCGAAACAGAGTGAACACATTTACAAACGTGTCAATGCAACATGGAAAGAAACTCTATTAGAAATGTACAAGATGCAATTCAGAGAAAAGGAACAAATTTTGTCGAGTAAATTTCCTCATCCCTCTGTAAAACTCACTCAAAATTTTATGGGATTTGTCAACTCTGAAGATTTATTTAATTTAAAGATTAAGAATGATTTTGAAAATAGAAAATTGAGATTTACAATGATCACCTATGAAAAGTATAATACATCTGATATGTTCAAGCTCTTTACAAAGAATAATCAGAACAAAATTTTATTGGATGACAATCTCTCTGTAGAATACGAAATGAATGTAAGTTTGAAATTATAATTTTCAGTTGACCAAGAATGATTTGTTCAGTATGTTGGATATTTATTACCTGGATCACATGATTTTTCCAATTTTGAAAGTGCAGATGCAATTATTTTAACATACAGCGTCATTGATTTTAATTTATTTTACACAATGTCATCGTGGATCAATTTATTGGAAACAATAGCTCCAGATGTTCCTGTAATTTTACTTGGCACTCATGCTAACTATAGAAAAGATTCCCATATCATGTCAAAATTGAGAAAGAAGGAACGTTATGTCATGAGATTTATGGAATGTATTGAACTTGCCAAGAGATTTAATATTCTCTCATATTTGGAAATGGATGCCTGTAACTATGTTGGATATGAAAAGGAGATTTCATCTTGTGAAGAGGAAGAAAAGCATCATATTGAACCAAATCAATCCAATCATTCAGAAAATATAATCAATGAAGAATCAGTGCCTTCTCAACAATCAACAACTAATAATGAATCTCAAATCTTATATGATGATGACGATGTTCCAATAGAGACAATCATTGATATTTCATCAGAACAAGTACTTACTCCATTTATTGAACTACCAGATAACATCTCCAACCAAATTCATCAAACTCTAATTGCATCTTCCAAGGCAGCCATTCATTTTGCTCATGTAAATAATGAAATTTCTATCAGAAACTTTTGGAAAGGAACAACCTCTTTCTACAGTGAATGTATGCCTTCAAGAAAGTGTTCCATCCAATAAAGATTTCAATTTTGCCTTCTCTCAACCTTGCCTCCCAATAATATTGAGGTATTTAAAAAGGAATTTGTAAAGCCAAAATTCGTTCCGAAAATAATTTTTCTCTTTAAAAAAAAAATTTAAAATGCCAGGTAAAGAAGGTGGTAAAGTCAAACCAGTACGTATTTTGTAGTTCTTTTTTGAAATGCTCACTAATAACCAACTATAATTTGTATGATGAAAATTATTAAAATAATAACAAATATTGATAACGGAAAATAGTTGAAGAAGCCAAAGAAGGACGACTCTGTTATGGATGAATCTGATGTTGCTTTCAAGCAAAAGCAAAAGGAAGAAGCCAAGGCTCTCGAAAAGGCTAAACAAGAATTGGCCAAGAAGAAGAAATAAATTATCTTCCTTTTTGAACACCAACGAAATTATATCTGTGCTGAAACATCATATCTTGGCAATTTCTCTTGCCCTACATCATCACAAAATAAATTTTCTAGTAGATAAATTTAAATTTAATTAGTGTTGTAACGTTATTGAAATTTAAAACCGGCTTATACAAAACAAGGGAACATGACAACAACTTACACACGCAAGTTCATAACAAAAAAATGTATTATTACTTTGGTGCAATTCCAATTTGCATTGTGAAGGATTTTGAATTGATGAATAAGAAATTCGTCAATCATGCTAATCATCAACAAGCTGACAAACTGATGAGTCCATTGGTAGCTTGTTGGAAATATCATTCCGCATGTTTTTCCTCTTTAATTAGCAAGGAATTGGATGCTCAGGGAAGATTAGTTCGAATGTTCTTTTACAATTTGGAGCAACAGATGAATGCAATCTCTTTTCAATTGTGTTTATTGGATGAAGATGAAAGGCCAGTGAATAGATTTGATTCTTTCTATCTGCCCCAGCTCATAGCAAGAAGTGTCTATTGTATCTGTACTAGACTTCATTCATCATTAACAGAGTGCAATTTGGAGTCTTCTTTCCAGGATGTTTCAGAACAATTTGGAAAGGTAGTCGAGTTTTTGGTTGGTGGAATGGAACATGTAAGGAGTACGAAGGGATTTGATGAATGTGTAAGAAGGTTGACAATTCTAATTGTTAGTAATGAGTGTAATGCAGAGTTTAAACAAGCTCTCTTGTTGATTTACTTATCTTGCTTATGTGATAGATATGTAGATATTGAGGTGAAGAGTGAATATCCATTAATTACTTACACCAATGAGTTGGCCAGATTGATTTCTTATCCGATTGACTCGAATAGAATTGTGGAATTTGTTTCAAATGATTTTTATAAGAATTTTGAAATTACAAAAGATACTCAACTTGAACATATTTTGGATGATTTTGAAAATGAGGAAACATTGGAAAATAACCTTATTGCTTTTACACAATATTCATATTTTGAGAAGACTGTTTTTGCTCCTCAATTAAGACAATTGAGTTTTCCATTCTTGAAGCAGACACCTTTCGGTGATTGCCAAGAGTTGAATCTTTTTGAGATGTTTATCAACAATTTTATATTTAATCATCAAACTAAAAAGTATGATCTTTCATTGCTTCCAGATAATGTCAATTTCAATAAGGAAATTGAAAGACTTTTATTGGACTATGATTTAGATCCTAAACATGTAAATTGCCTTTCTTTTAGATCCAGATATCACACAATTTTACAAGGAAAACCAGAGGTCTTTCAATATGTTAATGCAAGCTTTTTAACTGAACCAGAAAAAGATTACGAAGTGGATGTGTCAGCCTTCAATATCCTTGCATATTGTGAGTGGCTATTTGGTATTTCATTAGAAAAGAAGGCTCCACTCAACAAATTCCTCAATTTCGATTCCTATCTCGAATTAAGAAAATCAAAACAGGATAATTCCTGTTCCATCTCCTATGAGGATATCACCATATTGAAACAAGCTAGATTGAGATTTTGTTTGGAAAAAGGATTCAAGAAGGAAAAGAAACAACTTGAATTGGCTTTCAAAGAACTTTCTGCCAAGTTGACCACAAAGGATAGATCAATAGAAATCAAAATGGACAGAACAACAAAACAAAATCACAACCTAATCATTGCCAAGTATCATTCTCTCAACAACAATAATTTATCATATGAAATAATAGCAGATCAATATGGAGCTCATGTAGCCACTTACCGAAATGCAAAATAAAGTCTTAAAACTTTTTGGCGCCAATTTTGGTGGTTTTTCAACTTTAAAAAAAATGAGCGAAGAACCACAAGAAATCCACGCAGAGAAACGATCGAGGAGAGCAAGAAGAGTACCACGGAATAAAACACAACAGGATGCAGCAATAGGTCTTGATGAGTCTGTTATTATTGATGAGACCAATCAATCTATAATTGCAACAACTGTAGAATCGGAGAAAGAGGAACAAACAAATAATAATCAATCAATTATTGTACAACAACAAGAAAGTCAAACTAAATCTTCAGAGAATGTGCTCACCACAACTAAATTATTATCAATAGAGAAGATTTATAAAATAGTTAGGAGCAAGATTGAAAGTTCTAATACATCATCTGATGATAATGATAATTCAAAGTTTGTTTTGACATTGACTGAGAATCAAATCAAATTACGTCTAAACATTGCAAAGGAGAGGAAATTAGCCTCATTACCAGAGGCTGTTGTCAATAAGATTTGTGACATTTTCTCAATTGCTGTTTGTTATTTGTGGAAAGTGGAGGAAAAACAAAACTTTTTACTGAATTGTTTTGGATCTTCATACATGTTGGCTCTTCGTGAAATATTAATGAAATTTTACATTCCTCTGAAAGATGATCCAATGTCAAATCAAACCCTTCGATTTCTTGTACCTGAGGAAGTGAAAGATTATGAAAAGCTTGACAAGATCTTGGAAGAGCAAGAAAAAGTTATTTCAGCAATGAATACAAGCAAAACTACTTCTGAAAAGAAAGAGAGTGACGTTGATTCATCTCTCTATGAGCTCATTCAGAAACACCAAGAAAGATACCAAAACAGGCAGAGTAAATTCCTTACAGGGCTAGCAAACCCAGAAAATTTCCTTAAAGATGCCGACCTATTCAGACAACAAAGAATCAAAAAGTCTGAAGCACAGAGAAAGCAAAGAAAAGCTATGCTTGATAGAAAGAAGTTAGCACATTCAAGCACAATCAAAGCTGAATCACTTCCAGATAATAGATTTACAGCTGGTATTAAGGTTAAGAGCAAGAAAAAGAAAACCAAGAAATAAAGATAATTTGTAAATTATTCATTATTTGATTTTGTTTTTTTTGGTTTTTGGCTGCTCTTCAAATGAGTTGTGAAATTGGAGTTGATTTGTAGAGATTTCAGTTGCGGTTTTTTTTGGACGACCTCTAGTCTTACCAGTATTTGAGAATTTGCATTCTTTCCCCAATCTAAAACATCTACTACAAGGATCCTTTCCATCACATTTCTTTTTTGCTATTCTACATGTACTACATGCCATTTTGGTTCGTTCTGGGCTGAATGAAGAGTTTTCCTCATTGCATGTATCATTAGAAGATGTCGAAGAATTAGTATTTACAGGATGATATGGTTTTCTCTTCAATGAGACATCTGGTATCTCTTTTGTGGCATTCATGTCAGATGTCGAATGATTTACATGAGATATTTCCCGTCCTGCATGCATGTGCATGTTGTGATAAGATGCATGTTCAGATGAAGATACATGGTTGGTATGTGTTGCTACAGTGCATGTATCAGTGTTATTTGCATCATGCTTAACATTCATGTTACATGAAGTGTTTATAGATGTGCCTTTCGCATGCATATCGTCGGTTTTCATTGGAAAGGTAGAATGATAGGAGAGTGGATGGTGGATTTGGGAAGAGGATACTGGAGAAAATGGCATGGGTGAAGTATGTTTGGTGTTGTATTTGGTCAGTCTGTTGGATGAATTAAACACTTGGTGCATCATAGAAGCATGTATGTTATTGGCATGTAGATCATAAAGTAAAGATGATGGACTTTTGCTACCTGTTGGTGGTCTAGAACGGCTTGATATCTGTGATGATTCAGATAGGAGTGTATTGATTGGTGGAAGTCTAATGTCTTCTTGATTGGGAGAAGGTGAAATAGATGAATAATTGTGGAACATGTGACTGGATGTACCAGCATTGTCTCCCTTCATCACAGATGATGCTGATCCATTAGATGGTTGTATGTTATAAGGTACATCATTGGTTGGAGGACTAGTAGTATTGGTAGTATTGGTATACTGTGATGTAAAGTATTGTTGCGAGGAGTAAATCGGTGGAGAATGATGGCTGCCTGGCATTGCCATTAACATTTTGTTTTGGATTAGTTGAGTTGTTTTTTTTGAGTAAGAAGGCGACTAGAGTCGCAATCATAAAGTAGGGTATGTCTTTTGAATCATTGTGTTTTTGTTGTTTAGTAGCCAAAAAGGCCCAATCGACTGAAATTGTTTGATGGCTTGGTGACATGTTCATATGAATTGTGATTCAACACTATTCTAAAACAAGCAAATGTTGGGTAAATAACAAGAATACATGCGGCTCATTTGTTGCTTGATTCCCTTCAATTTTGTCAATGCTGTTTAACCCGCTACTTTTTGGGTTCCCTGTCAAAATATGTCAAAACTCTTTTATGGAAAATCAGAGTTTCCAATAAAGCCGGTTAATGAAGCTGCGAAGTCGTTTGGATTGTCTGCGTGCACCCAGTGAGATGCATTCTTTAATTGTTTCTCAAGTTCAAACAAAGTACAACTATTGAAAACTTACCTTAATTGTTTTGAATTTGGCGCGAGGAAAAAATAATTTTGTAATTTCCTCGTACTTGTCTGTGACGTACATTGAATTCTCTCCTCTCAAAAACAAAATATTATCGTAATTATATTGAATTGGTGCTAATTGAGCGTAAATACCAAGAGGATCATCTCTTACTTTGAATGGGAAGGAACCAATTTGAATTAAATATTCTTCAATAACATCTAAATTACATCTCCATTCCCATTTGACAGAGTTGTCGTCCAACGTTTTTCTCATAAGATTAGTAAGAAGGAATAAACGAACATCCCTTGAAATGTTTCCATTTGATAAATCTTTGAGAATTATCTCAGCTTGATTTCTAGTTTTAAGTTTGGAAAGATCTATTCCTTTCATTGCCTTGATGTGATTTTGAATAACCCATCTAGAGTCTTGAGTATAATCAACAGGTGAAATATCCACGACTACTATCTTGTTGAATTTTTTCAATAATTCCTTCTCGTTACCATTCATAGTTTCTCTTAAAAGCATGTTCATGATAGCTTTACCAGACATGGAGTGTCCGACCAGGTTTACTTTTTCTAATTGTTGTTCTTCACATAAATTCAAAATATCATCAGCCAAATCATCGTAGGTCATTGATTTAGTATGAAGACTTCTTCCGTGATTTCTACAATCCATCAAGAAGGCTTCTCTTTCTCCTTTCAATAATTCTGGATGATAATTATTGATGAGGGAGACATAATTCTGACTACTTCCCAATAATCCATGCATAAATAATAGAGTATCTTTTTTAATAATCGATTCCGAGCCTCCATTTGTTTTTAATTCTTCATATTGTCCTCGAGAATATTGTTTTCCTTCCGCATCAAATCTTAGGAAGAACAAATGACTATCAAGTACTACATCTTCATCATCATTCTTCTTATTAGAGAGACAATGTCCAGTAGAAAATGAAACTCTCTGTATTGTTGTTGTATCAAATAATAAATTAATTGTTTTTTTCAATTCAAGTGCGTAATGTTGTTGTGGAAAGTGTGAATGTTTGACCCTTGTGAGAAGACCTCTTCTTGGGCTTGACGTGTTGAATGTGAGTCTGTTCATTTTTTTAGACAGTCAACTTGCTAAAATATTAAAAGAGGAAATTAGATGACCATGTTGGGCATGAACACACAAACCAAGTCAATTAAATACTATTCTTTCATTAATTTTCCTCCCTTGGCCTGTTCAGTATTTTATGCGCAATCTACAGTTTCAATTATGAAAAACTGTAGATTATTAAGCACCATTTCCTTCTTGTAAAAACATTGTTCATCATTACACTTGTACAGTTGCAAGACACAGTTAGCTTTCTTGTGATTGACTCTAATATTTAATCAGTTAGTATTCCAATATTCAATAATAGGAAATGAGCAACAATGGAAGATAACAACAACTGTTGCTGTGAAATTCCTTATTCAATTAAAATTAATAAAAAAATCCAAAAACAAAAAAAATGAAAAGTTTCTTCAAAGATTTTTTTGGTGGTTCTCGAAGTGGTGATGACAATCAAGAAACAACAGATTTAAAACAAGTATCCGAGTGGACAAAGGCTGATTTTTTGGAATATATTCATTCAAAGGAATTGGGAGATATTATTTTGGAGTGTAGGTTTAAATTCAAATTTTAATTAATCAATAATCGGAATGGATTAAAGCTGTGAAAGAGAGTGATTACTTTGATCAAATTACAGATTATACTAAATTAAACTTCTCGGATTTACTTGTAATTTTAACAAACAATGATGCCTCCACTGTTTTAAATTCTCTTGCTCACGATTATCCATCAATTTTCAAACCAATTAAAAAGTATGACAGTTATTTGCACACTAGTAATTCTGTTTCTGTGATTAGACACAGCGGAATGGATAAAGCAAATATGTTCGATAATTATGATGGACAGCACATTAACGATGATACTGCTCCAACACAACAAACCACCACCATCGAAGAAGAACAAAATTAATTTATCATCATCAAAATAAATCTCAATTGTAAATAAAATTCATCAATATTCTCAATCTTCTAAATTTATCCCTCATTGCTTTATTCATCTGTGTAGATGAATAATCAATAAGAATCTTCAATATCAAACCAGGGCTGGACTCGAGATTACAAAAAATTGAGCCATCAATGGTTTTATTACCCAATTCGAGTGCATTACTCAAAAAAAATGCTTGAAAACCATCATCGTAGTGGTGCTTTGCCAAAAAGCAAGACAAGTTTTCAAACTGATAATAATAATAATAATAATACTAATAGTAGTAGTAATAGTGATGAAGGAGTAGTTGATAAAAAACCAACATCGGAACAAAAAGGTTTTACAGTTGTGAATAAACAAGGAAGAGGAATGGTTGGTTCTTTGAGTTTTTCCAACCTTGTTCGATTGGATAATTCGGAAGTGCCTAAAGGACCCTATGGAAACAGTCCTCATTCAAAGAGAAAATTGGAAAGAGAATCAAATTGTCAATCAACACCACAAGAAACAGGAAATAATACATTAATTAGTATTACAAGAATTTTGGCAATTTATACAGGAGGAACAATTGGTATGAAAAAGAGTAGTGAGGGTTATCAACCAGTTAAGGGATATTTGAGAAAGAAACTTGCTCAATTATCTCAATTTAACGATGAAAGACATAGAAAATTATATTTGACATTGGCAGGTGTTATTAATGAGGAAGATAATGAAACAACTGAACAAGCAAAGATTGATCAATGGTTTTCAACTCCAAGAAGTGATGATGGTTGTGTAGCTCTTTATCAATTATTAGAATTTGACCCAATTTTGGATAGTAGTGATATGGGTTATAAGGATTGGGTTAAAATTGCACAATGCGTTTATGATCATTACAATAATTATGACAGTGTAAGTGTTTGAGATATTGCTGAATATTAAGCTTGATTATCAAATTTAGTTTATTATTTTGCATGGTACTGATACTATGTGTTATACTGCGAGTGCTTTGAGTTTCATGTTTAGAAATTTGGCTAAACCAGTTATTCTTACTGGTTCACAAATTCCAATTTCTCAAACAAGAAATGATGGTATGTTAATCATGTGGAATTTTACAATTTCTTACATTTGGAAATGAAGGTTTTGATAATTTATTGGGTTCTATTACTGTTGCCTCAAGAGTTTACATTCCAGAAGTTTGTGTATTTTTCCATAACAAGTTATTTAGAGGAAATAGATGTACTAAAATGGATGCAGGTGATTTGAGTGCATTTGATTCTCCAAATGTTCCACCATTAGTTAAATTGGGTATTGATATGGAAGTTAATTGGTCTTTAATTAGACCACCTCCTGCTCAGAATCAAGAATTCAAAATGGTCCCAATTACAAACAGTAATGGTAAGTAGACAGATTATTGAAGGTTATATGATTGACCAAAATAATAGTCGGTATTTTAAGGATTTTCCCAGGTATTAGCCCAACATTGATGTCCAACTTTTTCTTGCCTCCAGTAAGTAGTTCAATTCAAAATTGTTATTTTTCATACCTGATGATAAATAGATGGAAGGAGTAGTAATGCTATCTTATGGTGTTGGTAATGTGCCTTCATCTAGATCTGACTTTTTACAAGCTATTAAGGAAGCAACGAATAGAGGAATTGTAGTTGTAAATTGTACTCAATGTTGTAAGTTTCTATTGAAAGTCAAATTTCTTATATTGTACAAAAATAGTTAAGGGAGCTGTATCTGCATCTTATAAAACAGGATCAGTACTTTATGAAATTGGAGTTGCGAGTGGATCAGAGTAAGTATTTTAGGAATATCAAACTTTAATATTTCAAAGTATGACACCTGAGGCATCAGTCACAAAATTGAGTAAGTTTTAACAAATGAACATATTACTAAGTAATTATTATAGTGTATTTATTGAGTTGCGATTATGAAATTGAGGAAGTAAAGAGATTGCTCACTGTTGATCTGAGAGGAGAGCTTAATAAGCCAATGGCTGTTTCTCGTTACTCCCTGAGAGAAAGAGGATTTGTTACAGCAGTTTGTAAAGCTCTGAATTTCCAAGGAGGAGAATCTGATATCAAAGAAGTCAGTGATGCTCTCTTACCTGTAATAATGTGTAATATTGGAAGTATTGGAGCAGTTGAAGAAATGACAAGACTAATTGAAAATGAAGGAGTTGATCCAAATATTCAAGACTATGATAAACGTACAGCACTCCACTTGGCTTGTTGTGAAGGACAGCTCGAGATGGTTAAGTTGTTAATTAATTACGGAGCTGATGTTAATACAAGAGATAGATGGGGACATACACCTTATGGAGAAGCAATTAACTCTAAGCAGTATCTTGTTGTAAAATATCTGGAAAATCTGGGAATTGAATTACAAATTTAATAAATTAATCAGTTTCTATTTCATTAATAGTTCTAAACTTGGATTGCATTGTCTTGAAGTGTTGTAATAATTCTTCTTCAAGACTCTTGTCTTCTTTTGAATTTTCTTCTTCAAGACTCTTTTGACCTGTCATTTGTATCATACAAAGGCTATTTACACACTCTAAACGTTTGCTCAATTTGGTGAAGGCTGTTGTTTGAGGTAAAAGCATCATCAACCCATATAATGTTTTGAGGAGATAAGGGTGTTTGTGAGGCTCTAACAACTGAAGTCTCAAATCAACAAAGATTGGAGATTCCAATAATTGAACAAGATTATCGATTTGTGTTAAAAACTCCACCGTCACTTCGATTTCAGTACTTTTAAAGTAGTAAGAAAAGTGAATTATTTGTTGACAACTTACAAGCTAGAAACTAAATAGCTTGCCAATTTGTACTGATTGGCAAGAAGGCATAAAGTAAGAGTGGCAATTGAATTGTGACACCAACTCTTAAATAAATCATGGAAAAGCTTTTGACCTTCAACAGAGCTATGGGACTTTTTAATGGAGGTTCTCAATCCTAACAATTCCTTACTGGTAAGTAAAATCATATTAAGAGTTTGGACCAGTGATGATGTAAATTCCATATTACTTTGTTTGGTATCTAATAAGATATTTGAGAGTTCTTTGAAAATTTTCTCTGGATTGAGCATAACACTCAATTTTCTGAAAATAAAACCAGCTTTGGTCAATAAATTATTATCATTTTGGAACATTTGAAGGAGGGACCTTAAGAACTTTTGGAAATTTTCTTCAGTGGTTGAAATAATTGCCAAAACTTGTAAATCTAGGGAAACAACATCTTCGTTAGGGTCAGATAGAGATTTCAAAAGTAATCCAAAAATAATGTCGATATGCTTCATTACACGGTCCAAATTCTTATTCAGAAGGATGTGGCACCATTTCAAAGCACAAATTCTATTAGGGATGGAAGGCTTTTGCAATTCAGTCTTGATGACTTTCATCACATCACTGAATGAAATAGTTTGATCTGGTGTTGATTTATCCTCTATTATTCTCATAACTTCACTATTAGCTTGTGTACTGGCGTTTCTCAAATCCATTTCATTATTGGAAATGTGTGGTAAAATAGCACCAATGACCTGTGAGTGATAAGGTAATACCTTTCTCTTGTCGAAAAGCAAAAATTTGTAAATCCAAATAATAGCTGTTTGTTTTGCAAGACTACTTCCTGGAGCATCATCACAATGAGCGATGAGAATTTTGATGAGAGGACCAAAATCAATAGAATCGTAGGAATATTCAATTTCTGTTAAAAATTCATCAAGAACTGTTTTGGCTTGATTGACTATTTCTCTATTAGGATCACTTAACATGAAAAATACGCCAGAAAGGAAATGAGGAAGATACTCAATCAGATCAATATCTGGTACAGAATCCAAGACAATAATCCAACTCAATAAAAATTGTCTAACATATGGATCGTTGGTGTTAATTCTCTTACTAAGCTCTGGAATAAATTGATCGATATTGAATATTTCATCTTCTGTCACAATATCTTTAATCAATCTATCCAAGACAACATTAGCATTTTGAACTGTTGTGTCAGGATCTCCACTTAGTTTACACAATCCATCAAATATTACATGAAATTGTGGTATGATTTTTCCTCTTGCAATTTTAGCTACATTATACACAGCTTCGGAAGCATGAAATCTTACTTTAGCATCTTGATCACCAAAACAACGAAGAATAGGAGGAACCAAATCTTCCAAATACTTTCCAATATCTCTATACAAAGCAATTGCACAAGATCCTAAAGCCCATAATCCTCCTTTCTTCATATTTGGCTGAATAGAGTCAATCAAGTGGATTGTCAAATATCTAATCAATTTTTTAACAAGTATTTCTCCTTTTTTTAATTTATCATCATCATCACTTGATGGTACAACAGATGTTGTTGTTGTTGATAATGTATCCGAATCAGTCAATAATAATTTCAAGACAAGCCTTTCAATTTCCTCTCCACCAATTTTTCTCTTTTCCTTTAATTTATCCGTTAAATTTCTAATCAAAGCTTGTGTGATCAGTGGAATAATTTCACTAAATTCATTCTCTACACCCGTATTGTTTGATGGTTGATAGAGGGAGGCACTTGATGCCGAGTGTTGCATTTTTTTATTTGATGACTTGAAAGATTTTTATCTTGATTAAAATTATTATTTATTCTTTGTTATTTATTATTTAATTAAATATTATTTGTCAATAATAATTCATTATTTATGAGTATTATTAAGAGTTCTTGGTGCAAAAATATAATCATCAATATCCAAATCGGAAAATGTCTACAGTTAGTTTGTAGCCGTTTTGGCGGGTGAATTTAATGAAGTCACAAAATAGAAAAAAATTAAAGAACATTAAGCGTGACGAGGTAGCAACCGCAAAGGAAAAAGCCGATCTCATTCTCAACGCTTCTCTCTCAATAAATTCATTCTTCTCATGTCTTTTGATGCTAGTAGTACTACGAAAAGGAGAAGTTTATCTGTACAGGAAACAAGAAATAGGCTGAGGAATACTCAGCTGAAGAAAGGAGAATTACCTGTATCTCATTCAATTCCCTCTCGGTTTGAAACAAAATTAAACTTGAATTATTCGGAGAGAAAAGGGTTCGGAACAAGCACAACACGTTTTCAAGTATTTGTGGTAGGTTGTTGAGTTGGATGTTTTTTGATTTAATTTCATGTTTGCAATAGAATGATACACTAGGACCAAATGCAACATCTTATAATATAAAACGAGAAATTAGAGAAGAAAAACCATCAGATTCAAAGAAAGGATACGGAAATTTAGCATCTCAAACAAAGAGATTTTTTGATCAACCTCGAGTTGCATTTATTACTCCAGGACCAGGTTCAGCAGAACCAAAATCATTTGTTGAGGATCGCCTTATTAAAACACCAAGTAGTAGAAAAGGAACTAGGTCATTTGTAGAACCAGTGTCCAAATCATTGAAAACACCAACATCAACAACTATGGTTGGTCCAGGTAGCTATGAAGTTGAATCACCAAGGAGAGCTCAATCAGCTAAATCATCAGTATTTGCTTCAAAAACTGAAAGATTTGAAGCATTTAAGGGTCTATCTTCTCCAGCCGCTGTAAAAAATAGATTCGAGGATATGTTTGACCATAAGTATGAAAGAGAGCATTGTGAAGATATGCTCTACTCAAGGAAAGAAAAAAGAAATCTGTCACAATCAGTATTTAGATCTGCAACTTTCAGAGATTTCGATATTAATCCAAAATCAATGTATGAGGAGGTCGATATTCGAGATATTAGTAAGCCAATCACTCCAAGTACTATTGAAAGAAAATCTGCTGTGGAAGATATGCAAAAAGATGGACGATCTTACATTTTCAAGAACCACAATATGGATAGATTTGGTAACTTTGTTGGGAATACAAGGAAAAAACCAACAAAAACGCCTGCAAGTCCCCCAAGTTATTACCCTAGTTTTGATAGATTTGGTGGTAATATGGCAGAGTTGGAGAAGAAGAAACATATTAGTTCAAGCTTTTTCGTTTCGAACACTAAGAGAGATATGGATGTTATTCCAACAAATGTACCTTATCCAGGCAAATATGATACTTCACAACTATTTGCTACCGGCAATCAAAAGTCGTTTAATATGAATAAAAGTGGTATATTTCTGTAATTATCCTATTCGTCTGCATTTATTAATGAGGGTGTTTGCATGATTTTAGAAAGATGTTCTGCAATATGAAATAGTGACGTTTGTTCTTTTTGAATGCTAGTCCACTCGTTTTCAATATATGCTGTTTTAGCAGACTCTGTAAAGAATGCCTTAGATGTGCAATTGGTTATAGTAATTAAGAAAAATAAAAGTTCTGCTTCGCTCCAATTCAATTCCAATATTTCAGTGAGATTTTTCAAAATTCTCACATTTACAATTTGGTTATTCAATATTAACACATCTCTTTCTTCCTTGATACCTAACAAGCTAGCAAGCTTCTTATTCGATGTCCTAATTGTTAATCTAAGGTTCTCTGCACCAATATATTTAAGTGATGTGAATCCCATAAAATTAAAAACGAGCTCGAGACTAGACTTGTTTGTTGCACCTAGGAGCTTATTAGAAACTGTTGGAACAACATTCATTCTAACTATACTATAATTTGTACTTTCAACACTAGAGCCCAGTAATTTGAATCTAACTTCTCTACCGAATACATTTGAAACATTTCTAATAATTCTTTCATATTCTTGACTGTTTCTTTGGTAATTAACAAGCCTTCTTGGAATCTCTAGTAGCTGTATATCACAGAGTAGTTGATTTGTCATGTTAATAAGTAAGTCTAATAAATAAATTTTTGTGGATTTGATATTTGTTAATTCAAATACATATTGTTTGAGGAAAGTGGATGATACAAAGTCAATACTTCGGAATTCTTCTGTTGTTTCTCTAGTTGTTACTTGGCATTTTTGTATTGCTGATGGGAATGTTTGTAAATTATTTCTCTTATAGTTATAGTATTGTTCAATTACATTTTGACAAGTGTCCAAAGTTCCACACATTGCCAAAAATTGGAACATTTCTGTTACGGACATCGATGTAGTATTAGTAATGACACCACTTAGTTGACAAAGCTTGTAAAGAATGATATCATTGAATTCGTACTTGCTTCCTGCCATATTTACAATAATTTGTCTTTCATTATTAGCCAAGTCTCCTGAGAGTCCTAAAAATGTTCCATATTTTGTAGAGTTTGTTCCTATAGACATTTGATATAATGTCACTCGTTTCTTTTGTTGTTGATTTTGTAAAGTTGTGGCCATAAGGTTTTGGTGAATAAACACTTTTTGGTCAAGTTGTTGCAAATCAGGTATTAATTGAATTACAGAGGAAAATCCATAATTTTCTTCTCCTTTGATTTGTTCAAATTCAATAATTTGAAGTTTTCCTAGTAAAAATGTACACATTTCTTGATAATATACATTTTGAAGTGAAATGGTATCGATTAATTGTCTAACCATTTTGTGTTTTTTAGTAAATTCTACTCTAGATGATAAAGGTATGCACATAAATATTCCAACTGGTGGTATATCTGGTTTATCTTTTGGCTCCTCAATCGATGGTATAGTTGCTTTATGAAAAAGTTCGTTCAATAGTAATTGTATTCTACAACTTCGTGAAATAACTTGAACAGACCTCAAAAAGTTGTGTTGCTTTTTTTTCAAAATGTCAGCTGTGATTGTTTCGGTATTTGAACTTAACATTAAAACGCAAACTTGATGATACCATTGAATAAATTGATTCATACTGAAAATATATGGCGAATGTTTTTTAGCCAGCTGATTGAAATGTTGTGAAACACAACTGAAGATAATAGCCGATGAATATGGAAGAAACACAAGAATTCTTTGATAAAGTTCCTCTCCCGAATCATGTGCTTGTGCGAACATCTTCACCAAAGGAATAATATGGTCAGAAGAACTTCCGTTATGACTCTTATTCTTTGGTGTTTTCCTAATAATATTTACTCCAGATATTGCCACATTAGAATCCACATTATTAAATGTTCCATTACTATTTGTATTATTATTTAAAAGTTGAAAGGCTTGATTAGATGAAGCATGAGCCATCATTGAATTAACAACTTGATCATCATCTTTTAATTGAATTAATTGAAAAAACAGCATTCCATAAATAATTAAATTCTCGGATATTTCTAGAGAGTGTTGTTTCAAAGATGACTCCACAGAAAAGAAGAAGAAACAACAGAGTGAAAATATTGCTAGATATGAAGAAGGCTTTTTTTTTGATTGTCCGTTGTGCGCGCACGTGGGGTAAATTGATTTTCCTGCTTGGCTTGTGGTGAGAAGAAGGATGTTCCTCTTTTTTTAATTAATTCTTGTTGGGGGATGATATTTCAATTATTATTTGGTTTATTGTTTTTTCTGTTAATGAGACAATGGTTGCTGTAGTTCAAATAATAAGATTTCCATTTTCTTGGTTTAGTCTCATTTTGATTTTGGATAAAGATGACAATCATTAAAAAGCTTTAAATTTCCCAATAGGAATAGCGTTCAATCTGAAGGCGTGTAATATATCACTATCCGAAGCAAATAATCATAATATTACCAATAGTAAAGATGTAATAAATTTTCAATAAACAAAATTAAAGAAATTAATGATTATATTAATTAGCGAACAGGTATTAATTTAAAAAAATGTACGGAACAAGAAGTGTTGTTGGAAAGTGTGTTACTTCAGGGCTCTTCTCAAAGAAATACTCATCACCAATTTGGATGAATGTAAAAACATTATCATGTGGAAAGGGATTTAAAACACATTCTTTTTTGAGTGATAAATCTAATCATGAACATACTAGTGTGAGCTCCGATGAAGAATATTTGCAAATGAGAAAGGAAGAATTAAAGCAATTTCAACAAAAGTATCCGAATGTATTGCCAACACTTTATCCAAATCATTTTGCTTTAACTAGTAACATTAAAGAGTACAAGGAAAAATATGATTATCTTCAACCTAGTGAAAAATTGAAGGATGTTGAGGAATGTATTGCTGGAAGAATTATCAGTAAGAGAAAGGCAAGCTCTAAACTTTTTTTCTATACAATTAGAACTAATAATGATCATTCCCTTCATCAAGTTCAAATTATGACTGGCTCCGAATATTATGATGAAAGTAATAGAACTACTGATGAAACCAATTTCTCTCTAATTAATACCATCCTAAGAAAAGGTGACATTATAGGAATTAAAGGATTTCCAGCCAAATCCGGCAAGGGTGAATTGAGTATTATTCCAAAACAAATTACATTACTCAGCCCATGCTTGCATCAACTTCCTCACAAGGTTTCTTACTCCGAAGGCACTTCCCTTGATGATATTGAAAAGAGATTTAGATATAGATATTTGGATTTATTAACAAATCACGAAGAGCTTTACAATATATTTTTAATTAGAAATAAGACTATGAGTTTTATCAGAAACTTTTTTACCAATAAGGGTTTCCTCGAAGTTGAAACTCCTATTCTCAGTGAAAAGAGTGGTGGCGCCAACGCTAAACCTTTCGAAACTCATTTGAATGCCCTCGATATGGATTTAAAGTTGAGAATTGCCCCAGAATTATACTTGAAACAATTAGTTATTGGTGGTATGGACAGAGTGTTTGAATTGAGTAAAGTTTTTAGAAATGAAGGAATGGATTCTACACACAATCCTGAATTCACCAGCTGTGAAGCTTATCAAGCATTTGCTGATTATAATGAAATGATGGATATGACTGAAGAGTTTTTCAGACAAATTGTTACAGAAATCAATGGCTCACCTATTCTCAAAGTTGATGATATCGGAGAGATTGACTTTAGTAAGCCTTTCAGACGTGTTTCTTTTATTGATTCGATTGAGGAACATATTAAGGAAAAACTTCCATTGCCTACTGACCCAGACGCAGTCAACAAATTATTAGATATCTGCAAGAAACACAAGGTTAAATATTCAACAGAAAAAGTTAATTATGGATACCTGTTAGACAAGTTGCTTGGTACCTTTGTTGAGCCTGAATGTGTTCAACCAACATTTATCATGGACCATCCTGTTGATTTGAGTCCACTTTCTAAATCTCACAGAGATAGTTCACTTATCACTGAAAGATTTGAACTTTTCATTGGAACAAAGGAATTGTGTAATGCCTACACTGAATTGAACGATCCAGAAGATCAAAGAGAAAGATTCAGAAAACAACAAGAAAAGAAGAAGCAAGACGATGAAGCACATGAAAATGATGAAGCTTTCTGTAAAGCTCTCGAATATGGATTGCCTCCTACAGGTGGTTGGGGTATTGGTGTTGATAGACTGGTAATGCTCTTGTCTAATCAAAAATCAATCAGAGATGTCTTGTTATTCCCAATGCTCAAGCCAAAGAATGTTTCAAAGGATTAAATTATTATTTATTTCAACTTCCAACTTTCATATATTCTTGTATCAATAATTGTGTAGAAATTACAAGATTTGTAAAGTTAAAAAAAATGAAACTAGAAACCCTTGCGTACATTTTGCACGAGTTGTGGGAACATTTTCTGTTAATACCCTGGTTTCTTCTCCTCACGCTCCGATATTCACTTTATTATTTTAATAATAATAGTGTTATTGGAAGATTTATTAACACAACATCCCGATACTTTTTCAAAGATGTTAAATACGGAAAAGAGGAGAGCAATGTAATGGACATTTTTCCAGCCAAATCAGTAAAAATTGAAGATGGAAAACATAGAGTGTTATTATTTATTCATGGTGGTGGATGGGCATCAGGTAGGTTAATTGTTTGTCACACTCAAAATACAAATTGAATAGGAAATAAGCATATTTATCATTATTTAGGAAAAAGGTAATTTTAAAATTGAATTTATTCTAAACTATTTCAAAGCTTGTCACAAAAATTCGAGGATTCTACAATAATTATCTGTAATTACAGACTATGCCCAAAAGCATTCATTGAGGATCAAATGTGTGACATTAAAAAGTGTATTGAGTGGATTTATTCAGATTTGAATAATTATTTATTATCAAACAACCTCTCACACTTATCAGATATAGCCAATACAGATATTGAGCTGACAGCATGTGGGCATTCAGCTGGTGGACATATTGTTTTAACAAGTATTTTGGACGATCCATCTTTTGCAAAATACATCAAAAATCTCATTTGTCTTGCTGCAGTTTATGATTTGGAATCACAATATGAAAAAGAAAAGACTAGAGGAGTTGAAAAGATATCAGGTCTGTACAGAGTAATGAGAGGCGACTTGACCAAATATGCTCCTGTTGCAATATTGAAAAAGTCATCTCCCTTAGTACTCGAACAAATTCTCAACAATAACCCAGACCTTAGAATATCCATTCTTCATGGTCAAGAAGATACCACTGTAGATTTGTCATTTATACATGAATTTACTGATTTGTATCAGAATTCTGAGTGTAGAAAGTGCCATTTTGCAAAGATCATTTTAGATGGTTTTAACCATACTGATTTTGTCAAACCCCTTATGAATATTAATTACCCACACAAAAAGGATCGCCTTTTGGATTTGCTCTCCTCAATAATACTGTAAACCATTGAGAAATTGTAACCTTAGAGTAATAACACTTGAAGAGGAGTGTTTGTTTGCAAATGATTATTGTGTGTTACTCTAGAGTTGAATAAAAGATATTTTCCCTCTATTTCAAATCTTAATATGAAAATTCCGAACACAACGGGTCACTTTAGGTCTCTACTATACCACATGTTGTTGAGGATGATGAAATTAAACAAGGATTTGCAAGCACACAGCTTTTACATCTTCCCGATGAACTCAGAGTTATCGTAATCTACATGATTCAACACAATCCAAGTGCGCCCACCAACAAGGATGATTGTTGTTGATTTTAAAAAAAATAAGGCGAATTATTGCTCTGTTGTGTTTTCTTACCATCATCACCCTCTGAATAAATATCCGAGAGTATCTAAACCCCAATACACAAAGAAGAACTTATCATCAGTGTTACTTCTGAAAACAATATTTTGGATAGTTATAAACTAGTCTGATTATTCTCTGGTGATGAGTAAGGAGTTTTCTGAATTTATGACCAATAGTTCGAAAAGAGAAAGCAAAAGACATTTACTTGTCAGCACTTCACCAACTATTGAACTTTCAGGAAATGATCTTCAAGAAACAAACAATATCGTAACTAGTGATGGTAGGATCTTTTTCATTTCTTCATTAATTAATCATCCTTCTAAATAGACACTGTTACGTATGAAACAATCATGGCAAAGTATACAGTTTCAGAAAAAGCTGCTACTGTAGAAGATAAAGATGCCATGACATCACAAAAGGATCTTGATGAAATACATACAATGATCTATTGCAAACCATTGAAATTGAATTGGTTTCTATTAATTTTATATTATATTTTAGTGATTTGTTCATTAGGATTATTACTTTTACTTTCAAGATGGTTTGAATGGTTAAAAACAAGAATGACACACTTGGAGTGCTCCAATGAAGAAGCACAAATGGTATTGATCAAGGTAAGTGGATAATATATCGGAATTAGTGTCACAACTGTCTATAGAGTGCCACTGGTGCTTTAACTGCCTGCCCTGTTCAAAAACACTTCATAGGAAATTATAGTTCTAGCACATCATTTGTTTCCAGTATCAATATTTTTACTTACAGATTTGTCAAATATATCTATGATACTGATTCCGATAAATTTAGAAGATTACAATTCAATACAGCTGTTCCATACACTACTGTTCATTCTGAATTTTCTACAGGACTTACATCACAAGCAAGAGTTTTGAGAAATATTTTATTTGGAAAGAATTTGATTGAAATTCCTGTGAAGAATATTGTTTCATTGTTATTGGATGAAGTTTTGCACCCTTTCTATATTTTCCAAATTATTTCTGTAACTATTTGGTTAGCTGACGAATATTGGTCATACTCTGCCTGTATTATTGTTTCAGCTGTTGTATCAATTATTTTCAGTTTAATTGAAACTAAAAGAAATTTGACTAAATTGAGAGATATGGCCCACTATGCATGTGATTTAACTAGATATTCTAAACAAGGAGAAAAACAAGTTGTCTCATCCGAACAACTTGTACCAGGTGATGTAATTGAATTAACAGATGGTATTCTGTTACCATGTGACGTTCTCCTTCTCTCTGGTCAATGTATTATGAACGAAGCCATGCTTACAGGAGAAAGTATTCCAATTGTTAAAACTCCACTGCCTAATGAAGGATCCACTAACTATTCTGTAGATGCTGACAAATCCTTTACCCTTTATTCGGGCACTCAAATTATGCAAATTCGTAAAATTGGAGATGAGAAAGTCAAAGGTGTTGTTTGTAGAACTGGTTTTGATACGGCCAAAGGAAAATTAATTTTATCAATTCTTTTCCCAAAGCCATCCTCATTCAAGTTTTACAGAGATTCTCTCAATTTCGTTGGTTGCATGTTCGCTATTGGTTTGATTGGTATTGCTTATGCTATTATCAAACTTGCTGTCTCTGGAGTTCCTTGGGACAACATTATTCTCAGAGCTCTCGATGTTATCACTATTACTGTTCCGCCTGCCCTACCTGTGGCTATGACAACTGGTATGTCTTTTGCAGTGGCTAGACTTAAGAAAACCAAAATATTTTGCATTTCTCCTAACAGAGTTAATGTTGCTGGTATGATTAAGTTGATGTGCTTTGATAAGACTGGAACAATTACCACAGAAGGCTTAGATCTTTATGGTGTTCACCCATTGGAGGATGCTGAATTTTCTGACATGATTGTTGAGGAATCAGTTACTGAAGCATTTAAGGATGTTAAAAATTTGAGCGAAAAGAAAAAGATGTTGCTTTACTCAATGGCATCATGTCATGCCTTGACCTATGTTAACTTTGAATTAGTCGGTGACCCTCTTGAAGTTAAAATTTTTGAAGCAACCCAATGGAAACTAAAGGAACCACAAGCTTCAGACTACATGTTTGAGACTCCAATTCCTACTGTTGTTCATCCACCTCATCACAATCACCACAAGACAGAATTGACAGAATTGGAAGTTCAAAATATCGATATTACTAGTCTTCCATTTGAGCTTGGCATTCTTAAAAAGTTTGAATTTAAATCATCATTACAAAGAATGTCAGTAATTATGAGAAATCTCCAAGAAGAAAAAACTTATGCCCTCGTTAAAGGCTCACCAGAAATGATGCAAAAATTATGCGTTCCTGAATCAATGCCAGCTGACTTCTCAAAAGTTCTTTACGAATATGCCCACAAAGGTTTCCGTGTTATTGCTTTTGGTTATAAGGAATTGGATCAACCATGGAAAAATCTTCAAAGAGCATCAAGAGAAGAAATTGAAAGTGATTTGACATTCATTGGTTTTGTTTGTATGCAAAACAAAATGAAACCAGACTCTAAGAAGGTTATTACCTCTCTCAATGAAGCTGGTATCAAAAGTGTCATGGTAACTGGTGACAATCCATTTACTGCCATCTCTGTTTCTAGACAATGTGGAATTGCCAAACCTGCTGGTAAAGTTTATTTGGGTGAACTTAAGGAATCTCACTATGGTGCATCATCTAATCAACATTATATTGACTGGAAGAATGTAGATGGTGAGGACAGATTAGATCCTGACAGTCTTACACCAATAGACACCAATGACTATGCTCCTTACGAATTGGCAATCACTGGTGGAGTTTTTGAACGACTTGTTAAGGACCATACTTTAAAGATTGAATTATCTGGAAGTACTACATATGTAAATATCGATTCTCCATCTCTGCTTCACAGAGTTTTACTTGGATGTAAGATATTTGCTAGATTCACTCCTGACCAAAAGATGAGACTTGTTGAAGAATATCAAAAACTTGAATACTTTGTTGGTATGTGTGGAGATGGTGCCAACGATGCTGGTGCTTTGAAAGCTGCTCATGTTGGTATTTCATTGAGTGAGGCTGAAGCTTCCATTGCTGCTCCATTTACAAGTTTGAAACCGACAATTGCTTGTGTTCCAAAGGTCATCAAAGAAGGAAAAGCTGCATTGGCTACTAGTTTCCAAATGTTCAAATTTATGATGGTTTACAGTTTGATACAATTCTTTACTGTCATCCTCTTGTATGATATCAATAGTAATCTTGGTGATAATCAATTTTTATGGGTTGATGGTGTTGTCATCTTTACTATGGCCCTTCTCATGGGTAGAACTGGTTCAAATAAGAAACTTGTTAGAGATAAGCCTTCTGCCTCATTGGTATCTCGTGAAGTCTTTTTTTCCATGGGATTCCAAATTCTTATTACCGTAATTAGTCAAATTATTATTTGGAATAATATCAAAGTTCAAGGATTTTTCACTCCTCTTGATCCTGAACCAGAAACCAAAAAGAATATCAGATGTTATGAAACCACTGCCATGTTCTTGCTTTCTACATTCTTTACATATAATGCTGGTTTGTCATACAGTATTTCCAAACCATTCAAGAAACCTGTTTATAGAAATAGTAAGTATTTAAAGAAATATTTTGAATTTTTTAACAATTAATTTAGAGCTCTACTTTGGACTTTTGGTTTTACTTTTTGGCATTCTCACCTACTGTTTCCTGATGCCTGACTATTATTTGAGTTGGTTCTTGTATATTAGAAGTATGCCAGTATACTATCGTTTCATTCTCTTTGGTGTCGCATTAATTCACATGGCCATCAGTTATAGCTTTGAAAGATTCTTCATTCTTGGACCAGGTGTGAAGTGGTTGAGAGTGTTTTCAATCCGTCCTTTGAAACGTCTCTATTATTATTTGAGAGGACGTAACACAAGAATCTCCAAGAAGAGAAGACTCTATTCTAAATTGAAAGAAGCAATCAATGAAAGAGGAAGAACATTTGCCTCCACATTCTCTGAAAAGGATAGCTTCACTCAAACTAAGAGTTTTGGAGGTGTAGAATTAGTTTAAAATTCTCAAATATTTGAAGTATTCCAATAAAATTCGTGTTTTCTTTACAAAATATTCTAAATACCATTTTGCCGCCTTCCTGTTTTCTCTTGATTGAAAAAAATGAGTCAACAAAGAGTTAAAGACGAAAAGCCTTCCACAACAAGTGTGAGAGCAAATTTTGTTCGGGTTTCCGATTTGCAGAAAAATGGAGGCTCTGGAATTGATTATAAGAATTTATTTGGTCACAAGAAGACTGCATCCTCTTCTTCATCATCTTCCGTAAAAGCCTCTTCTTCATCAATTGAAAAAAAGAAGCCTTCCCGATCATCAACAAGTAGTACAACAACATCAAAAACAGAAAAGAAAAAAGCACCCGTTAAAAGAAAATATAAATCTAGAAATTCTGAACCTGTCAAAAAGGTTGAAAAAGGTGACAAACTCAAATGGATAACAAGAAAAGGAAAGAAATATGTATCTTATAATGGAAAGAAATATAGTGGAAAAAAAGGTATAGTTAAATTGTTATACATTCTCATTAAATCATTAAGCTTTTCAAATTTACAAAGAGTGGAAGGAAGTAAATGGAGAAGCATCAGATGAATCAGACAATGAGCAATCAGATGAAGAATATGTTCCGCCAAAGAAAAAGACTAAAAAGGAACCAAAAGAAAAGAAAGTTGAAGAAACTAAACCAAAACTCAAATTAAAAAAGAAAGAAATTGACTCTCAAGCAATTACCATTGATAAATTCTTTAAAAAAGAGGCTAAAGTGGAAACAATTGAAATTGAATCGGAAGACGAAATTGAATCATTCAGTACTGGAGATGAATTTGAGGATGATGTTGTGGAAATCATTGACTAATTTATTATTGATTAAGAAATAACTCTTTCATTTCTTAATATCTGTAGTATTGCTTGCTTTGTCTCCTTATAATCTATTAGATTCATAACAAGGGTCTTCTTGTAAGATATTGTTGGAGGTATATGAGATAGATACATATTTTGGATGTATTGTATTGACTTTTGAACAATCCATCCTCTATTTTTGTAATACACTTTGAATATATTGTTTTCTTCATCAATAGAATCAAGCTGATTTCTTGTCATTTCTTCAAATGTTTTCATAGCAAATCTATAGCTAATATGTGGGTGGTGATATTTACACAAATTGTACCAAACATTTTCTCTATTTGCTGCTTTGTTGAATTGCTTACATGATTGCATGACTGAAAACAAATCATATGGATTCAAAAACTTGAAAATTTCTGAGAGCATGTCTTCATTCATGTTGGTTGAAGGAATTTGATTGACTTCTATTGAAGAGTTATTTGATTTTCCAAAATTAATGAATGGTTTGATTGGTTCAACACCCTCTATCATGAATCCATTTAAAATCTTGCTTTCCAATAAGTCTACCTTGCTAAATATTATATACAATGGTATGTTAGAGGGGAAATTCCCATCAGATATTGTTTTCTTGAAGCAGCTCAATGAATCTGTCAATCTATTCAATGAATCATCTTTAAACTATTAACTTTGAAATTTGAATTAATTTACCAACCTTCAAAACAAAACTGATTAAATTCTGATAATGAAATAACATAAATTAAACATCCCAACTTGTGTTCAAATATATATTTCCACTCTTTCCAAGATTTAAATATTCAATTTTGAATTCATAATGCACTTACTTTTCCTTCCACACCTCTGACCTTCAGAATCAAGAATAACCACAGTTCGATTCTCAACTAAGTTCGACTTGATTATGTATTCAGGTATTCCAGTTGTCTGTTAAGATACATTCTTCAATAACTATTGAAATCAACTGAAACTTACCATCCAATATGATTCCAAATCTTCCTGTAATCCAATATCAAGATTTTGAATAGAATCCACTTTTCTCAATAGACTTTCAAAATTTTCCAAAGGAAACTGATATCTGTGACGATTACTATATGCCAAGTGAATGTTGGGAGTGGTAAAGAATGGAATGAATTTCCTTATTGCCTCATAATCCGAATCGATATTATTACTAAGATATTGATTATCCAACTCTGTATTTAAAATACTAGCCATAGCATTCTTCATCATGTAATATAGTATCCGCCTTAATTCTTCTCTATCAAACTCTGTTAGCGAGTACTTGTTCAATGCTGATTTGAAATTTTTCACAAGTGTACTTTTACCACCTTCCCCTAATAAACGTTTAGAGAATTATCACTTAATCGAACAACCTACCAGTCCCAATTATTCCCACACAAAACGGATTCATTTCTACTCTGTTTACTTCATCAATAACGTCATTATCGCTCATTGACGAAGAATCATCATTATCAAATGATGATGAAGAGTTATGTTGACCCATTTTGTTTTAAAAATGTATTTTAAGGTTTGTTATTTGAATAAAATACCTTAATTTTTTATTTAGTGTTTCCGTAAAGAGATTTAAAGAGTCAATTGGCTACCTTCAATCTTTGCCTTTTGATATTTGGTACTAACCCATCCATCTTGGTTAGTTTCAAATCCAACATGGCCTATGTCTTGCCATTTTCCATTAGCAACCAAAGGTCCCTTAATTTGGAGAGTACCGTCAACAATCTTAACTTCAGTATTGTCAACAAGTTGTCCGTTAATTGTCAAAACTCCTGATGATTCTTCTAATCCAGAAACAACCAAAGTGTTTGTGACTTGTGGTAACTTTTGTTTAATCAAAGCAAGAGCAGTAGTAGAATCAAATCCAAGAGGAGCACAAATAACAACATTCTTCAAATCATCATAAGTATTCTTTGAGAAATCAGCATGATTCAATAAATCATCCAAATCTTGTGGTTCAGTGAAGAGAGTAGTACACTTTTCCTTTGACAAGAGAGAAAGTGTAGTAGCAATATTGTATTCTTCAGATGGATAAACAATAACACCACCAGAAACAAAGGAGGCAAAGTTGCCCAAAATAGCTCCGGATGGAGTTGTAGAGTATTTTGGAACCATAACACGGTCACCTTGTTTCAAGTTAAGAGCCTTAGCAACTGTAGAACCAGCGTTGAGGAGATTCTTGTGTGAATAAACAGTGGTGGTAGCCTTGTCTGGATTCTTGTCATTAAATAAAATCAAACTTGGGTTATTTGGTTCCAATTCCATAGCAATTCTACGGAGAGGAGATTCATAGTATCCAAATGGACCATAAACCAAAACATCCTTCAATTGATAAGTTCCTTCTTTTGGCTTTTCCTTGATATCAGTGAAAAGAATTTGTTTACAGAATGGGAACTTTTTAGACTTGAATGGAAGATGTAATTCTGACAAACTTAATTCTGGAACAACTTCTCTGATCATTTTGTAGTAGTTTCTGTTTCCGATCTTTGTAGATGATACCAAAACTCTTGGTCTAACTAATTCCATGAATCGACTAGTTTATGTTAATGATATCATATCAACAACAATAACACTTACGTCATATCTTTGGCTGTTTTAATTTCTGGGAGAGGAACCAAGATAGCACCAATCTTTGCACAAGCAAGGAGAGTAACAAGTTGTTCGGCGTTCATTCCTTGATTCAAAGCCAATCTATCACCAGGTCTAAGACCCATTTCAGTTAATCCACAAGCCAAAGCTTCCACATGTTTCTGAATTATAATAAATTTGTTAATTTTCTACTATTTAAATTTTCATCAATACTCACTTTAAGAGTAGAATATGACCAGTTGACGTTTTGGTGAGTACACTTCAAAGCATTGGCGTGAGGCATTTCTCTGGCATTTTGTGAGAGTTGGTATCCAATTGTAGTGTTGATTTGTTGAGACTCAGCTCCCTTCAAATAAGTGGAAGCGAATCTTGTTTGTGCTGTAAATCCTCTATTTTTGTTGTTTTAATAATTATTCATCATGATGATAATAGTAAAAATAATAATATAAATATTCAAATATTTTCGCTTTTAAACATACATCAAAGGGATATAGTCTAAATAATAAAGGTTAATAAAGAATAAAATAAACACGGAAGATACGAACGCTTTTGAAGGTTTTTGGCGACTCTTGTAAGCATTTTTTATGGTGTTTAAAATCGTTTACTTTTTTACAATCCAACTTGCTCCAGTCATTTTATCAATATTAAGTTTGTTAACAATAAGAAATATTAAATACTTTTCATTCTCTGTTAATACCAAGTAAATACTATTCTCTTGCTATCCAATATCTCATGTTGTATTCAACAAATAATTGGTGGTCGAGTTTGGATGTTATGACCGCTACTTTGGTTTCTTCCTGGCTCTTGTTGAATCCCAACAAACAACCGTTAAAAAATATTGAGAGTCAAAAGTTGTCGACTCGAGCGCGAACAACACGCAAGAAAAACACAGGGAAAAAATAGCAATGACAAGCAAGAAGAAGAAGGCTTCATCTTCGTCATCAACAACATCGTCATCACATGAAGAGGAATCATCAACAACAAAAAATAATATTATGGAGGATGATGCGGGTACTTCTAGTAATAATAACAACAACAAGAAACACAAATCAAGTAAACGTAAAAAAAATTCTGATGAAAGTGTAGTGGATGAAGTAAAAAAGACACCTCTCAAAGTGAAAATTAAACTGGGTGATACTGAAACAACAGTAGATCCTCTCGAACCTGAAAAGAGAAAGAAGAAGAGAGAATCTAAAAAATCCGATCAAAAATCACTTGTTTCAACACTTATTACCCTTTTGGACAAACTTTTCAAGGCAGATAAGAAACAGAACTTCTGGTATGCTGTTCCCGAAAAAGAAAAACAGTACTATCAAGTCATTGATAATCCTATGGATTTATCTTCAATTCAAGCAAAATTACTTCTTGGAAAGTACTCTTCAATTGGTAAATTTAGACAAGATCTAGACATTATTCACAACAATGCAGAAAAGTTTAATGGACAAGCTTCCCCAATTTTCAAGGCTGCAGAAAGGTTGAAATCAATTTATACAAAAGAACTTTCAGCTTACTCCGATTCGGATCCAATAGTAACACCTCTCACAAATGACGATAGTACAGTAGAAGAATGTATGATACAGATTATAGATGCTCTTAAATATGAAGATTCTTATTCCATTTTCCATGAACCAGTCCCAAAGGAAGTTCCAAATTACTATGAGACTATCAAAAAACCAATGGATTTTGCCACTTTGAAGAAGAAGGTGACAGATCATAAGCTTTCCATTTCTAAGTTTGAAAAGTACATGTTACGTATTTTTTCTAATGCAACAAAGTTCAACCTTCCAGATACTCTCTACTATGCAGAAGCTGTAAGAATTTCAAAACTTTCTACTGAGCTGGTAGAGAAGCTTAAATCAAAATTCTCCTCTGAATCAAAACCAACTGTCACTATCACTGTAAAGGAGCCGCAACCAGAAGAGAAAAAAGAGAAAAAGTCAAAGAAAAAGAAAGAAGACAAAAAAGTCGAGAAGGAAGAAAAAGAAAAGAAATCAAAGAAAAAGAAAGAAAAAGAAGAAAAAAAGGAAGAAGTTAAAGTAGAACCTATTGTAGAAGAACCTTTTATTGATTTGAATGATACAGGATCTATGAGCGACGATGTTAAAACACCTAAGAAATCTTCCTCTGATAAAAAGAAAACTCCTAAGACAAAATCGACTACAAAATGGAAGGATCGTGTACGTATTACAGACTTAGATTTTCCAGATTTGGAGGACACACCTTTGTATTCTCTTCTTGAATTAGTTTGGAAAAAACTAATGTCTATAGACGAATATTTAATATTTAAAGATCCTGTATCCAAAGATGTACCAAATTACCATAATACAATTAAAACCCCAATGGATTTAACAACCATTAAGGGAAAAATAGATGATAAGAAATATACTAAGTGGCGAGAATTTGAAGATGATGTTGATCTTGTATATGATAATTGCAAAACTTTTAACTCTCAAGATTCTATATATTCAAAAGAAGCTAACAGACAGCATAGATGGTTCAGAAAATGGAAGAAAGATATGGTGACTCACTTTGGCAAGATTGAGGTTGCCGATCTTTCTGAAAAAGTTGTTTGTGACTATTTTAACGAGATATCTGTTGTTAAGACACACGCACCAAAGTATGATGTTACTCTTTTGAATACAATGGAAGAAGCAGAAGAGGAGACAACATTACCAAAAACTTCTCTTTGCTATCACCTTCTCAAAATTACAGAAGAGCTTAAAAAACACGACAAGAACAAATACTTTTGGGAGAGTGTTGACGAAAGCGTTCATCCAAACTATAGTAACCAAATCAAACATTCTATTTGTTTATCAATGATAGCCAGTAATTGTAACAACAAACATTACAAGACTATTGATCAATTTATTAATGATATTGATCTCTTACATACTAATACTTCTACTTTCTTCTCTCCAAACTCTAAAGAAGCAAAAGAATCAAAAGCCTTATTGAATCTGGCTAAAGAAAAAGCACAACCTTTGAGAATTAAGACTTTCAAAGATGGTCCAACTTCTGCCAATAGTTCCAGTACAAACACTACAACACCAAAAACAAGGAGAGAAACTAGGGCATCAAGTTCACTTTTGGATGATATTGATAATTTTCTTGATATGGATGAAAAGGATGATTTATTATCTAATGTGAAATCCGATAAAAAGAAGAAACCTTTAGCAAGTGCCTCTAAACCAAAAAGACGAAGACCAGTAAGCACTGCTGCAACAAATCCATATAATAAGGATATTGAATTAGGATGGGTGCCACATATTCATAATTGTGCATACTGGCAATTCCCATCCTATTTGCCTGATCCTAATCCAGAAAATAGACCTAAATCAATTGAATCCAATCATGATGCAACTCAATCATTCATTGATCCAGCATCCCTATCTAGCTCGTACAGTAGAGGTGATGATGAATCAAACTCATCTCAAGATGAAAGTGCTCCAAAACCAAAGAAAGAGAAAAAAGAAAAGGAAAAGACTCAAAAAATCACTTCCAATTCATCCGACATTGTTATTCCACAAAACATTTCAACATCAAAAACACCTAAGACCACCAAGAAGGAAAAGAATGTCACTATTCCACACACACCAACCTTAAATATCTCAGTTCCCCCATTCACCTCACCAAATTTATTCTCTCAATCAGCCACTGGTTCTAAATCAACTGCTCCACCTCAGGTTGTACATTTAACTACTGTTGAAAATAGACCACTTCCAAAGTATTCCTATATCATCAAAAAGTATCGACAAAATTTATCTATTAACAAACCTAAAATTGATTTGAATCAACTCAAGACTATGAATCTTTCGGATTGTATGAAACTCTTCTCAGATGATGAAAGATCAGTTTCTGAAATCGTTGAAGCAATGAAACAAAAACCAGATACCATACCAACAGATAATCTTTTATATGGACTTTCAGGCTTTAAGGACATTAGCCCAGAAGATGATGAACTCATTCAAAAGTTGGTCAAGATTGCTACCAAAGATGGAGGATTCAAGATGGATTCACACTTTGATAAGGCTTCACGTAATAATTCTTCACCAAAAGCTTCACTTTCATCAAAACATGTTGAAAAGGACATCATGGATGAAGATGATGACGACGATGAGGATGATGAGGAAGAAGAAAATGATTTGTCTGACATTGAAGATTTTGATGAGGAATTCGACCATAAGAAGGAAAAGTACACAGAAGAAGCTGATATGGATGATGACGACGATGAATTTGTTGAGGGTGATGTTATGGAGAGAGTTTTGCAAGATTTTGAAACAGTTACCTTCCCAAGTACTAGAAGAAGTACTCCCGAAGAATTGTTCAAGAAGGTCAAACAAACACTCATGGATGAAGGTGTTAATATCTTTGAAGATGAATAAATTATCAGATTCATCTCTACATATTGTGTGTGGTATTTATTTTGTACATATTTACCAAACGCTTCTTCACTAGGAGTATGGGGACAAGTTAAAATTTTGAATCATTTCCTATGAGTGACATTCTTCATTTACACTTCGAATTCCCATTTTTTCAAAAATAATAACATTATTATCCTCCTATAATATTATTAATTCTGATCCGATCACTAATCAATGATAATTTACTGAATATTTATTCTTCGATTTAATGATCATTTATTGTGTCTGAAGTTATTCTCCCTTCACGAAGAATGTTGTGTGAAAACTCTCATCAAGCATTATTTTTTGATGAGAGTTTTAAAAATGCGCTTAGCGCAGACTTCATTGTAAAATACTCATATGCCTAGGCAACCTCAAAAATTAAAAATTTGTTTCGAAAAAAAATAGAACACAATGACCGCCGGAAAGACTTCTATCAAGGTTAGACAATTCTTCACTAACAGACTTTTGAACAGAAAGCAATTCGTTGTTGACATCCTCCACCCAGGTCAACCATCCCTTTCTTCTGCTCAATTGAAGGAAAAGTTGGCTGAACAATTCAAGGTTGCTAACCCACAAACTATCATGTTGACTGGTTTCAAGACTAAGTTCGGTGGTGGTAAGAGCTCTGGTTTTGCTAACATCTACGATTCCATCCAAGATATCAAGCTCGTTGAAGCCAAGCACAAGTTGGCTAGAAACAAGCTCATCACCCTCAAGAAGGACGGTAGAAGATTGAAGAAGGAAAAGAAGAACAGAGCCGCTGCTGTTCGTGGTAAGGAAAAGACTAAGGTCAAGGGTGCCAACAAGAAGTAAATTACTTTTACAAAATAAAAACTATTTAAAATCATTAAATTATTGTTTGTTGTTTTTAATATTTTTTAAATATTTTTATTTAATAATTGATTAATATCATCTATTCCGCATAATACGAATAGTATGACTAATTATTCAGCTTCAACTTTATAAAAGAGCAGTAACCAAACAGAAGATACTTCTAAAAAGGATCCAAGCTCAATCAATTCTTTCCTTAAAATTCTCAAAATTCAATTCTGGATGGACATTGGACATCAAACCAACTATTATTAAAGCTTAACAGTTGATACAATACCAATTCCTCATATCAAAAAAACAATGAAAACAATTCTTCTTGTTAACATTGCTCTCTTGTTCTGTTTGGGATTGGTTTTGGCAGATACCTATGCTCCTCAACCACCAAAAGAACATTGCTATAATAAGTGTACTCATTACAAGACTGTTCAAGGTCAATGTGTTGATTTTGAATGGACTGGCACTAAGAAACAATGCTGTTTGTGGAAGACTGTTGGTATGTAATTTGTTTAATTGCATTTCTTTGTAATTTTCGATTGTGTTATTGGAAACATTTCAGGTCAAGGAAAATGTGCTGAATATAAGAAGATTTCCAAGTGTGACAAGTACAGTAAGGCAAGAACTCTCTGCTTGGGTCATGGTTATAAACAAGTTTGCAACAAGGTAACCAAACACAAGTTGTGTGCCAAATACGAATGGAAAGAAGTGTGTAAACATAACGGAAAGAATCATGGTTGTGACAGTTATGGTTATCACTTTATCTGTACCAAGACTGACAAATCTCAAGGATGTTCATTGTATACCTATGTTCCAAGAATCAAACATCATTACAAGAGAAGATGTTCCAAATATTCCATTCAACAATACTGTGCCAAGTATAAGAAGATTTACAAGACTGTTAGAAGATGGGTTCCAGTCAGTAAGAAACATTACAAGGGTTGGATTGATCATTATTACAAGCAAGTTTTGGAAAAGAAGTTCCACACTATTTGTGTTGCCTATGCCAAGAAGAAGACTTGTACTGCTCACCAACGTGTCAAATTCTCAAAGAAGATTGGTTATGACAAGAAGTGTGTCAAATTCTTTGAAAAGAAGTATTGTATTGCCAAGAAGAGAGTTAAATTCTGTGAAAAGTGGTCTCCAAACAAATTCTGTGATTTGAAGGAAAGAGTTAGAGTTTGCATCAAGCACAGAGTTCAAAAATTCTGTTGTGATTATAAGGCTGTTCCATTCTGTACTCAATACAAGACATTGAAACCAAGATGTATCAAGAAATCTCACAAGAAGATTTGTGTCAAGAAGTCTAAAGGTTATAAGGTTTGTGCCAAGTATGAATTCGTTGGAGGAAAGAAGGTATGTAAGAAGTATGCTGAAAGAAGTGTCTGTGCTAAGAAACAAAAGGTCTGTACCAAGATTGACACTTACAAGAAGGTTGATACCTATGCAAAGAAATAAGTGAGATTCAAATTGAATGAACGAAAATTTTGAAATTTTGTTAATATAAAGAGTAAAACTCTCTATTCGTTCTTCCCAAAACACATGGTTTTGATTTTATTTGTTTTTGAGAAAATGAGAATATTGATAGTCTCCTTAATTGAAACAAATCATAATTTTCTTATTAAACTTTGTTTTTTTTATTGTAGAGGAAAAGCTGGGAAGAGAAAAAGCCGCATCGTTGTAGAATGTCGTTAGGAGTTTCGCCATTGGTATTCTTTAGATTCATTTCAGTGTAATTAGAGTACATCAAAAAGGTCATGCATTCAATGGCACTTTCCTTTTCTGGAGTGATTTCGTTGTTTGTTTTAAATTCCATTAGAGATTCCATTCTGCGAGCTGCTTTATGGACTGGCGTTTCCTGCAGAGGAGTCGAATCTTTGGCATTGTAAATCTGCTTTAGTTGATCAGTGTTAGGATACATTTCTTGGAGTTGATTTGAAAGCAGTTCTAGAACTGGAAAATGACCTCCTTCGCAAGCAAAGTGGAGAATATTGTACTTTCTCTTATCTTTCTTCTCTATTAATTGATTGTAATAGTTTCTGTCCATCAGAAGAGAACAAACAGACAGCAATTCCTTGTTACCATTCAAAGCTGCTTGGTGGAAAATATTGATTCCTTCAGGGCATTCGGATTCGTTCTTGATCCATTTCTTAATGCTACCTCCACACATCAACTCTACCTCTTTCTGAATCAGAATACAGTAGCACAAGCTTCTCTTCATTCTATTTGTTATTTCTGGTGGGAAGTCCATGTCCTCTGATGTTTTCTTACCAGAGGAGTTGTCGTCTGACTTTCTCTTCTTTGATTTTGTGCATGTTGCTTCTTCTTTAGAATCTGCACCATGTATTGATTGACCAATTTGAATTTGAGTGTTGGGTGAGTGTGGGGTAGGTAAGTTATTGTGCCCATTGATTAATCCCTCTGAATTACAACTCTCTCTGTAATTATAGATGGAACTAATTAGTGGCCTTCTTCCATTCTCGTCTTTAGCCTGAATTTTGGCACCTCGTTTAATAAGCCAATTCAATCCTTTAGAATCTGACTTTTTAGCTGCAATGTGCATACAGGTTTCTGAACTTGTTTTCTTCGAATTAATAACTTCGTTACCAAAAATTTCAATCAACTTGTCCATCACCTCAAATCTTCTTAATCTGTATGCTACGTGGAAGAATGTATTACCATAAACATCTTTGGCCTCTCTTTCAAGGCGTGAAAATACAAAATTGGTGTTTAAGAACAATAACATACAGTCCATCGAATTATTAGCGATGGCAACATGAAGTGGAGTTGCTCCACTCTTTTGTTCTCTAAGATTCACATCGAGTACTATGTCAGCACCAACACTGGAGAACGTTGTCAACAACGATAGCAGAATATTTACATGATTGCCTGCCATGCACCAGTGAATTGCTGCTCTCTTGGTTGTTCTTTCAAGAGCATTGATATTATATGTTTTGATAAACTCTTCCTTCTTCATTTGAGCTCTAGCTTGAATCATTTCTTCCAATAACTGATTGACTAAATATTCATCTCCAACTCTGCATGCCTCAACTATTTCCTGAATCCAATTAGAAGAGAAAGATGGACTCGAAGGTGATGTTGGTGACGAAGGAGGATAGAATAATTGACTTTGACTTGTGCTAGCATAGTAAAAATCAATAGCTGCACCATCATCACTACTCACATCAGAAGAAGTGCTCAATTGGTCATTAAATTGATGTTGCTCGGAGGAACTATATCCAACATGAAGAAACTTTGGATTAATATCAATAGGACTACTTCTCAATATTTGTGGCATTCTTTAATATATATTTACAGGAAATCAAAATAGTAGTAGTATTATTTACAATAATCTCTCTGAATCAAAATCACACACGAGAGCAAGAAAACCTAATAATTGTCGTATAAGGTGCAAGTTGTGCCAGATGGTATCTATTGTGCCTCTGTCTTTTTTTAGATTTTTGAATACAAAACACAGGCTTCGAATCAGCACGACGGTAGTCTAGAGCAATTTCTAGGTTGTTTTTTCTTTTTTGAAAAATTCAGAGACAACACCACCTGATAACCATCCGAATTGCATCAACAACAGTAACTTGTTGGTAGAGGTGATGCACATTCCTTTTGGTATTTAACGAGACAATTATGAATTGGGAGAATCCAATCAATCGAAAAGACAAAATTGAAGCACTTTGCTTGATTGGTCTTGATTGCATCACACAATTGATCCAGTTTTTACGAATTGAGATAGTTTAATGCTGAGAAGGTTTCTAATGTCAAGTTCAGAAAACATCTCAACAAATTCAAATACAAAGATGGTTTCTAAAAGACTCTTTTAGTTTAACACGAACACTTTGGCATAAAGGCCATCATTGGTAAAGATATATTGTTTTGAACGTTATGAAAAAACTGTTTGAATTACAGTTTGAAATGAGGTGAGAGTTCAAACGAAACTGATCGAATCGTATACAAAATACTTTGAACGGCTTTTTGGTACTAAAATGATACACCAATACTACACAGAGATATTTGTTGCATTTGAGATGTTCGTTTCAATATTGAGTGTTCTTTATCCAATTTTCCATTCTTCTGAAACCTATTCTAATAACTCATTGTAAAGTGAGTTGATATTATTGAGAGTTAAAATGTTAACAACTACTAGAATATTAGTTAGTCTGCATTTAGGCATTTTATACATTTCTTCACAACCATCGTTATTTACATTTTTGTGTTATGGTGTTATCTAGGTGCAATGGTTAATTATCTTTTGGAGAATATTAAGAATGAAAATGCAATTTAATAATCAATTCTTACCAAGTAAGTAGAATGTTACTCTTGAATGGAAGCACCTTTGACGACTCCACTGTAAAGTTAACTCTTTGGATTTACAGTTTTTTAACAGGAGGATAAAGAGACTGTGAAAATAAGAAACCTTTATGTCTGAAAAATTTCAAATCAGGTGGTGTTGGTTTAGCGCCTAAACTTTCTTCGCGCCAAAAGTTTCCCGCCTTCACAAAAATTAATCAGTTAACATTTTTAAAACAACCACACAAAAAAAATGTCTCAACTTCCATCATCTGCCCAGAGCAACATTTCCATCGATTTTAACGATCCTCCAATCGGCCTTGAACAATCATGGCTCGAAGAAAATAGAGACAGTCGTGAAGGACATACTCTTCTTAAATCATTAATTATTGATCAAATTAATCAAATTCCGGTTGCTAACTTTAATCTTGTTCTTCAACAGTGCAGAAATAGAACAAGTGATGGAGTGAGTTGCCATCTTTCCCAACAAATTGAATTATACAAACAAGAGATTGACAAGTTGATTCAAGAAAATCAACGTGTTAGTAAACAATTACACAAGGAGATGAAACTCCGTCAACAATACTTTAACGAATTGCAATTGTTGAAAGGTGCCATCAGAATTTTTGTTAGAGTCAGACCATTGCTGACACATGAAATTCAACAAGGAGACTTTACAGTACTCAGATTTTCAAAGACAAATCCACAAACTCTTTTCCTTCCAAAAGTTTTACAAGAAACACAACCAGAAGATAAGATTACCAAACAAAGCCATAGACAATTCCAATTTGACAAGGTATTAGGACCTAATGTTCATCAAAAGATGTAAGTGATTATTGATTTTAATTTATATTAATATTTACATTTGAAATATAGGTTATATGACGAAGAAATTTCACCACTAACTAAATCAGTTCTTGATGGCTATAATGTTTCTATCTTTGCTTATGGTCAAACTGGTACTGGTAAAACTCACACAATGCAAGGAAATGGAGATGAAATTGGTATTCAACAATATATTTTACAAGATTTATATAATCACAAGAATAAGGATAAGGATATGTATAATATGACAATTGCATTGAGTTGTATGGAAATTTACAATGAAACTTGTATTGATTTACTCAGAAGTCAAGATAACAAATTAGAACTCAAGATGGATCCACAAAATAAGAAAATTATTGCTCAGGGATTAAGAGAAGTAGTTTGTAATGAATTACAGGAAGCTTTGCAATGTTTGATTTTCGCTCAAAAGAATAGAGCTGTTTCATCTACAAGTCAAAATCATAGATCCTCAAGATCTCACCTTATTGTGCAAATTTCTGTTTGCAAAATGTTCCTTAAACACCCAGAAGCTAACAGTGAAGAAGAACAACAAAATATTACGCCAACCTGTACAACATCTCAAATGTACTTGATTGACTTGGCTGGTAGCGAGAAGATCAACACCAGTGGTGCAAGCAATCCAATTACTGACAGTGAAACAAAACATATTAACAAATCTTTATCTGCTCTTGGCAATGTTATGGAAGGATTAAGAAACAGAAGTGCTAAACCTGGACAAAATGCTCACATTCCTTACAGGGATACAAAATTGACATACTTTATGAGTAATGTTTTTAGAGATAAGCACTCGATATGCTGTATGATTCCTCACGTTGCTCCAAGCTCTTTATGTTTCAATGAATCTTTGAGAACACTTCAATTTGCTGAAAGAATGAGTGGAATAGCTCTTAACAATGTAAATCAATAAATTAATTTATTTAAATAATATTAACAAATGTTGACAAATTACAAGTTGAGTAAATCAGCTTCTTCCTTAATTCTTCTAGAGAAATCAGCAATGGTAAGAGAAATACCTTCATGCAAGGCAACCTTTGGTGACCAACCAAGTAAAGTCTTTGCCTTGGTAATGTCTGGTCTTCTGACTTTTGGATCATCTTGTGGAAGTTCGTGGAAAACTAATTGATTTGACTCGGTTGCTCCAATCATTTCTCTAATCTTTTCAGCCATTTCCAAAACAGTATATTCTTCTGGATTACCAATATTGACAGGTCCAATAGTAACATCTTGATTCATCAAAGTGTGCAATCCTTCAATTTGATCACTAACATAACAGAATGATCTGGTTTGTTTACCAGTTCCGTAGACAGTGATGTTAATTCCCTTAAGAGCTTGATAAACAAAATTACTAATAATACGTCCGTCAGTCAAATTCATTCTAGGTCCATAAGTGTTGAAAATTCTAGCAACACGGACTTGAGTATTCTTGGTTCTATTAAAATCAAAGCAGAGAGTTTCAGCAGCTCTCTTTCCTTCATCATAACAAGATCTAGTACCAGTACAGTTGACATTTCCCCAATAAGTTTCAACTTGTGGATTAATAGCTGGATCACCATAAACTTCACTAGTAGAAGTGATCAACAATCTAGCATTCCACTTTGTAGCAAGAGTGAGGAAATTATATGTTCCTTGAACACAAGTCATTGTTGTATGAATTGGATCTTTTTGATAATGTGGTGGTGAAGCAGCACAAGCCATGTGATAGATTTGTCCAATACCTTCCAATGATGTAATTCTTTCATCGGAGAGAGCATTAATCACATCAGCTTGAATGAAATGTACATTAGGATTTTCAGACAAGTGTTTCAAATTAACCAAACTTCCTGTTTGCAAATTATCAATAACATAGATTTCATCCTTGTTATCACTCTTTTTCAAAAGGTAATCAACCATATGACTTCCTATTGTATTGGAGGTATAATTTTAATATTATTATTATTGTTGATGATGATGATAATTATATATGATGTTCATAAACCATCCACATCCATTATTATTGCAATAAGTAAAATAATATGATGGTAATTCATATTAGTAAACTAATATTGACAAAATAATACAAACCAAGGAAGCCAGCACCACCAGTCACTACAATCTTCATTTTTGTTTGTTTTTTTTAATCGTTGTTGCCAATGAGAAACAACTATTTGATTGGTGAATGGTCAGCTTATTGGATAATTTGTGATATTACATTTTACAAAAGTTAAAGTACACCATGCCAATTATGAAGAGTGGATGTTGAGTTTTGGATTTTTAATTGAGAGAAACTTGATAAACATCAAAGTGATGATTTAGCTTTGAATTCTCATGGACGCAGTATTCTTGATTTACCTTATTGATTAGTCCACCAAAATTATTTCCACATTCATGTACAAAGTATATTCTTCTAATTCTAGAGTGTAAGAGAGCCATTGCACACATACAGCAAGGTTCATGTGAAATAAATAAATCCAATCCTTTGCAGAGGTAGGGAATTTCTGTACTCGGTGTGTTAGGTGGTAGCTTCTCAATTGTCTCTATACAGTATTGGGCAATGACATCCACACCAACAACAGCACAGTGCCTCAGTGAGCATTTGAATTTTCCCAAATTTGAAAGAGTACCTTCTGTTTCTGAATAGTAAGGAGAGAAAAATGAATTTTTAGATTCGTCTAGGAATAATTCATCATGAATACTAGATTTAACAATTGTCTTGGTTTGTGGATTGAAAAATAACCCAGAAACTCGCTTACTCTTTTCAAATGAATCAATTACTAGTTTTGTACATGTTTCTACAGATTTCTCATCGTGACTATTTACATTTAGTTCTGCTTTTGGATCTAATTTTGCCAATTGAAGTTCAGTTTCATATAAATTAACAGTTTTAAGAGGCCAATATTGAGTATTCCATTCCTTCCACTGATATTTCAATTTAGGTCCATATTTTGGAATTTTAAAAAGTTTCAAAATTTTTTCTGCTTGTTGATGATCCGAACATTCTAAAATTGTTTTAAAAACATGATTTTCTTTTGTAAGTAATTCATCATCCGAGCTTTGAAAAACATTAGAAATCCACCTCTGTAAATTTGTATTTTCATCAGTATCATCATCAATATTCAACAATGGATACAAAACACAATAAGTATCACTTCCAATAGTTTTAATTCTTTTAATAAAATCTATATCACGAGCCTCCAATGGAAAATTCTTATTCAAATATTGAATCAAGCCTGAAGTTTTTGATTTATTTTCCACTCTTATCCCGATAATATTAATCAACTCCAAATCGGTAATCTTCGGCTTGGTGTAGATGTTTTTAATTGATAACTGTGATGATGAATTTTCCATATTTTTTTTTTTTTTTAAATGCAATGGGCAAGACAATTAGTAGTTTTATCCATCTAGCAAGAGGAAATTCAATTTCCAATCCTCGCCTACAAACAATTGACTCAACAATAAGGGGTAACCTAAAAAGATCAATGAAGATCGATGCAAAGGTAAAACCATCCACAATGTATGCACAATTCGAAAGAAAAGGACTAGAAATTCCAAACCTCGAATACATAGCCAACTCAATCCTTTGCAATAACTTAATCAACAAATTCCACTCAAGTAACCCACTTGTCAGAGAAGCAGTACAGTACGGAATTAATAACTGTAACACGAACAAAACAAAACTACACAACATATTTGAAAAATTCCACTACATCCTAAAACAACACAAACTTACCACAACAATATGTAACACCAATCATCAACTTCTGGAAAAGGAAAAAGATGAACAATACTCCTACTCAGAATTCACAATATGGACTGATGGATCCAAATCAGAAAACAAAGTAGGATTCAGTGTAATCATTCAGAACAACGAATTTACAAAAGGATACAAATACAAGCTCCACTCATACCACTCAAACAACATGGCTGAATTATCAGCAATTACAACAGCACTACACATCATACCACCAAACAGCAATGCAAAGGTACTCACTGACAGTGAAATAGCAGTCAAAATAATTTACAACACAAATTACAAAGGTCAATTTAAGCAAATCAAAGATGAAATTACCAACCTCATCAGCACTAAAAAACTTCAAGCATCCATCGAATGGACAAAAGCTCATACAGGAATAACAGATGGAAATAACTACGCTGATAAGAAAGCCAAACAAGCCTCAAGAATAGGACATCGAATTGCACCCCAACATCTACTAACTCAAGGGCAACTAATTATCACCAATTCGAAAAAAGTTTGGAAAAGTAGAATCAAAGGAGTACTTAGTGAAAAGCTCTACAATCAAGGAACATCCGAACTCATCAACAGAACAAATCTCAATTACCTCAAAGAACATACCACCCCAACTCACAAATACTCAATCTGGAGGCTCATGATAAATGGACACTTAAGAAGCCTCATAGTAGACAACCCACAATGCCCAACATGTAACAAAAACCTTGACACAGAACACCTCTTCATAGAATGCCCAGAAATGAATTCAGCTAGAAACTGGATGATTGAAGAAATCAAAAAAAATACCAATCTCGAACCAGTACTAAGCACAGAGAGGACAGAAATATTAACACCAAACTCATTCCAACTGAATATCTTTGGTATTCTGACAGAACCTATTCAAGGTATTATCAAAGAACAATGGCCCAAGATACAAGGAGGCCTCTCACTTTTTGGAGGAAGAGTACAAAAACAATACAACAAAATCTTAAAAATTCAATAAGACGTTCCAAATGGACGAACCCGTCGGGTTCATTCGATTAATAAACGTTTAAATTTTTTTTAAATGCAATTTCAAAATTTATTTTTTAATCTTTTTGTAAAATATACAACAACAAACTGTAGTGAAAATTGTAAAGATTGCGACCTGTAATTTGAAAATATGTTCAATCTTGATACAATGTCGGAATTATTGCGCTCAGGAAGGGTAATTTCATTGTTTGACTTTAGATGTGTTCATTGTTGAAAAAGAGAAATAATTCCACAAACACAACATTTCAGTTCTTGCAAGGAACCATGCATAAGGTTGAGGGAACATATTTGGCACTAACCTGAAACTTCAATTCTATTGTTTTTAATGACATTTTGTCCCAGTTGATCTATTTGAAAGACAGATGCAACAATGTTTCTTTCACTCACTTATTCAAAAAATGTCTCAATATAACCAATCTTTTACCACTCAACCTGGTTATCCTCAACCAGTTAATGTTCAACCATTGTCTTATAACCCTGCCATTCAACAATTTTCTCAACCACAATATGGTCAACCAATGAGCCCATCTCTGCAACCAAGTCCATCAACTCCAAATTCTTCTTTCACAAAGCAATCTGGAGGTTCTTTCCACATGCAACAAGATCCAGCTCTAATTCAATCAAACACACCAAGTCAACCAGTTCTCGAGTGTAAGAATTTGTTACCTTTTATTGTTAATGATAAGCTTGTAAAGAATACTTTTTGGGCAACTGGTGGTAATATCCTAATCAAGATATTCATATTTGTTGTCAATAAGTTTATTCTCATGGGTTTAGGTGAAGCTCTGATGGTCAATTACATTACCAGAAGAGAAGTTAAAAACATGAGAATTGGTAACAGAATGTTGAGCTACAAATCAAGAGGAAACTTCAAGATGGCCCTCCTATGTGTTGTTAATTGGATATTGAACATATTCTCATGTGGTTTATTCTACATTCTTGGTTATAGTCATATCATGTACCTTTCTCAACTCGATGCCAGAATTCACTGGGGAAAACCAGCTAAAATTTCCAAGAAGAGTCAATGAAAGAGGCAATTTGTTGGGAACCAATTGGTAATGGAATGGGTGAATTCAAGATATTTAGTGTATACTTGGGTGTTGGATTTGAAATAATGTTCATCATTTTGTATTCACTCAATTTGGTTTCGTTTGGTTTACTTTCTCCACTATTGTACAAGATTTACTTCCCAGCCTACTTTGAGAAGGTTCAATTGGGAAAGGGAAGATTTGCAGTCATTCATCCAAAGATGATTTCCTCAATTAATAAGCATGCCAAGAAGAGATCCAAATTGAAGAAGGAAAAAATTGAACAACCAACAGAAGTTTATCCATGTGATTATCCAGTTTTAGGTTTTCCACCTCAACCTTCTCATGAAACATACAAACTTAAATTGAAATTTGTTCCAACTTTTTGTGAGTTGATCAAATTCTTTGTAACGATCAATGTTCTCAGCTTTGTGTCATGTGGATTATTTGTCAAGTGTTGCTTGGCAAATTATGCCAGAAATTACATGAATAGAAATATTCATATTGAATTGGAATCAGTTCCATTAGAAGAGCTGCTCAATAATAATAATATCACAGTTTCAAATAATGAGATTGCATTGCAACAAGTGACTGTAGTTGAAACTGTTATCATTCAACCTAATCAACAATAAATATTACTTCAATTCTTATGAAATGAATTTATTCGATATGTTAATTTTGGCGCCATTTTGAAATGTTGAACTTTTTAAAATAAAAAAAATGAGCGCCAATAACACACTCACTATCAGCAATTTAATTTTTGTTGGTGATGAGGATGAATCTTTACAGGATAGATTTAACAAGATTGATCCGAGTATTCTGACTAAATATTCACGAGATTGTACCTTTAAAGAATATAGGCTTGTGGATTCGGATGATATTACATTGGATTCGGAGAAGGAAGATAAATTCTTCTCCACTCCTTTTGAACAATACAATTTACAGAAATTAATTAAAAAGACTAAAACATCGGCCAGTGATAAGGTTGTAATTTCGTTGGAAGATGTTGATTGTACAATTCCTTCTCATGATGACAAGTATTTTGAACCTGTTTCTTTTAAAACTAAAAGTGATAATTTAGTATTGGAACGAGTGAATGAATGGATGCACTGTTTGAGATGTGATAATAATTTATTATTTTATGGATTAGGATCAAAGATTAATCCACTGAATCAATTAATGTATTGCATGAAGGAAAGTGATGTGAATAGTTTCTTTGCAATTGTTTGTGGATATAATCCTGAAATTACAATCGGAATAATGTTGGATGACATTTTAAAGACACATCTGAAAGAGAAGAATACTAAGAATTTATCATATGTGGAGAAAGTGGACACAATTATAAGAATAATGAATCAACGTAATGAATTGGCCAAACCTTTACCTGATGATGAATTTGGTGATTTTGCAGAATTTATGAAAGATGAAGAGCCATCTACAAAACATGCCAAACAACATTTGTACATTTGCATTCATAATATTGATGGACCAGGCCTTCGTTCTAAATCCACTCAACATTTACTCTCTGTTCTATCAAGTAATAGATATATTCACTTGATTTGTAGTGTAGATAATCAATTATCAAATTTATTATGGGAACCCTCAATTGAAGACAAGTTTGGCTTTATGAGATTCAATATTACCAACTTTTGTACATATTTTGCTGAATCTGAATATTACTCATTACAAGATTTGTACAATGAATCATCTGATGGAAAGAAGAGTAGTGAAGAGAAATCACTTGGACCAGTTGAAATTGTTGCCAATATTTTAAAGTCAGCAAACAAGAAACACAGACAAATTTACATGATTATTTGCAACAAATTTATTGAAAATGAAAAGTACAATGAATCGGAAGAAGGATCTAGCCAACCTAAACCTAGTGGCAGCACTCATCAAGAAATCAAATCTTCTATGGGTGTTTATTCAACAGATGATGCCTTGCTGAGAGATGGTTTGTCATATCTGGAAAATCAAATTAAGGTTATCAAGAAGAAGCAAAATACCTTTATTCCGACCTTGAAGCGAAATCAATGTGAAAAACTCTTGGTCATATTAAACAATTCATAATTTATTTGAGTTGTTTCAAACATTGTTCAATAGTATCCTTAGTCTTACTATTCTTGGTCTTTCTTTGAATGTATTCCAATAATTCAACATCACGAGCTTCAAAGGCAGCTTCAACAGCCTCCTTGAATTTAAGTAAATTAATCCAATATTCAACTTTGGTTTCTAATGATTCAATTAGAGGAATGTACTTGAGTGCTTCATCAGATCTATCAGCTTCCAAACAAGCTTCAACAAATGGAATGTAACCAATTGGTGATTTCTTTGCAGTGGCAAATGTTTCTAATTTCTTCCATTCTCCCAAGAATACCAAAGCTTTGATTTTAGAATAATAATATCTCTTTGGGGAAACTCCAAAATTCTTTTTCAATACCTTGACAAACTTTTTTCTTTCTCCCTTTTTGGCTTTGAGAGCTTCACTTGTCATGACTCTGTACAGAGTATCTTGTAATGATGCTCCAACAAATTCTTCATCTGTTTCATCTTCCAATTTCAATTGCAACCCGTAGAGTTCTCTTTCCTTGACTGCAAACTCGAGGTCAAGCTTATCTGCTGATCTTTCCTTAAAGTAAGTTTCTGCCTTCTCAATATAATAGGCAAATCTCTCCTCTGCCTTATCATCAACGGAATCGTAATTCTTATAGGCATGTCTAATTTGTGTAAAACCATTTTCTCTTGAGGCAGCTTCTTCATTTTGTTCATTCTTTAAATACTTGTAGAATTTTTCTAATTTCTTATACTTTCCAAGTTGTGTACAGTAGGAAATGAAAAGTTTTCTTGCCATCTTCTTGTCAGCAATCAATTCATACATGTAATAAGCATCAAAGAACTTCATCAAATAGAGTAATACAGTGTAAAGTAGATCAGTATCATTACTCTTTTGTGCCTTGTCTAATGCACTCAATGTCTCATGCATAGATAAGTAGAGTTTGATTTGAGAGTTAGCATTAGAATCTACTTCAAGGAGAGCCTTAGCTAACTTTGGCTTTTGAACCTTGTAAGCTTCCATGGCAATATTTGAAAAACTGACACTTGCTGAGAATTTTTCCAAATTCTTAATAATGATATCCTTGAGTTTCAATTGAGAAGTTTCATTCTTATCTTCAATCTTACTTCTAATCATGGCTTTGGCCCAATGTTCTAATACTTTGGACTTTGCCAAATTCAAATAGTCACAAACCTTATAGGCCAACAAGTATTCACGCATTTCAGAGAGTCTCTGTACCAAAACTTGAGGAGAAAGTGAAAGAATTTGTTCATAAGTGATTGGAATTTCACTTCTACTTCTCAGTTCATTCATAAGTCTAATATATTTACATTTCAATTGGAATGCTTTTGCTTCATCAATGGTTGTTCTCATGAAATTCTTTCCATAAATGGCAGCATTTAATAATTGTTCTTGAATGTGAACATCAAACTCTCTACAAGCAGCATCAATACACTTATTGACACCATCATACAATGCATCAACACTTTGATCTCCCATTTCCTTGTTTTTAATTTCTCTGATTGTCTTTAAACAAGTAGCTCTTTCATTGACATAATCAGAATAGGCATCATACAATAAGGCAGCAGGTGACAAGCTACCAATTCTGAAAACTTCAACAACACTTTCAGGAATACGTTCAATCATTTCTACACTTTGAGTAGTATAGTAACGACAGGAATCTATTTCTTGTGAGACAATGATTGGACCATCATATGTGAATGATTCATAGTGTCTGAAAATAATGTTATTAAATAAATGAAACAAATTAAACTTACCCAAAACAGTTCACTAATAATACAAGAGATTGATCACCACCTCCAATATTTTCTGGACTCCAATAGAGCATCATTGATTCACCTCCACAATAGGTTAGGGAATCCAATCGGTGTTCAGTAATTCCAGTGAAGAATTTCAAATAATTTGAAGTCAGAGCCAAATCAAATACAAATAAATTACCAGAAGCTTGATGGAATGCTGAAATGGTTTTGTAATCAGGTGAAACTGATATTTTAGTGAAACCAGAAGTATCTCTTTCTGGAATATCTCCTTTCAATCTTTCATTCAATTTTAAATCCTTATATAAATTCGAATAACATGCAATAATTGACATTCTATCTGGAACTGAGAAGAGAACAAGTGGACCCTTACCAACTTTGAATGATTTGTTTTCAGCTGGTGCAATAGAAGTATTATTCACAACAGTTCTTTGATTTCTTCTTCCCAATAAATTACTGAAAAATCCACCAGATTTCTCATTTGATGAAAGTGAAGGAGCCAAGTTGAGAGTTGGTTTTCTAATTGTTGCTGATCGACTTGTTGTAATTGATTTAGTATCTTCATCATCGTCCTCTTCTTCCTCTTCCTCTTCTTCATTTTCCTTTTCCTCACCACTCTTTTCATTCATGCTCCTTTTCAAATCATTGACTTTCTTTTTTCTGACTGTCAAATCAAAATTAGTTACAACAGACATTACAACGTGTGTTAATTCAGCATTATTTCCAACTGCACTCTTTGGGAAAATATATTCATGGAAAGGTTTAGTTTCTGATAAATCATATGCTACAAGGAGACGTCTCTTTGATGTGAAAACTACACATCCTTCTCCATAAAATGTGTGAGCTCTAATTTCTTCTTCTGATTGTAAAGGAATTGAAATAAATGTTGCAGTACTTGAATTAGTATTATTATTATTCGAATCATTTTGATTCTTTTTCATTTTACTTTCCATAAGTGGACTATCTTTCTTTTTATCAACGTCATCATTTTGCCATGGTCCTGAATATCTCTCACCATTAAATACATTAAATAATGATAAACGTTTTCTATTATTTAAATTGAAAATCATAATTCACACCATCATCATCATCGTCATTAACAATTGATCAAATTTTCATCATCAATTAATACATCCACAACAATAAGATCATCCATAATTTTGATGAATAAATAGTAAAGTACAATAGAAATAGTTTAAACACATTCACTTTCTAATAAAAACCTACTTGGTCAAACACATTAATTTCATATCATCGGTCCATCCAACACCAATCAATGGTTCTTCCTTTGTCATGTCAATTTTTCTCTGAAATTTACAAGCAGCATTATAAATGTAAATAATTTGAGATTCACTAATGTTATTATTATTATTAGATGCAGATGATGAAGTATCTAATAAAGTATTTGTTGGTTTTTTAAATAGAGCAATTGGTCCACCAAATGGACAAACAGAAGTTTCATAATATGACAAATCCTTTAATTTTACTCCTTGATCATTGAACCACGTAATATTGTTGTATAGTGGTATTCTACGATAGTAGAAAAAGTTATTGTTATATTCTGTTAGTTGAATCCATGAGGCTGCAATACTCATTTTTTTTTATGATACTGATTGACATGAACTGACATTTGAGGTCTACACTCAACAGAGCTTTTTTCATTAATCGATTCTTCTTTGGAAATAAGAGAGTAGTCCCAGATTTGATCTTTTGATTTCCAAATTGTTGTAAAAATTGAAAATATTGAAAATTACATATTTACAATTTTTTTTAATTATTTTTTAAATTAGTTTTTTCTAAAGGCATTAATATCCACAATTATTATTATTATTATTATTTTAACATCATTTCCAAAATTAACGAGGAACATATTTGGATGCAGGTGGGTTAATTGTTGAGGAACCCAAAATTTCTTGTTGTTCAGCATATTTAACAGAAATTCTGTTAAAAGCATCTCTTTCAATCATTGTTCGTTCATCAGGTGAAATATCATTTGAACCTTTAAAGTTTTGATAATCCCTAATCATTCTCATTGTTAATTTTTCAACTTCAGAATTAAATTCAGTTGGATTTCTTCCGTAATAATATCCTTGATCTCTGTTTTGTAATTCCTTGTTATTAGTGAATAAGTCAAATACATATCTTCCTCCGAAATAAAAAGCTTGACCTAAAACAAAAGAACCAAACAATAGGCCAATTCGTTTTTGAAGTGGTGTCATACCCTTCTTGAATTTTCCTTCATGAACACCTTTTCTAAGTGTTTTCAATGCTTGAGCACCGACATCACCACCATAAAAACCTTCAATTTTTGCTTCAACTCTTGCTTTGAAAGGCAAATCAGTGCCTTCCTGAATGTATTTCTTTTGAATGGCTTCTCTTGTGAATTGTGAATATTCGGATTTTAATAATTCCTTTAAATTACTAGCAGCTGTTGCTGAAACCTTTGGTAAATCGGATGGTTTGGTAAAAGATGATGAAGAAGAAGATTCGGAAGATGATGACGATGTATTCTCCTTTTGATCCTGTTGTTGTGTACTCATTTTTTTAAAAAAGCCTATTTATTGCACTTGGAGGCGATTTTTGGATAAAAATAAGAATGGAGGTATTGTTACTACTTTTTATGAACAATTTCAAGTATGCTAAGAAATAAACTTATTGCAAAATTATTGGTTTTTATTAGAAAGAAGCTAAATTTGTCTGTTGGAAATTGTGTTAGTTTTAAAATTCTCCTTTTATTAATAGACAACAACACATCACCTATTGGAGCATTATTAGAACATTTCCCATTAAAATTCACTTTCAAAAAAACAAGATTTTTACTTGTTGTTGTTACAGGTTATTCGACTCCGATTGATAGAACGAACTCTCCACTTTGTTGGTCGGTACATCATCTTCTTCTTCATCATTATTAATAGTATATTATTAATTGATTATTAATTTAAAACAGAAGAAATGCCCTCTTTTCAACATCAAGATGAATTGTTGTGGATTTTGAATAATGTAAATAATTATAGTCAAAATGTACTTCCGAATCTACTCTTCTCAACTTTGAATCAATCATTACCAAATATACAGCTGCAGGAAACAACACCCAATGATCCACCTGATATTTTGTTCATTATATTTCAAGTGATTTTTGTAATTTTAAATTGCATTCAGTTCGAGTAATATATTATTTACTGTTTGGTCATGGTGTGTTGAGTATGCACCTGCATTGAATGTTCAAAATAGTGAGATTTCGAATGTGACGTGGATTTTGAGTCATCTATTTGCACATGGAAACTTTGCATTTGCATTATGTTCAGCAACTTGGAGTGTTTCTATAGCTGTAGCAATTTATGCAACAACGAAGAAGGTTAAATGGATGGAAGAAAATTATGTCTACGACATATTATTTCACATAATTTCATGGGGTGTTGCCTTAATTTCATTCATTTCAGTATTTACCTACAGAGTTTCTGCCAAATTGACTGGATTTCATGACCAACATCCAGATATTGAAAATTATATTCTCACCTTTTTCAACTTTTTTGGAGCATTCTATCTTATCATTGTAAGTATTTGTCAATTTATACTAATAAGCTGATTTCGCGTTTTCAGGCTGCTGTTGTGGACTTTTCTATTTTGTACCTTATTTGGAAGCATGTCGGGAATGTTTTATCCAGAACTCAACTTAGGATTGTTGTCAAACAGGAAACAAAGCGAGCCCAACGCAGAATTATTGGAAAATTAAGCTTATATTTGGTCCCTTTGTAAGTATCTACCTCCTCAATATTTTGTTAATTATTCCACAAACAGTTTGGTTTCCTCTAGTTTTCAATCAATATGGCTATTATACAATGGATGTAAATATCTAGTTGGAAGAAATGATGATAATTTTGAGTATTATTTCTACTTGCTATATAGTATCTTTGTTCCAATGCAAGGATTTTTAAATTTCCTAGTTTTTGGTCTGACATTGGGAAGGTCAGCACTTGTTAAACTTTTACGATGTGATTGCCTTAGGGGCAAATATACAACTTCAGAAGAAAGAGAGTCCTTATTGAGCATTAACAATACTATGCTTAATTCCTTAAATTCCAATGTTGGTGTTGGTAGAGAACGTTCTGCATCTGATGATCTAAGTTCATGAGTAATATGTTGTCTTCTATTGTTGTTGTAGTTGTGCATGACCATAGTAATTTGCAAGCCATCATCACATATCATTATAAAACGACATTATTCAACCTCTTGGTTGTGTTTGCATTTTTCAATGAAGAAAATGCATCATGAATCCACACCTCAATTAATGAGGAAGTTTCAGTGCACTTATTCGCACTCCATTTTCTCCAATTTTTTACTTTCTAATAAAAAACTCGGTATTATCTCTGCTGATTGACTTTAGTTTACAACAAATTTTCAACAATTATTGATAATTTTATGGCGAAATGTTTCAGGCTACCTCGCATAATTTTGAGTGTTTAATATTGAAGGTTCGGAGACTAACGTTCGATTCTTTGAAAGCACCAAACTTTTACACCAAGAAAAGATACCCCTTTAGGCTTCAATACAATTTTCAAAAAAAGATCACAACACCTAATCTAAAATGTCTTCCTTGTTAAAAGAGAGAGTCAAATGTGCTTCCTTGTTGAAGAAGGTAGTCACCCACCCAAGAGACTTGGTTTCATTGTTTAAACATGGTGATTATATTGGTATGAGTGGTTTTACTGGTATGTAATTTATTGTTGTAGGCTTGTATTCATGATTTATCTTCGGAATGATTATTTCATAAATACTACAATAATTAAAGGTGTTGGTTATCCAAAGGTTGTTCCACAAGTAAGTAAGACAATTTATCATCCATTATTCATCAATTAATTCGGAAAGGCTTTGGCTGATCATGTCCAAGAAAACAAACTTGAAGGTAAAATGAAGTTTAATCTCTTTGTTGGTGCTTCATTAGGTGCTGAAGTTGAAGATAGATGGGCTAAATTAGATATGATTGATAGAAGATATCCTCACCAAGTCGGAAAGAACATTCAAAAGGGTATTAACGAAGGTAGAATTAGATTCTCTGACCAACACTTGTCTATGTTCTCTCAAAACTTGACTTATGGTTTTTATACTAAGGAATGTGCTAATCAAAAGAGCCCAATCAATTATGCTATTATTGAAGCTACTGAAATTAAGGAAGATGGAAGTATTATTTTGGCTGCTTCTGTTGGTGCTACACCAGAAATTCTTCACATGGCTGATAAGATTATTATTGAAGTCAATACTGCTTTGCCATCATTCGACGGTATTCATGATATTCATCTTCCTTTGGATCCTCCACACAGAAAGCCATTGATGATTGAAAATGTTCAAGATCGTATTGGTACTACTGGATTGAAGATTGATTTGAGTAAGGTTGTTGCTATTGTTGAAAGTACTAAACCAGATAACACTGGTGGTAATGCTCCTGAAGATGAATCCAGTAAGCAAATTGCTAAGAATTTGACTGAATTCTTGATTTCCGAAGTTGACGCCAAGAGACTTCCAAAAGAATTGTTGCCACTCCAATCTGGTATTGGTAACATTGCCAATGCTGTTATTTCTGGATTGGTTGAATCTCCATTTGAAAATTTAACTGTATTTACTGAAGTTTTGCAAGATTGTTTCATTAACTTGTTCGAAGCTAACAAATTGAACTTTGCTTCTGCCACCTCTGTCAGATTGTCTGAGGAAGGTTTCAAGAAGTTCTATGCTGATTGGGATAACTATAAGAATAAGATTGTTCTCAGACCACAAACTATTTCTAACGCTCCTGAATTGATCAGAAGACTTGGTGTCATTGCTATGAATACTCCAGTCGAATTCGATATTTATGGTCACGTCAACTCTACCTGTGTTAATGGTTCTAGAATGATCAATGGTTTGGGTGGTTCTGGTGACTTTTTGAGAAATGGTAAGCTCTCAATTATGCACACTCCAGCTGCTAGACCATCTAAGAATGATCCAATTGGTATCACTTGTATTGTCCCAATGGTCAGTCACGTTGATCACACTGAACACGATTTGGATGTCTTTGTCACTGAATTTGGTTATGCTGATGTTCGTGGTTTGTGTCCAAGAGACAGAGCTAAGCTTATTATTGAAAAGTGTGCTCATCCAGAATACAAACCAATTCTCCTCGACTACTTTGAAACTAACTTGAAGAAGTGTTTGAAGACTAGCTCTGCTCACCAGCCACACGACTTATCCACTGTTTTCAAGATGTACCAAAATCTCCAAGAAAAGGGTACAATGAGAATTGAACACTGGTAATCATTTTTGACGTCTGTACTTTAATTTGTAAATAAACCTAAGTTTTGGAAATACTGAACCAAGAGTTGCCATCTAAGGATTTTCTTATCATGCTAAGGTAGAAAGGCAACAAAATCAAAGTGAATTTAACACAGTACCTTAAGCAAAGCTGTCCATAATATAATTATGTGAATATATTATTATTTATTTGCCTTCTTTTTCATTATCACTGATAATGGCATGTCATGTTTAAATAAGTGATTAATTAACATGGTAGAAATTTCTGCAAATAAATCTTCGTTCATAGTAAAATCCAAAGTGTTCAATTTCATTAAATTTCCTTCCAATTTTGAAATGAATAAATCGTGATCTTGTTTGTGACCGGCTGCTCCTGGAATATTATTCTCTTGCATGTATTGTTCTTGTTTTGAGAAGAATTTTCTTGTCTTTTCCAAGAAATCACTCAATAAAATTTGTATCTGAATTGAATGTTGATCAGCTACCCAAATATAGTATAATTTGTTAACTTGATAGAATAATTCTTTGTGATATTCATTCATTTCTGGGTCAAAATCCATCTTGGCATTCCATTTAATGAATGGTTGATTCTTAATCATTTCATCAATCTCCTCCTGTGATGTTAATTTGTTCGTTGAGGATGAGCTTCTACTGTAACGTTTACCATCAGTTGTCTTTACAATGGATGCTCTTGTATTGGTTTGTTTGGAAGTTGAATAGGATGGGAATGCACTGGTGTGTCTTTTGGCTTTTTCTTCTAATGAAAGTTGACTCGTGTCCTTCTTGAATTTAAATTTCATCTTTTGGAAAAATCCTAAACCTTGACTTTGAGATTTCAAACTCTTTAAGGTTTTATCTTCTTCCACTTTGAGAGAAATTCCTAGCTTCTTTGCTAATTGTTTGGCTGTTACTTTTTGATTATTTTTAATTCCAACACTACAATTGGCTGCTACTAGAATGGTAACAATTTCTTGATTTTGTTGATTGACTGCAATGTGAAGAGCAGTATCACCTGCATCATTTTGTGCATCAACATCAACTTCTCTTGCTCTTGCAAGTAGAAGAATTATATCCTGATGTCCTTTCCTTGTTGCCAAATGAAGTGGACTATCACCATTCTTTTTATCCTTCTCATTTAAACATTCAACTATTGAATCTGTTCCTGACATGTAGTTAATTAACAATTTCAATGAATTAATATATCCAAAATTAGCACAATGATGAATAATGGTATTTCCTGCACCAGAGAGACGATTCACTATTTTAGAAAGTGTTGGCTTTCCAAATGCATCCTTAGGTGCTAAATTACCACTACCACTCAAACTTGATGATGATGAAGTTGCACTATCGAATTGATCAACAAATAACTTGTCATGCTTATTTTGCTCTTCAATTTCTAGGTATTTTGAATTTGTCAAGTGTTGTTGTTGAGTTTGATGATTTGGTGTTGAATTGGTTGGTGATGGACTCGAATTACTTGTTATATTAAATACAGATTCTTCTTCTATGGAAAGTAAATATCTACACAAATAATCAATTAAATGTGGATGTGGAGCAGCAGAATATAAACAATGTTGATCTTCACGATTCATTCTCAAAATACTTGCACCCTTTTCCAATAGAAATTCAACCTTACTCAAATCACCCTCCTCACAACAAGTATGAAGACATGTTTGACCTTTCTGTGTTTTAAAATTAACATCAGCACCAAACATGATTAAAGTTTTAGCAATATCTAAATATCCCTTTCTCAATGCCACACTCAGTGGTGTATTTTCAAAATTATCTTTCACATTCACTTTAGCACCACGCATCAATAAATAAACACAAGCACGAATACAATTATTGGCAACAGCATAAAAGAGTGGAGTTGAACCACCACCATCCTTCTTCTCTACCAAAGCTCTATATTCATCAATGAGAATACTAATAATTTTGAAACGATTCAAAGAGGCTGCCTTATGTAAAAGTGTCGTATTCGTTGCATCCTTATCAATATAATTTGAACTGATATTGAACACTTTGCCAGATTCTTCTCTTTCCTTCCTATCTTGTTCCAATCTATTTCTAAGTTCTTGTATGAAATTATGTTTAATATAATAATTCAATTCTTCTGTAATATCAATAAAATCAGTTCTAATTCCTTTTTGTCTTTCTAATTTAGTGGCTTCATCCTCTTCCTCTTCTTCATTTTCTGATACTGTTACATTTGAATTTGAATTTGTTATTGTTGTTTTAGATAAAGTTGATGATTGAGAGTTGTTGGAATTATCAACATCAATATTGGTGGATTTTTCAGAATGTTCAAATGTGGTTTCTGATAACCTGTTTGATCGTTTTTTATGGGAAATTATGAATTTGTTATCGGAACATTCTCTATAAATTGTTTTCTCTAAATTCATATAATCTTCTGTTGTTTTAAAATATTTCTTTCTCTTTCGTCTTTGTAAACCAGTGTTTGGATCAATACTTGGTGATTGTGGAGTTGAAGTAACTGAATCACTTATAGATAGTAATTGAATCATTATAGATGAAGGAACAGATGTTGTTCTATCCAAAGATGACAATTCACTACCCACCACTTCATTAGAAATGTTATTCGAAATATTATTAGAAACACCTTGAGTTGTTGTAATAGATGGAATATCATCAAGTAAATCAAATAAACTATTTTCTTGATTTTTAGATATTGTTGAAGATGAATGATTATTCAAATTAGTTGAATTATTCGAATTATTATTCGATGATGGTGATGAACGAATTAATTGTTGTTTAAAATTATTACTTGTTGATGATGGCCTCAGTGATGACATGTTAGAAAATGTTCTCATCAATGGACTTGTATCTTCTCCACCACCACCATTATTAGCAGCAACAGAAACAGCAGTAACAGTAGTACTACCATTACCTATAACCTCACCAGTTCTATCATCATCACCAGTATTAGTGATGGATGACGAAAAAGCCTTCATTGACAAGCCTTTACAAGATGACAAAGATGATGCTAGCACCTCTTCTTCTTCTGAGGAGGATAATTGATTTAAATGATTGGAACAAGTTGTACTCGTTGATGATGATAATAATTGTTTCTCATTCTTTGGAACAATAGAATCATGATTGATATTATTAGCAATAGCATCAGACTGTAGATGGCACTGCTGGCAAGTGTTATGGTTGTTTGACATTTTTTTGGTTGAAGAATATAACGCAATTCTTGTCTGTGTCATACCGTGTATGGATAGTCACAAAATTGAATCGCACCTGCCTGATTTAATTTAACAACGAAATGAGAAATGGATGGCACAATTAATTGAGATGATTCTTAATTGGTGAACTCACATATTATATTGTGAATTCATTTGTTTTCATGTTATTTCGTTATAATTACAGAAAGTAATGGGGTTGTACTTTTGGTTGATGATGAGAAAATTTTAAATAAGGTTTACTAATTAAAAGAATCCAATAGGATTCAACAAAATAATGAAAAGTAAACAATAAGCTTCAAAATTATCATCTCTTTCAATACATACACTCAAACACTTTAAAGTCGTCGACTACTCTGTCCACACTTTCCCTAGTGATATCACTCTTCATTCAAGAAAACCTTAGTTTCTCAGTTCAGTTTATTCATATCTGAAACCTTTAGGCGGGTAAAAGGAAAATCTTCACTTCAAAACTCTGAAAAAACAAAATGACACTCACAAATGCTGATACACTACCAATAGTAATGACATTTCTTGATGTAAAATCAGTGATATTATCATGTTCACTTGTATCTAGAGAGTGGAATCATTTAACAAGATTAAATTCCATATGGAAGTTAAAATATGAACAAATATTCATGGAGAGTGTATTTAATTGGACTAAACATGTTACAAATTCTTCTAATGATGATGATGATTCCGATTCTGATTCTGATTCGAAAGATGAATCTTCTGATAATTCATCATCTTCAGAATCGGAAGGAAGAAAAAGAAAAAAAAGAAAGAAAATTAAAAAGTCAAAGAAACAAAAAACAAGAAAATCCAATCAAGAAGATTACTATTGGTTTAATTTATTTAAAAAATGTATATTACTATTTCCTATTTTAGATATTGAATATGAAAATGTTGAACTACTTGCCAATCAATTAGATTACAATGAAATTAAAAAAATTACAAATGTTCAACAATTACATGAAATAATTTACCACTTGAAAGAAACTATTAGAAATCAAGAAAATGGTCAATCTCAACTCACTTCTGATTATCAATATAAATTTCACAACAGTAAGGCACTAACTCTAAACAAGGAAATGAAAGCTAATTTAATGCAATTAGCAACAATATTAACAGTTTTATATGATGGACAATCAATATTCTATTTTACAGATAATGTTTTAATTAGAGTTAAAAAGGAAATGTGGCAATGGGCTCATGAAGATGAAATTGATTGTTTTGAATGTACTTTACCTGCTTTTTGCATGTTGGTTCTCTATCCTAAAGCTGAAGAAAATATTCCCTTAAAGAAGATGAAGAAAAAGTATCATTTAATGGTATCTCCATCTATAGAAAATCATAAAAGGGAAGAAGAATCAGACTCAGAATCAGACAATGATGATGAAAAAGAAGGAGGGAGAGTACTCAATACAACAAATTCATGTTTCTGGTTAGATATGATGGGATACTCTGAACCTGAAGGAAAGAATGATATTTGTTTTTGTAATTACTTTGATTGGTGTCCAAATTTCATTTCCTCAGAAAATTCAACCAACAATTCTCCAACCATTAATACATCAATGAATACAAAGAAGAGAACTATTCAGATATCAAAGTATGAATAAGATTTTTGTACAACAGAATAGGCAAACAGACTATCAGTCAATTGGAATAATACCACCTGTTGGTAGTCCTAAAACTTGAAATTAACAAGTCAATCAAGAAATTAAACATATTTCAATCGGATTTGAAGATACTAAAAATTCTAAGTGAAATGACAAGATTTAATTCCTCACTTGAACGTTTAATAAACATTATCAAGCCTAATTATTATTTGTTTACAAAAAAAATGATCAATAAGAAATCTCATCATAAAAAGCCTTTTGATCATCGTAATCATGATCATGATAATACAATAGATCATGTTCCGATGATGGTAGGTGAAAAATCACTACTTGAAATAGGTTCCGATTGTATTTTGGAAATATTTAAATATCATGTTGAAACATCTGATGATATTTTAGTATTATCACATACATGTTCAGATTTTAAACAATTAATTAATACAAATACGGAAATTTGGACTTGTAAAATTAAATCAATATTTAAAAGAAAGGCTTTACAATTTCAAAATTTCAAAGTTAATAGAGTTGATTTGTTAAATCAATTTTTATTAAATAATTTAACAGATAATTATTATTTACTTCCAGAAAAGGAAGTTTATCAATTTTCTAAAAAAAATGGTGGAGAATTTATTAATATGATTACAAATACAAATGATTTAATCAAGTATTTTAAATATGAAAAACAAGTTGAATCTGATTTTAATAATAGAAATTTCATTTATTCCAAATTAGGAAATCTATTTGAATGGATTCAAAGAATTTTTATAATCTTATTTTGTATTTATATTTCATTCCAAGAATATTATGTGGTCATGAAAACAGCATTAGATTTAAATATATATAGTTGGGTTAAATATTCTGATTTAATTATTTATACTTCTCTAATTTTGGAATCTTTAATTATTTTTATAGATGTTTTTATTTTGTGCTATTTTAGTGAATTTATTTTAAATATTAAAAAATCCATTAAAAGAGCCTATTCAAAAATTACATACACGCGCAGATATAAAATTATAGTACTCATTCTAATTCTATCAATTGCATCATTATTTATTAGAATTATGTTTTATTTTAATAATGATAGTGATGGTTCTCTTTTACAAGAACGTAGAAAATATTATAATGAATTGGATTTGGAAAATGCAAATATTTTACAAAGATTTCAATTAGGTGTATTTAATGGTGAAGAAATATTTAGATCTTTAATTAACAATTTTAATTTATTACTTTCAATTCCATTGGCTTTTGGATATTATGAAGCTTCTAAATTTTTAACGGAATTTAATACTTTATTTGTTTTTGGAGTGGGAATTTATTTACAATTATTTACTTTGATATTTTTTACTAATATTTTAACTCCTATTTTAGCATTTGTTATTGCTATATTAGGAGGATATTATTATAAGTATGATATTTCTAATTGGAAAAAAATATTATCAATTGCAACATCACATTTATTTGCTTATTTGGGATTTTCATCATTTTATATATTTTTACCACATGTAATTTATTTTACTATTTGTGAGAATACTGGTCATGGAAGTTCAGAGGATATAAATTTTTAATTTTATCGTTTCTGGATAGAAGAACTTTGATTGTGGTTGTAATAAGGCAAGTAGTCGTTTGGTAGAACTATTCGAATAAATTGAATGGTTGATGAGTGAGGACTGTTACAAAACATGTTACTATCACAAGGATCCTTGACAGTATGTAATATTTCTCACTAACACATCTGATGCTTCAATAATTGTGAGCCACTTTTCATCCCAAATATTCTATTAAATTCATTATCATCCCAACAATTTGTTTCAAAAAAACTGTAGATCAAATGAGTAAAACCCATTTCATTGTATTTTGATATGGAGACTTTACAATGAAATCTATTCAAGAGACTCTTTTATTTCAGATATGATACTACTTACAAGTTGGAGATACGCTCAACTTGTATTGAAATAATTAGATTTATTAGCAATAATACCTTCAATTATTAGAAAGATTGACTTTTTCCTTTTTAGTATTGACACAATTCCGCTTGTCATTTTACAATGTGCACCAATCAGAGTGTTACATTTTTCAGTACAAAATATATTTAATATTATTATACAATCAGATACTTCACTCTGCTGAACCTAACTTTCGTTTCCTTTCACACTGAATCGAACTAATGTTTAAATTCTAACATAAAAATCACCAATGTCACTACTATTTCAGCTTCAGTGGAAGATTCTACTTCAGTTGAAAATTGACGTCTTTATCGGCAATGGTTTTTTGAAAAGGGAAACTTTTTTCAAAGCCTAAAAAAAATCGCTTGACATTAGACTGAAACAATTTCAGTGATTTACAAGCAATCTACCTCAACACCACTCTAATAACAGTGAACCAAACTAATTACTTTGAGAGTAAATGTATTATAATAATATGATGGCAACTACAACATCAACTGAAGAACATGATATATTTCAATATCATTCTAATTTTCAAATTCTATCCAATGGAAGTAAATCAACAACAACAACTTCACCTAACAAACAACAACAACCTTTAAATTCTACCGATACTACTATTACTACTACTAACGATACATTATCATCTCTATCAACTGATAATATACCAATGGCTATTTCACCCTCCTTGTTATCGGTAGAAGATTCTACAACAGTCTACAGTACAAGTTGTAATGATTCATCACTCATGATGGATCAACAATCTTCATCATCACTCGTTTCTTCATCCATTATAAACTCAACAATATCTAATAATAATAATATTAATAATAATATTAATAACAATAACAATAATAACAATAATAATAATATTAACGGTTCAATTCCACTAATAACACTCAACCAAGAACAAAATGGTTCAGATCATGATGAATTAATTGATGTACATAGTTCATCATCCCCTAATCAATCACCTTCACATTCAACTGGAACACCGACAGATGAAGATTCGTTTACCTTCTCCAATTTAAATTGTTCTAATAGAAGTATTAATATTGCAATAACACCAACAACAAGTTTAAATGATTTAACTGTGGAATCATCAAGTGATTCATTATTATTATCAGATAATTATTCATTACAATATCCTCAATACTATTCTAATCAGACAGATCCTAAAAATTTACTTTTCCAATATTGTGTTGAGGGAAAGGAAGATTTATTTATTGAATTGTTAAAAGAACAAATTGAATCACCAAATCAAACATTGGGAAATTCATCACTTGATGCTAATAGAGTTTTAACAAGTCAATTCATTTATCATGATTTTGATAAATGTACTCTATTTCATTTATCAAGTAAATTTAATAGAGTCAATTCAATGGAGAAAATGTTGGAATATTTACCTTCAATTTTAACATTTAAAGATTCAAAACAAGCTAATTGTTTATTTTATGCAGTTTCTAATAATTCAAAAGAAGCTTGTGCTCTAGTTTGTAATTATTATTCAATGATAAATGGTTTATCAGATAAGAAATTTACAAATGAATTAGACATGTATGGTAATTGTTGTTTATATTTGGCAATGCAAAAATCTTTTTATGAATTGGCTGATTTACTTTTATTATTTGGTGCTAATATTGATATTAGTTTTAAAACAGGTGAAACAATGTTACATAGAGCTATAACAGAGAGAAGATTAGATATTGTTGAATATTTATCAAAGAAGGGTGCAAATTTATTGAAACAAAATCAAAATAATGTAAGTAGCTTTTTTTTTACCATTACTGGAAAGGTATTTAATCTTTTTGAACTATGTGTTGATTTTAAAATGTCAATTGATAATTGAACTATTTGTTGATAATTGATTCAATTGATTTATATCTTCTATAATATAATAGGAAAATCCATTATTTAATGTATTTGTTCATCAGAAAAAGAAGGAAACCAATGTAAATACAAGTCAAGATAGTATCAATAGTACTGGTAGTAATGGTGGTAATAACAAGACACCAACAAGTTTAGAATCACCAACTCATAGTGCACCACTCTTTTCATCAAATAATTCAAATTTCTGTAGAAATGGAGCTCTATTTTTACAAAATCTATTGAAAAGTAATGCATTTTCAAGTGAAATTATAATGAAAGGATTAAAACAAAAGAATTCTCATGGACGTACAATGTTTCAAGAATGTATTGTAAAAGGAGATTTACCAAGTTTTAAAGTACTAGTTGCCTATTTAACAACAAGAGAAAATTCAGAACAAACTCTTTCATGGTTTGTGAATGATGTTGAAAATCAAAAACAAAGAACTTCACTTCATTTATCAGTTGCTTACAAACAATTTCACATGTGTAAGATTCTAGTTGATGCCATTCCAGGTATTGCTAAATTAGATACACTTGATTCTGATGGTAAAACTGCAATGGATTTGGCAAGAGAAACAAATCAGGAAAATACCATTCAATTTTTCAATGAAATTCAACAATTACAGAAAGAAAAGAAAAGTTCTGGATTTGGTTTTAAAAAATTATTTAGAAGACTGAAAAAGTAAATTGTACATATTTTGTAAACTTACTATTATTATTGAAATAATAATAATAATGGATCTCATACAACAACAACAACAACAACATTATCAAATAATTTATCATCATCAACATCATCAACATCAACAACAATAACATTACAAAGTGCTCAACAATTTTTCAAAAATATGAAAAAGGGTAAAATTGATATTGTAGAACAAATGTTAAAAGAGAATATAAATTTTCTAATGATACGAGATGTAGATGGAAGTACAGCATTAATTAAAGCAGCATCTAAAAATTTAGTAAATTTTGTAGATTTATTTTGTAAATATAGTAGAGATAACAAACTTGGATTTAGTTGTTTAGATTTAACTAATAAGGATAGATATACAGCAATTAATATAGCAGTTAAAAAACAAAATATTCAAGTTGTAAAATTATTATTATCATATAATGCAGATATAACAAATACACCAAATAAGGATGGTAATTTACCTATACATAGTGCGAGTAGACGTGGATTTACAGATGTTATTTCAATTTTAGTAAATTATGATATAAAACAATTAAATATAATGAATCCATTAAATAATAGAACACCTATATTTATGGCAGCACAACATGGTCATTTAAAAACTGTTGAATGGTTTTTAGATCAAGATGGAATTGATTTATCTATAAAAAGTTGTGATTACAAAAGACCAATACATTCAGCTGCATCACATGATAATTTAGATGTTTTAAAATTATTATTAGAAAAAGGACGAGAAAATATTAATGTTATTACAACAAATGAAACTGATAAGGATAAAAGATATACTCCAATGCATTATTGTTGTAAAAAAGGTGCTTTAAAAACTGCTAAATATTTATTAGAAAGAGGTTCTCTATTAGGAATATTCATTTTAAATGCTCAACATGGTTATTTTGGTAAAAAAACACCTCTCTATTTAGCTGTTCATGGTAAAAAGGATGAAATTGTTGAATTATTTTTAACTTATTATAAAATTATTAATGAAATGATTAATGAAATTGAAAAATCAGAAGAATTAATTAATATTAATATCAATACTAGTAATATCAATACTAGTAATAATAATACTAGTAATAATATCAATAATAATGATAGTAATAATAATAATAATGAATCTAAAAATTCAAATGAAAATGAATCAAGAATATTTAAAAAAATTGAAAAGTATAACAAATTTTCATTAGATTTAAGTTTAATTTATAAAACGTTAAATGAATATTTAAAAAAAGAAGATATTCAAGCAATAATATCAGATCCATCAAGTGAAAATTCAGGAGATTCAGATAATGATAATGCTGATGATTTCCAAAGAAACGAGGAAAAGAAATTATCAAGTGATTATAAAAGAGTTACAAGATCAATTAAAAATGTTATACAAATTGCAACTTCAGAAGAGAATCAAGAATTAGTACATTTATCATTTTCAATTGTTCATTTTGATATTGTAAAAGTGTATTTAGAATATTTCCCAGAATTATTGAATTGTAAATCAACTTCAAATGGAAATACATTAATTAATAAGGCAGCACATATTGGACATTTAGAAATAATGAAATATTTAGTTTCAAAAGGAAGTAATATTTCAATACCAAATGATGTTGGTAATAGACCTATTCATAGAGCTGCGTATTGTGGACATTCTGAAATTGTTAAATTTCTCGTTGAGGATTGTGGAGAAAAGGTTGATGTATTTCAACATTCAACTCCAAAAACTAAACGGTTAGAAACATCTCTACATTTAGCTGCTAGAAAAGGTTGGATTGAATGTGTTAAAATTTTACTTTTAAATGGTTCTGATATTACACTTGCTACTAAGAGTGATAATCCAAATGGAAGAAGAGATGCACTTCAATTATCTAAGAGATATAATCAATTCCTTGTTTTTGATTTTCTTGAAAAGGTTTTCCAGAGAGTTACTCGATCTTATTAATATTGTCATCTTTCATTAATATTTGTTGAGATAATATTAGTGATATATTAGTGAATGATATATTGAATGATATTATTTTTAAAACTAAATTAACGTAATATTTTAACTGAAATCAAATGAAATAATACAAATAATAATACTATTTGTAATGGTATTATTAAAAAATTCAATAATTTGATTAATGATGTAAAAAAAGAAATGATATATTATTAATAATAACCATTATAATTGTACAAATAAAATTTTAATTCTTAATCTTGTTCATTGCTTGATATTTTTGAATATCAAACCAAACCTTAAATAAATCACGTGTACCTAAAGCAAAAACAGAATTTGCTCTCAAATATAAATATGGTGATCCACTCAATTGAACAAGACATGGATAGAATGTATTTTCAAATATTGGTTTACAAGGATCATTTTCAGGTGATTCTGACATGGCTTCCGATGGTGATTTTCCGTCTTTCTTTTCATTTAAACATTCTTTATATTTTCCTAATTGTGGTCCACAAGGAGTATGTGGGGCATGAAGAAAACAATAAGAACACAAATACTTGTCTTCTTTCTGTATTAAATCTTCAGCAGTAACTAAAGGATATATTCTTCCGTTAACATCAAATTTATTCTTTAACACTTCTGGTCTAAATTGTGCAAGTGTCTTCAAGGCTTGTTGTCTTCTTTCCTCTTCCAATTTCCTTTCTTCCTCAGCAGCTGATAATGATTTGTTTGATATTGGCATTTTTTTAAATGTTATTTATTTATAAAAAAGCAATCAATTTCTATTGAATAGAAAACAAAGCCTTTTTTTTCATCGTCTGTCTGTTACTATTGGATGATCATTATTTTGAGGAGCAGTAGTAGAAGATAATAATAATAACAATGGATTTTGAATCATCACAACATTTAAATATTCATTCTTCGGAAGAGGATTTATCATTGATCAGTGAATCAAGTGGTAATAATAATAATAATAACAATATCAGCAGCAACAGTAGTAGTAGTAGTGGTACTATTAGTAATATTAGTAGTACATCAGATATTATTGGAAGTATTACTTCATCAAAAACAACTGATAACGAGGTTTTTGAAATTAGAGATTTCTCAACACTTTCATCATGGGAAAAGTATGTTATGATCAATTATCATCATCAATAATTTAATAATCATCATATTTAAATAATAATATTATAGATTAATAGATAAATTTGAACAATTAATATTAGCATGGTTTAATAGATTTTCCAATTTTCAATTTACACCCACTGAAACATTCTTCTATAAGAGTCATATCATTCAATTTAATGGAACTAAATATTTATTTTCATATTATAATTTTAATCAATCATCTTTATCAGAAGAAGAACATGATCATCAAATAGAAAAGGATTTTCTTCATAGATCTCATCATTTAACTAGATGGTTTGGAGTTAAAGAATTTTTCATCATTTCTTTATATAACAATAATAATAATAACAAGCCTTCATCTTTATCACCATTTCATTCTTATCATCATTCTAATAATAATAATAATTCATCCAATAATAATTCTAATAATTCATCTCATAATAATTCAAATAACATTTCAATTCAATCATCAACAAGTTTATCATCTGCATTATCAGTTTCATTATCAAATTTAAATAAGAATGAAATATCATATTTTATATTATTAAATAATGAATGTTTAAATTATAATGGAAGATTAAATTCTAAAAATAATCAAGTTACTAAATATAAAAGTGAATCTTTATATGAAAAACAATTAAATTCTTCATATATAACATCATCTTTAATGAAATTAAGTGGAATGATTGATTTATTTTGTATAAATTTAGGTAAACATATTAGAATTACAAATGAATTAACTATTAAATCTAGATATACATTTATATTACCATATTTAAATAGTAAAGAATGGTTAAAAATTAAAGATGATTTTAATTTTACAAAAAGTGAAAGAAATTTATTATTTACAATTGGTACAAAACAAGATCCAATTAAAAATTTTCACTTTTCATGTATTTTTAATTCTATAAATATTAATGAACCAAATATAGATAATTTAAATATTAAAAATGCACATTTATGGGAATTAAAATTTAATCAATTAAAATTAAATGAATTTGAATTATCATCAAAATTAAAATTATTTATAAATAATATTATTTTAAATAATGAAAATGATAATACTTCCAATAATGGAAATAATTTATATATAAATGAAATAATTTATGATATATTTGAAACATTATCAGATGAAACATTTCAAATTAAATCAAAGTTATTAAATGAAAAACAAGAAATTAAATCATGTCAACCTAATAGTTTATTAAGAAGATTTTGTGATCACATTTTAAGAATTAAATCAAAACAAGATTTAAAATTATTATGGAAATTATTTATTAAAGTTTTATTTAAATATTGGGAAGAATCAAATATAAATGATTTAATTAATGAATTTCCATTAAATATTTCATTCATTCCTTTTACAAATCAAAATGTTAATTGGTCAACTTGTTTAATTGAACAAAAAATTGACATGTTAAATATTTGTTGTTTAAAACAAATTGAAATTTTAAAAAATAATTTTAATTTAAATAATAATAATAATAATAATAATAATACAAATAATACAAATGATAAGAATACTGAAAATAATAATATTAATATTAATAATAATACTGATAATAATAATGATAATATAAATGAAAAAGAATTTAATAATAAAAAAGATGAACAAGTTGAAGAAGAAGAAGAATGGAAAGATTCAGGCTTTGAAATATTATCAGATCATGAAAGTGTAGATTTAGATGAAGAATATTTTGAAATTGAAAATGATGAAAATTTAGAATTAAAAGAAAATATAATTAAAATTATTGAAATTTCACCTGGTAAGGAAATTAAAATTCCAAAAACACAAAATCCACCACAAAATACAGAAGATGTTATTGAGGAGGAACGTGAAATTTTATCAAATATGATTTCATCAGATCAGAGAATTAGATTTCAATGTGAAGGTTTAATTTCTGATATGCAAGCTTTTAAAGTATGTTATTTAATATTTTACAATAATATATTTAATAATACTTTACAATACTTTACAATAATATATTTAATAATATATTTAATAATAGTTTGTTAATCCTGGATGTGAATTTTCTGATTTTTTATTATGGTATTCACCTAAAGATGTTAAAGATGAAAATTTAAGTTCAAGAATGAAAATGAATGAAAATATTTGGAAGAAATTTTGGGAAGAATCAAAGCCTTTACCAATTTCAAAACAAAAACAAATTTTTGATCACAAATTACAAGCAGAAAAAATTATACATCAAATTGAAACTATGGATTTTGATATTATTTTACAACAGTATGTAATAATATATTAATAATTTACAATAATATTATTTAATATTATATAATATTTAAAATATAGATTAATGATATGTACATTAACAGGACATTATTACATGTTAAAAGAATGGTGGATTGATTTAATTATGGATAGTACAGATATATTTAGTAATGAATTTAAACAAGTTGATAAAAAATTAGATTTAAATTTACCTTTAATTAGAATTGTAGAAAGTAAATTTTTAAAAACAAAAGAAGATTTAAAATTATTATCTAATAATAGATTACAAGATAATAATGTAATTTTACAATGTGTTGAAAATATTCAAGATTTAGAATTATCAATTTCAATTATTTTATCAATCATTTCAAAAATTTCAATTCAAGGAAGAAAATCTTTTATGGAAATTTATAATTCTTCACAATTTTTATTAATTTCATTAGAAAATTTATTAATTAATTCACAAGATTATATTCAATTTAATAATACTAATAATAATAATACTAATAATACTGATACTAATAATGCTAATAATAATAATAATGAAAATATTAATGAAAGTATATGTGAATTTATTAATGATCAATTAGATTCAAATTCTAATAATAATAATAATAATAATAATATTGAAAGAGTGAGTGAATTTATATTAAGATGTACAGCTCAAAGACCATATTTAATATCAGAACCTACTCAACAATTAATGTATGCTCTCATATCAAGAGATGAAATTAGAGTTTCAACTGCTTTAACTGAAAAAGTACCTTGGTAATCATCAACATGAACACACTCAATAATCATTATATTATACACATTAATAAAACATTATTCAAGGATATTATAATCATATCAATATCAATATCAATAACAATAATAATACTCATTAATTGCAAGTGTACACTGAAAACAGACTATTAGTTGTATTGAATGGCTTAGCCACCCATTACAACTGTTACTTCTCGAGTTCTAATAAGGACTCGCACTAGATGCGTTTATTTGAAAATTGAAGCTAAGGGTGCGTGTATTATAGACATGGTAAACATTCGATCGTTCCGTAGTTGGTTCATTAGTGTTGGTTGTTCGTTCAACTTATCTGAGGGGAGGAAAAACATGATGATTTTTTCAGTTCGCAAGTGTTAAGGCTCTTTTCATCATCTTAAAAAAATACAACAACAACAAACTCTTAACTACCTTATACTCAAAAGATGGCAGAAAAAGAGTTGGATCCAAGATTATTGGATATCATGAAGGAAACAGGTACAAATGTGTCCGGTGATGATTTATCTGCTTTGAAGAGTGTGAGTGTTAGGGAATTAATTAAATTGTGGGAAATTTTAGGTCAAACACAAGAACAAACTCCAGTTAAAGGTATAACAATGAAATCATCAACAACGGCAACAAAATCAAAGAAGGAAATCTTTGAAGAATGGACAAAGGGTGTAGTTGAAAACTTTAAAAAGGAGACTGAAAAGAAGGCTGAAAAATCGAGTTCGGGACTAAAGCCTAAAATCATGAATGATGTTGATTATTCAAAGGTTTTAAAAGATGCTAGAGCAAATCTTAGAAAGAGAATTAATCTTGATGAACAAACAGCAGTTGCTGTTGATTCAAATGATTCAAAGTCTGTTAAGGATTTAACTGCTAAAAGAAAAATTGAAAATAAGAGTGAAGTTAAACTCAGAACAACTCCTTACTATGAAACTGTACTTAAAAAGAAATCATCTCAAGTAGGAAAACTTGTTAAACCTGCAGTTATACCACAAATTGTTAGTGTTTGTGATTCTAGAAGAAAGCCAACAGTCGTTGCTTCAAAACAATTAGGTGCCGATGGATCTGTTTATGTCTTTATTGAAGTTGCAACAGAACAAGAAATTAGAGATTTACTTTTTGAACAAGGATCCGATAGTACTATTTCTGCTCAAAATATTACAGAACAACCAAATATTCAAAGAATTACTTCTGAAGATTTAGAAAGTGTAGTTTATAAGGTTGATCCAGAAAGTATTGGTGAAGGTGGTCAAATTTCATTGAAAGTTCATTATACTGAAGGTGAAACTGGTGAAAGAAAGACTGATACTCTCGTTCCAATTCAATTAGGTTTTAATGATACAGTGGAAACTGAACAAAAAGAAACTGGTGAATTTGAAAGTACATGGTTTAAAACTGGTCAAAAGAATGAAACTAAGGAAACAGTTTCTTTTGAAGCTCCTCTTCAAGAAGCTGTAGATTCATTTATTGAATCAACTGGTCTTTCACCAATTTCAGAAGTACAAAGAGATTGTGCTAGTTCTCCAGAGAAGGGAAAACATACCATGCAATTCTTTGCAAAGAAGAATGAGAAACCAATTCTTATCAAAGTTGTTTTTTCTGAAAAACCAAATGGAACCACAGATGCAATTATTTCTTCTAGATCTGAACTTGAAGCTGCTAAATCAAATACTGTTAAAGGGTTGAAGAAATATTGGGAATGTTTAAGACAAAACAAAACTGATATTATTAAGGGCCATGGAATTAAAATCAAGATTGAAAAGACTGAAAAGGAAGAACAAGAAAAGGCTGAAAACTTGAGAATTTCTCGTAAAAAAGAGCAAGAAGAACAAGAAAATCTCAGAAAAGAACAAGAAGAACAAGAACGTTTGAGAAAAGAGAAGGAAGAAGTGGAAAGAATTAGAAAGGAGCAACAAGAACTTGAAAAGCTCAGAAAGCAACAAGAGCTCGAACGTCAACGTCTTGAAGAAGAGGAAAGACTCAGACAAGAAGAAGAAGAACGTTTGAGAAAGGAACAAGAAGAACTTGAACGATTCATAAAAGAACAAGAAGAAGCTGAACGAAAGCTCATAGAGGAAGCTGAGGAACTCGAAAGACAACGTCTCGAAGAAGAAGAACGTTTAAGAGCAGAAGAACAAGAAAGAATAAGACAAGAGCAAGAAGAGCAAGAACGATTGATCAAAGAAGCTGAAGAACAAGAAAGACTTCGCTTAGTAGAAGAAGAAAGAATCAGAAAGGAACAAGAAGAACGTGAACGTCAACGCTTAGCTGAAGAAGAACGTTTGAGAAAGGAACAAGAAGAGTTGGAAAGACAAGAGCAAGAAGAAGAAGAGAGAATTAAGAGAGAAGCTGAAGAGCTCGAACGTCAACATTTGGCTGAAGAGGAAAGAATCAGACAAGAGCAAGAAAGAATCAGAAAGGAAGAAGAAGAGTTCGAACGTCAACGCTTAGCTGAAGAAGAACGTTTGAGAAAAGAACAAGAAGAGTTGGAAAGACAAGAGCAAATAAGAATCAGAAAGGAACAAGAAGAGCAAGAACGATTGATCAAAGAGGCTGAAGAACAAGAACGACTTCGCTTAGCTGAAGAAGAAAGAATCAGAAAGGAACAAGAAGAGCTCGAACGTAAACGTCTTGAAGAAGAGGAAAGATTCAGACAAGAAGAAGAAGAACGTTTGAGAAAGGAACAAGAAGACCTCGAACGTCAACGTCAAGAAGAAGAAGATAGAATTAAGAGAGAAGCTGAAGAGCAAGAAAGACTCATTCATGCGGCTGAAGAGCAAGAAAAGCTCAGAATTGAGCAAGAAGAAAGAGATAAAGTCGAAGCTGAACGTCTCAAAATTGAACAAGAAAAGAGAGAAGAAGAAGAACGAATTCTTAAAGCTCAAAAGGTAATAGATGATAAGAGAAGTGAAAGAAGCCAAAAATTAGTTGACAAGATGGAAGAATTTTGGGCTAGATTTGGAAAACCATTGAAATCTAAAGAATTTATGGACACTTTTCCATTCATGATCAAAGTTCATACTCTTAAAGCTCATCAAGCTATTGAAGTTATTGTTTCACCACCACCACCACAAGAAGGAAATACTTGTTACAAGAATATTAAGGTTTCCGTAAATCCACTTGTTCATACAGGTGTGGTATTGGAATCATTCCAAGTTATTATTGATGATTTATATCCATCAAATAGTCCATCATCTGCCGCTATTGCATTAAGAAGAAAGGATAATTTCCCAACTGGTGTTATTGGTGAATTGAAAATTGAATTTGATGAAGTTACTTTTGATCCATCTAATGATGAAATTGTTGGAGAAGAACAATCAAATGAAGCATCATTTGGTGATATTGATTTCAAATTTGGTGAATTTATTATTAATGATATTGAACATTCTGATTTTGATGAATTCAAAGCTTTATGGGCAATTGATAGTTTTGGTGACAAGGTTTTAGGGAATGCTTATTGTAAAACTGAAGATTTCCCACAACCAATTGATCTTGTAAAAGCCTATTGTGCATTTAATGACGTTTTACCACTTGTTCATGTTAAAGAAGGAGCTGATGAAGGAACAAGTTACTTTGGATCATCAATGGATTTTCCATCCGGAGATTCAGTTTACGTTTTATTGAAATGTAATGTTTATGAAGGTGGATTACTTCAACTTAAACTTCAAGCTAAATCTGTTGAAGAAGAATTTACTGAATCATTTATGAGATCAACATTTGAAGATTTTAAAAAGACAATTAATTGTGTTGAACCACCAGAACCACAAGATAAATCTATTGAATTCAAAGTTGGTAAACCAATTAAAATTACTCAAAAGAAGTTGATCATTTCTAAACCAATTGATTCTAAAGTACAAGTTGGTGTTACCAAGGCAATTTATCCTAAAGGTAAATCACTTTTAAAGTATCTTATTAAGAATATTGGTGATGAACCATTATTAGAAGTTAAAATGAAAGCAACAGGTGAAGGATTTGTTGAAACATTTTCATCTGAAGCCATTTCAATTAATCCAGGTGAAGAAGGTTTAATTTATAAGGTTTATAAATGTGGTGAAGGATCTATTTCATCTGAAATTGAAATTGATGGAGGTGAAGGTGAAGAATTATTTGATACTTTTATTGGTGAATCAGATACAATGGAAGATTGTTATCCAACTGTTGACTTTTTCCATTCTGAATGGAACAGCTTGGAAGCACATCATTTTGATGAACACGATCCAATTATTGTTCAAAGTATTGATATTAATGAGATTGTTCAATGTTGTAATGATGCATTCCTTTCTGAGAAGGCTTTAAATCAACAAGCAGTTGTTGAAAATAATTTGAATTCTCTTAATTATGCTTTCCATTTAAATTCAGGTGAAGAAGCTTTTGTTAAAGTTGGTTTGGAATTAGTTGGAGATGATCAAATTCAATGTAAAGTTTCATTGAGATCAGAAGATGCAAATGCTGAAAAGTATCATCAATCCCTTGCTAAATCACTTGCTGTTCAAGCTAAAAAGATTAGTGATTTGAAGAGAATGGCCGAGGAAGCTGCAATCCCTCCAGTCGAAGAGGAAGAAGAGCCAGCTATGCCACCTGTTGAGGAAGAACCTGCCATTCCTGATGTTGAGGAAGAAGAACCTGCCATTCCACCAGTTGAAGAGGAAGAGGAACCATCTATGCCACCAGAAGAAGAACCTCCAATTGATGAAGGAGAACCTATTGAACCACCAGTTGTTGAGGAAGAAGAACCTGCCATTTCACTTGTTGAAGTTGAAGAGGAAGAACCTGCAATTCCACCTGTAGAAGAGGAAGAAGAACCTGCAATCCCTCCAGTGGAAGGAGAACCAGTTATTCCTCCAGAAGAAGAACCTCCAATTGAGGAAGAATCACCTATTGTTCCTGAAGAACCACCAGTTGTTGTTGTTGAAGAAAAGAAACCTGAACTTCCACCTCCAATAGTTATTGAAGAAAAGAAGCTAGAACCAGTTAAAGTTATTGAAGAAAAGAAGCCAGAACCACCTGTAGTTGTTGAAGAAAAGAAACCAGAACCACCTGTAGTTGATGCACCAAAGAAACCAGTTATTGTTGAAGAAGATGTTTTTGAAGAAGAAGAACGTGTTATTAAGGAAAATGCATTTGATGCAGCCAAATTATCAAATCCATCATGGCTTAAACCAAGATTTAATGTTTCTAATACTCAAGGATCATCAACAGATAAAAGAATTTGGGAAATTGACTTTTTTGCATCAATATTCCGTGTATTTGATAAGAAGGGTGGTAAATTGAAGAGTACTTATCATGCTAAAGATTTATATTCACTTGAAAGACATTTTACAGATTCAAGAAGATCAACGTTGAGATTCTTTGGTGATAAGAATCCACATGAATTAGTATTTGAATCAAATTATCATAGAGAAAGATTTTTTGAATGTTCATCATGTATGAGAAAGAATTTATTTGTTTGGTGTCCATCAGTTTGTGGAGAAGGTCAAACAAAATGTATAACAGATATTAAGGGTACATTTATTGCTAAAGAAAATGGTAAACCAACAGAATATAAAGGACAATGTAAAGTTAATGCCTATGCTAAACCATTTGAAAGTATTAAAGTATTTACAATGACATGGAATATGGGTGGTAAAAAGGCTCCAAAAGATCCTAAAGAATTACAAGATTTATTAATACCTGGTAAATATGATTTATATGCCATTGCTACACAAGAAACAGGTTTTCCTAAAGATGTTAACAAATTCAAAGCCTATGTTGAAAATTGTTTAGGTGATAAGTATATTGTATTAACATGTATGACAATGTGGGAAATTCAATTAGTTGTATTATCAAAGAAATCACATTTTTTAAAAATATCAAATATTCAAGGTGTACAAAAAGCAACTGGTTTAGGTAAATTAGCAGCTAATAAGGGTGGTGTTGGTATTTCTCTATGTTTTAATAATACACCAATGTTATTCATTTCTGCTCATTTAGCAGCTAATCATGGTGAAAATCATGAAGATAATGATTCTTTAAATTTGAGAAATCAAAATGCAAGAGAAATTATTGATGCAATGGCAATTGGTAATCCAACTATGGATATTGGTGGTCAATTTGATTATATATTCTTTATGGGTGATACAAATTATAGAGTACAATTACCATATGATCAAGCTGTTGGATTAGCAAAGAATAAGCAATATGATGAATTATTGAAATTTGATCAACTTCGTATGCAACAAAAACAAGGTGTTGCTTTTTATGGATTTAAAGAAAGTGCTATTAAATTTCCACCAACATATAAATATAAGGCAGGTACATTAGAATTTGATACTAAAAAGAAGAGAACACCATCTTATACTGATAGAATTTTATTTAAAACATTCCCTGCTTCACAAATTGTTGCTGAAAAATATACTGCTAAATATCCAGAATGTAAACATCCATCTGATCACTTACCTGTACAATGTATTTTCAAAATTCCAACTCATAGACCTTTTGTTTCTGTATTTACAAGTGATTCTCAATTCACATGTCAAATTATTTTTGATTCAATTATTTGTAAATTAGCTGTTAGAGAAGATTTAAAGAATCCATCTGTTACTTTCTATGCTCCATGGTTAGATAGTAATGAAAAGGGTGAATATCCAATCACTTCACCAATTCCAAATACAAGAAAACCAGAATGGAGTGGTTCTTTAATACCAACTTTAACTCCTGCAACTTCTGATATGGTATTTTTAAGATTACAACATATTGCCTTGACTATTAGACAAGGAAAACCTGATATCAAGACTGGTATTGACAATCTTATTGGTACTGTTGTACTTCCATTACAAAATGCTGTACTTAAGAGTCCTGATGTACATCAATTTAAGGCACCAATTAATGCTCAAGGTGGTTTAGCTGCTGGTATTATGGAAGGAAGTTATCGTATTGTTTATAAGAAGGAAGATTTGAGTCAAAAGTTAATGAATGTTGAAATTGAATAAATTTATTGAGATTTCCAATTTGGATCATATTTAACATCACTAACACTATTATGTAAATTAATATATTTAGCATATTCTTGAGCTCCTTCAACATCATTTGGTTCTTCATCATAAGTTTTAACTTTACCATATTTCTTCAAGTCTGAAATTACCTTTTCATGTGAATGCCATCTTGGATATTGGAATACTTTGTGATGTTTGACTATTTTTTAAAAATTATTAAAATTAGAATATAAGAAAATTATTTAAAAATTAGAATAAAAATTATTAGAACATTAGAATTATTAGAATATACATCAAATAAATTACTTACATGGAGGTAAAACCATATGTAAATGTAAATGTTTAACACTAACTGGAAAGTTATAACCAGCAACAACATTCTGTTCAACATTGAAATTTTCACCAAATCTAGATAAATCTCTCTTTTTAAATTCTTGAACACCAGCATTAAATAAATCTTCTAAAAGTGAAATATGAGAAGCATTTAAACAAGTAACATCTTCATAAACAGCAGTTGGAATGACATCAATGTGATCATCATGAACTGATACACCAAATTTATCATTAAATAAACAAATATTATCATCTCTAAATAAAATTGGAGTACTAGTATTCTTTCCTGTTAAAATATCAAGAAAAACATTATCAGGTAATTGTTGAATATCTTGTGGAACAAGTGGAAATGAACATCCTGTACAAAAATCAACATGAACTGCATTTGGTTTAATACAGGCTGCACATATTTTACCATATTGATGTTTTGTTGTATCTTGTTGAATAACTCCACGATCATTTCTTTCCTTTTCAATCACTTTTAAATCTTGTTCATTAAAATCTTTCCAATGATTTTTATTAAATCTAAATGATGTTGTTGTTGTTGTTGCTGACATTTGTGAATGATGATATTGTTGTTGTTGTTGTTGAAGTTGTGAATGATTAAAATTGCTCAAAGGCTTGTTGTTGATCAATAATCGACAAGAAGGCTTCCTCAGGTTGAGAAGAGATTTAATTTTTTTTAATGATGGAAGAAGCAGTGAACTTGTATATCTATTCATAGATTGTTGATTACTTGTTATCCTCATAAATAATGAAATTGTAATCTTGTTCAAATGCCATTGTTCAACATTAAAAATATCAAATAAATATCAATTTTAATAAAATCAAATAATAATAATATTAGTGTGGAAAGATTCTCATTCCAGAGAGGGATGATGATGGAAAGAAAAGAAATAAAATTTCAAAATTTTTATGAATAAAAATGTTAGAGAATTTAAAAAAAAATGACCAATCTTCCACCATCTTATGTAGTAGTAGTATTCCAGATGATGGTGGTGATAATTCCATGAATATACATAATGATGATATTGAAAATATTGAATTATCTATTGGTGATGTTATTTGGTTAAAATTAGAAACATTTCCATGGTGGCCTGCAAAAGTATGTTTTTGTTTTTTATTATTTAATCATTTAATCATCATCATCATATAATAATAATAATAATAATAATAATAATATTATCATCATATAATAATAATAATATAAATATCATCATCATATAAATATTATCATCATATATTAAAATAATAGATTGTAGATTGTAATGATACAAAAATACCTAATACAGTATTAAAAGAAAAACAATCACATTTAAAATTAGTTAAATTTTTTAATTCACCACCATCAGAAGAATATTATTGGATTGATTCAAATAAGGATATGATTAAATTATTTAAAAATGATCCATATTTATTAGATAATAATGTTACTGTTATTAAAAATAATCCAAATTTAAAAAAAGCAATTCATCAAGCTAAACAATTATGTGGATTTGAATTACCTAATAATAATAATAATAATAATTTATCATCTAATGATAATTCTAAAAAAAGAAAGAATGAAAATGAATTATCAAATGAAAATAAGAAAATGAAAGATTTAGTTATATTAACAGATGAAGAATTAAATTCTATTAAAGAAGAATTATCTAAATCTATTGAAACTAATAATAATAATGATATTAAACATTATTTAAATTTTATTAATGATAAATGTAATCAAATTACAGTTGATCAATTAAAAACTTGTAAAATTGGTCAAGTTGTTGCTCAATTAAGAAAACATTCAGATGAACATATTTCTAAAATGGCAAAAGATTTAGTCAAGACTTGGACTTTATTAGTTTCTTCTTCTTCTTCTTCTTCTAATACTGCATCTAATAGTACTAATACTACTACAACTAATAGTGGTACTACTTCAACAAATGCTGCTACTACTACTACTACAGCAACTACTACAACTAAGAATGAAAAGGCTCTTAATAATACTCCTAAAAAATCATCAACCACAGATGATAAACCTAAAATTAAAAAGGTTATTAATACAACTACTGGTAGTACTAGTACAACAAGTGCAACAAAATCATCCAACACCAATACCAATACCACCACCACTACTAGTAGTAATAGTAGTACAACTACAACAACTAAACAACCACTTGCTATTAAACCAATTAAAACATCACAATTATCCAACCATAATAATCAAGCAGTATCATCATCATCATCATCACCATCATTAAAATCACCAACAACACCACTCTCTGCATCAAGTTCATCCAATTCACTATCTAGTAGTACATTATTTGATACAAGTAAAATACCACAATGTACTGAAAGTAATCGTAATAGATGGAGACAAAAAATAGGAGAAGGATTATCAAAAGTACCAAATTCTACTGAAGATTTAATTATTGAACTATGTGTTGAAATTGAAACACAAGTTTATAATTATTTTAAAACATTAATAACAGCAACATCTTCATCATATGATGATCATTGTAGAACATTGAGTAGAAATTTAAATGCATCTAATAATGATGATTTTAGATCAAATGTTTATCATTCAATTATTCCAATTGAACAATTACCAATTATGAAAGTACAAGATATGGCTTCAAAAGAGAAACAAAAAGAAAATGCTCTATTACAAGAACGTAAATTACATAATAGTATGGTTGCTAAACCTGCTGCTGTTGAATCTTCAATGTTTAGATGTGGTAAATGTAAGAAAACTCAATGCACTTTTTATGAAATGCAAACTAGATCTGCTGATGAACCTATGACTGCTTTTATTACTTGTCTAAGTTGTGGAAATAGATGGAAACAATAAATTTTTTTATACCATATATATTTGAAAGAGAAGAATTTTGATGAAGATTAATAAGGAAATTAACAAACCTATTTTAAAAATTGGCGGTAAATAACTACAATTCATCATTGAATAGCCTTTAAAAAAACAATCAAAAACACATCTCTCTATCTTATTATTATTTTAATAAATAATAATAATATCTATTCAACAATACATCATTCTCAACAATTTCATACAAATCTTAGTAGTAATTTTAATAATAATATGAGGAAATTAGATATACAACAAATATTATCTTCACCTCTTACTCAACAACAACAACAAGTTTCACCTAAATATCATCATCCACATCATAATACAAATGTTAGCCCTCATCATGTCACTTTTTTATCACCACCTCAAACTTCAAATTCATCATCAACAACACCATCCCACCAACATCAACCTCCTTCATCAATAATACATTCACAACAATATCTTCATCCACCAATAAATAATTCAACAACATCATTACAACCACCTAATAGTTCTGGAACAGTATCATATGGTGGATTAGGAGGATATAGTGGAATGCCACCTTATTCACCTATTTTAAATCAACACAATTTAAAACCCAAACGTATTAAATCAAGTATTGAAAGAAAATCACAGAAAATACCATGGGAATTACCAACTATTAAAAGAGTTATTAGAATACAAAGTGCACCTAGGAAATATGTTAATAATTCATCATCTTCATCATCTTCATCTTCAAATATTAAATATCAACGTAATATAAATACAAGTATATGTAGTGATGGTAAAATTGTATCAAGAAGAAAATATGAACAAGAACAAGAATTTACAAATGAATATGAAACACAAAGTTATCATGATGATGATCAAGATGAAGATGATGTAAATAATATAATAGATGATGATAATGAATATTTAGAAGAGGAAGAATATGAAGAAGAAGAACCAGAATATATTTCAAATTATCATCCAAAACATTTTCATCGTAATATTGAACAAGATGAATTAGAACAACAACAACAATATGAATTGGAACAATCACAACAATATGAATCAACAGAAGATGAACAATATGAAGAAGAACCAGAAGAAAGAGAAGATGAATATCAACAAGATGATAATATTTCATATAATTCAAATAATAATTCAAATAATTTCAATAACAAACGAGTGATTAATAATGGAAAGAAATCATTTAAAAATCAATTAAATAATAATAGAAAAATTCAACAACAACAATATGAAGAAGAAAATAATGAAGAGGAACAACCTATTATTGAAGAAGAAGAAGAATCAAAACAATCTATAATAGAAGAAGAAGATGATTATACACCTCCACCACCTAAACCTAAAAAACCATTTTTAAAAAAAAAGAAACCTATTTCTGTAATACCTCCTAAAAATAATAATATGAAAAAATCAAAATCAAATTCAAATATAGAAGATGAAAATAATTTAAATATTTTAAATAATTCTAATAATAGTAGTAATAATATAAATAATATAAATGAAGAATTAATTAATGAAATTTCATTTAATTATGAAGGAGAAGGAGGAGGAAGTGGAGATGAATTTTCATCAAGTTTAAATAGTAGTTTTAAAAGTACATATTCAAGTAGAAGTTTAAAATCTAGTAGAAGAAGAGTTTTAAATAGATATAATGATACTTCTATAAATAGTAATATTAATGTTAATAATTCAAATTCTAATAATAATTTAAATAATTTAAATAATAAATTAAATAAGAAATATATTTTAAAAGAAGGTGAAGATTCTATAATAGTTTCATTAGGTAATAAAAATCAACCACCACAATCTAAAAATAATTTAAAAAGAAATTTAATTACTCCTATAAATGGAAATAATAATTTATTTGTAAATGTTAATAATAATAATAATTTAAATTCAAGTATTGGTCAAAATAATGAAGATGAAATATTAGATAAATGTTTAAATGATCCTGAAAATGAAATATTGGTATGTTAATTTAATATTTAATATTTATTTAATATTTAATTTAATGATCATGTATTTAAATAATTTAAATAGAATTGTATTGAATTTATTCAATCAGAAGGATGGGAAGATCAATTATCAGGTATAATGTTAATTATAAGATTAGCTAAATTTCATTCAGATGTTATTGATTCTAAAATGTATGTTTTTATTTAATAATTTTAATAATTTTATAATAATTTTAAAATAATTTTATAATAATTTTAATAATAATATTATAATCATGTTAATGATAAGATTTATTGGGATTTTGTTAAAATTATTGATAAAAATTAATTCTTTTTTAATTTTTTATTAATCCAAATATATTCTTGTTTCTGAGCTTATTATATTTCCTATATCACTAAGATGTACATCATAAAATAGACAAAAGAGAGGAATTGAAATATTTGTTACAAAAGTTATGTACTACTACCTATTACATTTCTAAGTTGGGTTGCAATATAAATTATAAACGTAAGTGCTATTGACTAATTATGTTCAATAAATTAACTAGACTATTGAATACAGTGTACTTGTGTATATTTCTAAAACAACTAACTAATTCTAAACATAGAATATATAATAGAGTACAATATTGATAATAAACTCCATAACAGCAACAATAGTCATAAGACGACCGAAATCAATCGAGTAATATAATATCAGTAACCAGTAACTAAACGAATGTATTTAGTCATTCAAAATAATGGCGTTAACATAACACTGCACTTCAAAAACTTATTGTATATTCTGTGTTACCAATACACTTTACTTACACAAGCATCTTCAACCTATATTATTTGATGAAGACACCACAAGATTAGAATACGTAAGATATGTTAAGTACTGATAACAGATATTACCTATGTGTATAACATCCACTATCTGCAGTCAATGCGTGTGTACAATTCACTACACTCTTACGAAATAAATTGTGTTACAACTTGATATTGCCCCGAGTTCGTAATGCGTACTCTAACGACTTGGTATGTTCACAAAAAAATTGAGATTTTCCATGCATAAACTAAGGAAATGGATGAACAGAGGGAAAAGGCAACAAATTTAAGCTTCCAACACAAAGATCAGCCCAATCATTAGTCTCTCTATTAACAAATAACTGTCTCATGCCACTTGATGCCACGTTGAATTCGTTTGATTCAACGACCATGTGAAATCTCATTGCTGATGTTATGAGATTGGACATTAAATGTCATTTATCAATTAAAAAAAAATGACATTAAGAGAAATTATTAAACAAAATATTAATGATCTTTTAGATTGTACTCAACAATGTATTCTAGGAAATGTTAGTATTTTTATTAATTGTATTCTATATTTAAATTATAATTTTAAAATTAAAAAAGGGATTTAAAATTGAATTATTACCATCATCTAATAATAATAATAATAATATTCAACAAGGTAATAATAGTGGTGATAATGATAAAATAGAAATTAAATGTAAAATAGAAGGACCTATTAATAGTATATTAGAAGGTGGATCATATCCTATTTTAATAATAATAACATCAAATGAATATCCATTAAAACCACCTAAATGTATTTGTAAATGTGGAATATGTCATCCAAATATATATCCAAGTGGTACTATGGATTTACCATTATTACAATCAAATAATTGGAATCAATTTATTTTAACTAATAATTTAAATAATATAAATAATAATATAAATAATTTAAATATAATTAAAATATTATTATTAGAAATTCAAAAATTTTTAATTGAATATAATATAAATGATCCATGTAATTGTGAAGGATATTTATTAATTAAAAATCAATTACAATTATTTAATTCATTAGCAAGAAAACAAGCAATTTTATATAAATATGATAATAGAATAATTAATCAACATTTTAAATTGAATTTTAATTTATTATTTAATGATTGTTATTTTAATTTTAATTAAATATTATTATTATTATTATTATTGTAATTAAAAATATAATAATAATAATATTAATGAATAAATTGTTGTTGTTTAAAATTCTTCAAGTTCAATTAAAAAAAAATGACCAACGATAAAATATCAACTACAACAACAACACCTTCATCATCTGATCAACAAGAAGAAGAACAACAACATCACTCCGATGCTTCTTCTTCTTCTTCATCATCATTATCTGATAGTAGTGATCATGAAGATGAAAATACAACAATAACATCATCATCTAATAATAATAATAATTCTAATTCTTCTAATAATAATAATAATAATAAATTATCAAAATATTCACAAAGATTATTTAATTTACAATTAAGAATGAATCAAGCTAAACAAGATAATATAGAACAATTAAAAGAAGAAGAAGAAGAATTAGATTATAAAAAGAAAGTTTATTATAAACATAAAAATATAATTGAAAATGAAATGATGACACATATAAATGTAACATTGAATGAATCTCTAGAATTTGAGAAGAAGAGAAAACGTTCACAAAAAGAACAACCACAAGGATGGGAATCTTTAAATTCAAATGCATTATATAAACAACATAAAAAGAGAATTAAACAAAATATTACAAATACTAATAATAATATTACAAATACAAATACAAATATTAATGAATCAACATTAGATAATAATTTATTATCATATGGATCAACTATTAATAATAATAATTTAATAACAGAAGAGAATAAACAAGTAATGGTAAATGAATTGACACAAAAAAAGAAATCAAATAAAAAGAAGAAGAATGATGAAGATTCAGATGAAACTGTATTATATATTAATAATACTAACAAACATTTTACAAAATCTCTAAGTAAAGCCTATGATAATATACTGATGATATTAGATCTAATTTAGA